CATGTGATAATGTAATTCTCCAGACATAGCGTACTGTACTTGTAATGGGAGGTTATTTAAGTATGATCAAGTCTCCAGAGATAGCGCATTAATGGATTTGAGTTCACTCCAGAGAGCTGTGTGGGCAGCAACATACTGGCACCGAGCCACGGTTCAGCAGTGTCAGTGTCTTACCTCATAATAATTGCCAGGATGACAGGACACATTAGACACTCCTGATTGGGTTAGAAAATGGTGCACTGAGGATACCCAATTGCTCTGTTTAGGTGCTATAATCAGCGCAGAGTAGCTTTGGGAAAAGTATCTCTCATTACGTACTTTGTGCGGCTGAGAGAAGCCAATTTTCAGTTTTTCACCTGTCCTCACTCTCCGCCGATAATGAAATGTTGTGTTGACCCAAAAAGGTTGAAGGTCAGGAGACAAAGTGGCATGAAATGATTTAAGTGTTTTGAGGTAAAGAGAGTTTCCTGGTCCTTACGTCTCTGTGCTATTTCTGATTACACAGGAGACATAACCCATCCTCATGTCTAATGACTTAACAGTAACAGGGACGAGGGCTAGCAGGGTTCAAATGGGCTGTCATGATATCAGATTTTCACCTCATGTTGGGCTGCTCGATGTTATTGCAATATTTACTTAAAAATTTGAAAACTTGAAAATTGAATGACACAATCAGTCAAACTGGGAAAAGGCGAGGCACGAGTGGAGCAACTGATTTCTTCAAAAATTTAAAGGTGGGGACTACCCGGACACGAAGAAGCCGGGTCAACAATGATGGGGGATGCTTTGATATCTTATAGACCCTGTAACCTTTCTGCTGGACAGGTAAACCACTTTAACAAAGTAAGCCAAGTGTCTGTAACAGAAGTGTTTCTTGTCAAACGGGACCTGCTGCGTGTCATAGCGCCGCTAAACTGTTTACCTCGGGTCATGGAGTATGTCACTTTATCCTAGTAGTTTGTTGGCATCTACAGTAGCACCATACTTTTTACTTTCACATTGACTGGGCCCCATTTGTAATGATCTGAAGTATTTATCTGCATTATATCTGAATTTAATTGGAACGATACGAGCGAGCAGGAGCGTCTGTTTGTGGGCGGGGCTTGCTGGAGAGGAGAGGGAGGGGAGAGGAGGAGCTGAGGGGAAAACTGGTTGAGAGGGGTAGCGTTTAACTAATATATTTTGTTATCTTACATGTCATCATCTGGCTTATCACCCTGTGATCAAAACATCTTTGGAGAAATTATCACTCCATTAAACAATTCCTTGTCATGGTTTTATTCTATATTTGTTTAGGTCTTACAATAAGTTTGCATTATTTCCCGTATTTTCATACTATGCTTTTATTTTGAAGTTAACGACTTCCACTAGATAGTAAGTTCTCCTTCTTCCCACCTCCTTTCCACCTCAATGCATTACACATGACAGACAAAGTATAACAGGGGCTTTAATTGCTAACTTGCCTATTTGTATTCATTTTACACATCTGGTAACAAGCATTTTAATTCCATAGCCAGGAAATTAACCTTTTTAATTTGACTTGTATTTTTTTTTTCGTAGCAAAGAGAGATTTTTAAAAAATCACAGCCACTTTCTGGTCATTATCTCGCCCACCATAACACCCCCAGTCCAAACCCACTGACTCCTCTCATGCTGATACTGTCTAAAAACAAGTAATACTGGAAAAAGGGTTGTTTTAAATTGTCAACACTTCCCCCACAGGTCTGGTCCTGTGATTTATAACCCACCACAGCAAAGAAAACAAACAGGGAAATTGTTTCTATATGGTTTAGTCAGATAAAGTCTGTTGACATCAAAGAAAATGATTATACCCTTCCAATGACCAGTAGTGAACATTTCAGGACAATGATTTATTGAGCTGAGCTAACAGAGAAAGTAACACTACCACTGCAGGTATTTCTCCTATTTTTTTATACGAGCCTGTGAGTTTTCTTCCATATTTCCTCTGGATCAAGCTTATCGGACCTGTGGATGAAAACAGTTTTTAAGAGCAAAGAAGACGAACACTGACTTCCACAAAATCAAGAGTCGCCAAGAACTGATGTAATGGCTTTCCCACAACAACAAAACTCGGTTTTGTTATTAGAGCACAATCATTAGACACTACAATAACATTTTTAATGGCAGCTAATGTTCATATTATCAGGTAATATTCCACTTGATTAGACGTGGTCCTCTTGTTGTTTTGGACATGATTTCTTTCAGTCGTGGTACTTTATTAGTCACCAAAGTAATTGCTGGGATTTGGGATAAGAAAACATTGCTATCAAAAAGTCTGACGTGATACAAAACAGTGAACCTACAGCTGATTAAACAGCTCAGTCTAATCATGTAAACCTCTCATTTAAAGATAAAATTCTCAATGTTGGCAATAATAATAAACCACCTCAGAGGAAATCTATCTGAAGTATCATAAATCCACTTTGTACCAGGGAGTTGGTCTTTCGTGTGAGCTGCTCTTTCCTGTTGGACATGGGGATTCAGGGCTGGAAAGAAGCATCTTCAGATCATGTTAACCTCTGAACTGTAATGTTACAGAGTCAGGGTGTATAAGGGGTAAACTGGTAATAAAAAAAAATACTGATTTAAAGATGATTTTATGATTTCAGTGAGTTATTTGTGCAGCAAAAACAATAGCTCTGCAGTTTCATCGGTAATGATGTATGAATTAAAGTCAAACTGAACCATGTTATGTACCAAGTGACAGTGCTAATGGATATTTTGCCACAGTGTCAACAGGCAAAGGGTTTCGACCAATCAGAGCCGTGTATTTATCAAAGCCAGATTGTAACATGATATGACAATATTTAGTGTTTTAAAAGTTTTCTCACAACCTGTTACTCATAATGTAAAAACATGAAGTGGCACATAAAGGGTTCCAGCAATCAGACTCAGAGAAAGCGAAATCATCATCCTCCCATTGCAGCTCACTTTGTTTTTTCCGCCGAGATAACTTTGACCTCAGGAGACCTGAATATGATTTTAAAAAGCAGAGCTGAAATGTGACGCTCAAAAAAACAAAAACAAAAACAAAAAAACGATGTGCACAGCAATCTTTTTTAACCCCATCCAGGTCATTTTGCAGAGGCTGAAGCTCTGTCTGTTGTTGGTTAATCTTAATCTCGGTTTTATGCAGGCTTTGATATGACTGGAGGGGAACTCTGGAGCGTTGAGGGTTCAGTAAGTTCACACCTCTTCAATAACAGTGGGCCTACACACATTTTTCAGATTACCTTGAAAATGTCACAGTGTTGTACATTCAGCATTTTAACACCTGGGGCACAGTATGTCTATGTGCTAAAGTTAAGTGCAATGTTGTTGGTTTGTAAATAGTTCTAATTTGTTACCTTTTAATTAAGACACAAATTAAGACACTGGAAAGTTACAGGTGTTATGTGAACAAAAAATACAATATTCAGTTGTGATCCACTGACATGTGCATCTTGTGGTAAACTGTGTTTAATTAGCTTCGTGATTCTTGTTGATTTGAGCTTTACCGTCAATCTGGAAGGAGGACAAAAGGAGTCAGCTTTTCTACTACATAAATCTAGCAGGCAAGTGATCAAGCTCAAATGGTCACCACTGAACCAAAATAATCAACATTTCTGTTTCTCAGAAGCAGACCTGCCAGTCTCATCTCATCTCATCTCCGGAGACAAAACTAGCGTCCATCCTAATTATGGCTAAGAGATGCAGTCTGTCTTTTATAGCATTTTCACATCTCTGTGTGTGATTACAAAGTGTGTCATAAAATTGTCTGCTGATGAAGAGCTCCACGGTTTTATTGTAATCATTCTGAAATTTTGTTTTGTACAAGCGGCAGGATGTTTTAGATGATGTTTCTTCTTCAGCCAATAGATAAAACAAAAAATAATAATTGGTCTGGAAATGCAAACTTACTAAAAATCACATTTCAGCTGTACGTCCACTTGCAGCATACACTCTACAGCTTTATGTGCAAAAAAACATCCTGTTAAAAGAAAAGTTTACCCTGAACTGAACTCCCCACAGTTAAACCATCTCAATCCCCGTGTTGTGAGTGTGCCATCACATCCCTTTTTTTGCTGCTGCAGCTCAGCAGCCTCCAGAGAGCTGGAGGTCAAGCTTGCAGACTCATTAGAGCAGTTTCATAATCCATCAGGGGTTTGTTGTACATTTGATGAATGCAGTCAGCTGTGCTGGGACATGGATAACACTGATATAGATATCTGCTACAGTCACTCAGCAGAACAAGTGCTCATATCTCTGCATAAGAGGTGGTGTCAAAATGCAGTTAAACTTAGATCCTTTTTTTTCCAAGCATCTGGTTTATTTTAATGTATTTCCCAAAAAGAAGTGATGGTATGTACCCAGTTAATCTAATGAGAAAGGGAAGATATTAAATAATAAGAAAATCAAAGCCATTCACATAAGAATCATTATAATTACTTGTTCCCATAACCATGCACCAAAGATATGCCGATCTTTTGTAACTTTGTTTTCCAGTACTCAAAAACATCTGCCATCAATGACTATATTATTAAGCGATCCTCAGATGATTTGCTTTTGGGAATTTTTTAAGCACGAATAGATTAAAAATTCTATTATTGTATGAGAAAGCCTCATCAAACAGAGATATGAATAGTCTTTGTTTGACGGCATCGCTACAAGGGTCATCTCTGTAAACTCAGAGAAATACAAAGATGGTCGGTGTTAGAGCCATTTGTTGTATTTTCTTTTGTGTTAGTGTTTTGTAATCTATTTCAGTTGTAATTGCCCTGCTGCCACACCAGGTGGCGTAAAGTCCTGAGTTTGGTTTGCTGTAAATAGAAGAAGACGTAATTAGTGTCAGGTGTGTTGATAGCTAGAGGAGCAAACAGTTTTTTAAACATCATTTACATCATCTATATCTTTATCATCCTGTCGTCACCATTTGTTGGAATTCGCTTTGTCTTTATTTTACCAAAAAAGAATAAACAAGGAAAATGTGTCTTGGACTAATTGTTTCATTTACACGTGGGAAACAATAGGCACGGAAGATGCGTCAACTGTACATCTATCTTACACCTCAGGGACTCTTTTGATAATTTCGACAGGCAAAATTAAGTCACAACAGTCGGCTTTTTGCTCACTGTGTTTTGCTCAGTTATCTCCTTCAATAAGACAGTTGAAACCAAAACATGTCAACACAGGGGGATATGCAGGATAACACCAAAACATTTGAAGGAAGTGAAAAGACAGACACTAGACAGAGAGAGCCTGACAATAAGTGAGTTTCACAAGTTGTTTTTTTATATCTTTAAGTCAAGTTATCTATTGTACCAGAGTTTAAACAAAGTATTTTTAACTTGTCTTTTATGCATGCCATGCTACTGCTCCGATTTCATTTTTAGGTGCATGTAAACTGAATCACATGTCATGTAAAAACTCAAGTCAATATCTTTTATCAGACTGATTTCAATATTGTGCGTGTGAATCCGTCTGCTGTTGCAATTATCTCCACTCCTTATGCTGAAGTTACTTCATAGTTTCATCAATTTGAGGTTCGTTTAAACATCTTAAGTTACATATTTACAATATATGATGAAATGCAAATAAAGAGTCACCTAACATGGCTTTTACTGGAGCCTTTTTTAGTCATCACTCAAAGCTTCGACATGACAACATAATTCCCTCATAGTTAAAAAGTCTTATCTCCCACAATGACTGCCTCTGTTTACTAACACAGGGAAGTATACTCGCTTGGTGTACTGTAACCACAAATATCCCCAAAAAGAAAAAAAAAAAAAGGAAACACAGGGTACGATGCTCCCCTCTTCTGTCTGTGAGAAGGACTCCACCCTCAGAAAAAAAGAGGCACATTCCTCAGGAAGTTTACCCGTCGCCTCTTCCCTTCATCCATCGCTCTTCCTGCAGGATCTGATCTTCACTGATTACTGTCGGCTGGGTGGGCTGAAAACTGTTAGTATTGAGGAGAGGAGACCCATGAACATTTAGTGGTGTGAAACTTGAACTCTGGCAGTGAATGCCATGGGTAATAAAGCAACAGATTATTGTATAATGGGCAGAGGGATCCTCCCTAAGGATGTCTAATGATGGTATTTTATATGAGTGTATGGAGAGGAAACACATGGATCATGAACCTCTTTCTCATCCATGTTAACAAAAATAAACCAAATCTTTCTTTTCTCAGGCATGAAAAGTTGAGTTTAAGTAACTCAGTGTGATAAAAAAGAATAATGATGGTCAGCTCTGTGCACAAATACTGCTGTGAGTACTGGATTAACAGAGAACAGTCCGTCCATGCACAGGTAAGTGAACTGTTGTCATAGCTTAATAAGGCAATTTAAGTGAACTGTTGTCTGGAAACCTCAGGTCAGTTTCTGTCCAATTAAGCCATGAACAGGACAGAGAAAATCAATCCCCAACTGCTTTATCCAGGTATGAGAAGTTGGATTTAGTGTGATTTTATTCAGACTAATGTGTTAACATGTTTTGGAAAAGTCCTGTTCCAGTCAAACTAAAGCAATAAATGGATCTTTTTGAAGCCTATTGCAAAGATTCATCCAGCTTTCCCGAACTGTGAGAGTGAACTTCAACCTGACAGAAAAGCTGTTTTGTTGTACTTTGTTGTATTAGAGGATTAGTGGATATATACCATGGCTCTAGTGTGCAATCCAATCTGTGGTTTTATGTCATCATTTAGGAGACATATACCATAAAATGGGGACAAAAGCCAAAGCAAATTTAGAAATGTAAAGAAAGTCGAGGGCCATTACAAAAAGAAAGTACAATCACCTCATCATAAGACAAAGTAATTTCATACACATCGCTCAGGGGGGCTGTGAGTGTTTGACTCCATCCAAGGGTCAGAGACATGATTTGATTTTCTCCTCAAAACCAGACACTGTTAGAGCAGCTGTATCAGGTTCCATCAGATAGTGTCCCAGCCGTTCAGCTGCTTGTCACCTCCGCCGTCAACACTGTCCTCCCGGTCAGCACACCTGCTGCTGCTGTAATCCGAAAGCTGCTGCTGCATTGTCTGTGGTTGACAGAAACACTGCCTGTCAACACTGTGCCGTGACAAAAGGCACGTCCCAGTTTAACACGCACTATTTGTGCATTCTGTACTTTGTGTTTTTCATACTGCACCTGACACACAAACATACTCCGAATCCTATTAAAGGCAGAACAGGCAGCATCACAGGGGCTCGAGAGTGCATCACGGAGTCTGCATTTATTTCCTCTGCTGAATTTATCAACATCCTTTTGTTGGTTGAACCCGAGTAATGGCCTGTGTGTGATTCTGTAGCTGCTTCTGTCGGCCTCTCAAGTAGAGCTTAAATCGGGATTTTCAAATGAGTGAAAACCATGTTCAGGGTAGAGATGGGGAGACTCATAAATCATAAATCCATTCCTCATTTCTTTATACAGAAGGTAGGAAACATCCAGAAAATTTTGTGCTGCTTTTACAAAGATGGGCAGTCCCAGACAAAAAGAATATATTACTTAAACATAAATATATTTTAAAAGAGATGTCCTGAAGTATTTAAACTAAATCAAATCGAAACACTAACACATACAGAGAGGCTTTTTGTTCCAACTTTACTTTCTCCACCCCGCTTTAAGCACCTTGATAATCTTTTGATTCACCTTTACATTAATTCATGAAGTTAAATTTCAATTTGTTTGCTTTTAACAGAATCAAGGGCACTGAACAAACACCCAAAGCTCCTGCAAGGAACTTTTTCATTTGCACTGTTTTGGCACCTCCAGTGGACAGAATGGGAACTCTTTTTTTTTTGTTTGTTTGTTTGTTTGTTTTTGGTTTATCTTGCTCTGAATATGTGCAAAAGTGTTTTTTTCTGTGTGATTTTTATAACAGTCAAACATACCACACATTGTGAATATTTGCTGTGTGAAAAGCTATTTGTGCATCTGACACCTGCCCTGCGTCAACAGTGACGAACATATAAAACAAGTATGCAGAAATTATCTGTCATATTACTGATAGTCTTGTTTGCTTCTGTGAATCAGGTAGAAGCATCAGTCTTAGTTTGTCTTTGTTTCATGAAAAGGTAAAAAAAAACTTTTAAGGCCAACTGTGCACCCTAATTAAGAGCACACATTTGCACACATGCCTCACACTCTGTTAAGTTTATGGCTTTACAAATACTTGGTATCCTTACATGCACCTTGCCAATCTAGTTTGTTTCACTCTATTTTACTCTGAGATACATCGTCAGAATCTCTAATAGTAACTCACGAGATATAAATCTTGTGGACATTTACGATTACACCATCATAAAAAGAAAAAAAAAAACATTAAAACCAGAAGCACAAAGATGTTGGCCCTAGAGTCTCATAAGATTCAACAGCAGATAAATCTAACAAAGAAACACACCAATGAATGCAGAGTTTTAATAAGAAGGCCTGCAGACGATCTTTAATAATATGAATATCTAAGTCTCTATTCTCCTGGAGTCTAAACACATTTTTGCTGAATCACCCCCATAGAGGACTAGGAAAGGCACTAGCTTGTGTTGGATGGCAATACGGCATCACATGAAGCTGCACATCACAGCCAAACTCAAAATTCAGAAAAAAGGAAATCTGCTTTCAATTTTCCGCACAGTTTATTTCCTCTTAAGTGAATTTTGTGCAACGTGGGTTGGAAAATCAAATAAGGAAAATATGGATATTTTTAGTTAAAAACATTCCAGCACTCCAGCTATGGTCCATGATGCTGGAATAATCAGTAACTGACCAAGTATTGAATTGATGGTTCTCTATCCGGTGCCAGCGCTGATGAATTTAGATGGGGAAGAATGAAGCAGAGAATTAGACGGACTGTTCAGGTCAGACAGAGAGGCAATTGCCTGTGTTATGAACTGCAACGTGCATCAGGCCACGATCTGCAAGTCATCTTTTCCCTTTTCCTTCTGATATTAGAGTTGAACTTTAGTGGACAGTTTTATTACAGTCTTTATTGAAGAGAAAAATGACTTTCTAAAGCTCTGAGTGGTGCCCTGCTTTGATTTGAGTCTGACAACAGCCACTTTTAAGTCTTCATTATATAATCATACAAGGTTTTTTTTTTTTTCTGACAATGATTGTGCTCACTGGCTTTTCCCACAGGGGTATGACATCCAAATAAGGGGTATGTGTGTTATTACAGGGGAAGAGAGCACTCTAGCTATCAACTGTGGGAACATTATATCTTGCTCAGTCATGAAAACCTCTTTCACACACGCACAGTCATTTTAAGAAATTTTCACGTGTTTTGCTCCTCATTTCCAAAGTTTTTAGTCTTTGCATTATTCTCATAGTGAGAAGAGTTTCCTGTTGGATGAGGGGTGGTGCCGCGGTGGAGGGGATGAGTCTCAAGGGGGCAGAACATGACATCTTAAGTCTGATGCGGAAGCCCCAGTGTAATGTTTACAACATGATGGTGGATAAAGGCACAGAGACCTAATAGCTATAGATGTTCAGATATCAGTGCTCAGCATCAAAATGACTCTCCTTCTTTAACCTGGGATGGTTTTATTAAACTTGTTCCATGTTTCTCTTTTGGTTACATGGTACAAACCTCATCGCAACCTCATTCTTGGCAAACTTTTCAGCTGTTTGTGTTCACAAATGCAGCCTGCACTGTTTCAGGAAGTTTTAAAAGTGTTGTGCATGTATAGATACGGCTTAGGTTCAATGTACAACTGTTTAATACAGTAATGAATGCCACAGCATGTTAGCCAAGAGACAAGACTACTTAGTTTTGTTTTCAGTCCAGAGATAGAATCATATCATGGTGTATATTGGTTATTTAGACTAAGTGGAAATATGCAATATTTTCATATACAGTATATTATAGTTTTGGCGCAGCTATATTCATAATGCACAGCGTGATTTTGACTTGGTCCACCGTCAAGTTAGTACATCTGAACATTTAGCGCCCAGTTTTGACAGTAAGACAAAGGATAACATACAATCTGGTGTACCCCCCAGAACGATGGAAAGATAATGAAAGGTCATTTCAAAATGAAAAAGGCCAATTTGAAGACATAGCTACCTAAAATTTATGATGATAAAGGTCAGTGCTGCTGATAGTAAGTGTTTCATTTTCTTTTCAGCCAGAGCTTGAAATAATATCAGCACATTTTAGTTTTAATTAACTTTGTATTAAAGTTGAGGTCAAAGTAGAAAGGGAAAAAGAGTTTTTTTTATGTATCTTTTTCATTCTAATCAAATGTTTTAACTCCACTAAGTGCTTTTTGAGTCAACCTTAAGTTAAGTTTATGCACAAGAGCGAGGCAAATGGACTCTTTGGAGTCTCAAATAAAAGACATTTCTGAGAGAGACAGATCTAATGTTGTAAAGCACTTTGTAACTTTGTCTTGAAAGGTGCTCTATACAAAAAGTCTATTATTATTATTATTATTATTATTATTATTTTTATTATTATTATTGTTCCTCTTATGCCCAAACTACAGAGCTTGTGATTAATGCTTTTGTACCCTGCCTATTTCACATCAGACGTCTTATCCAGACACCAAAATGTAAGACTGTTTTGGTTCTCAGGGGACCACACAAGATTAAACCAAGCTATGTTTCAGCTTTTGGATCAGCAGAAATCTTAACATACTGAACATAGGCACCAAAGCGTCCTTGTCATTTATCACCAGAGCACTAACAACCCTGCAGCTTCAATAGCTTAATGGCTCAATTATTTTAGCAAAATGGTCCCCACATGTTCCAAATTGCTGCTATGTTGGTGCCAAGGCATTAGCTTTGCCAGAACAAATTTCCTGAACTTGGTAAACAAATAATTATCCATATATGCACTGACAGAGAAAGATATGAGAGCATTACATGAATCAACAGACGTGTTTCTTTAACGGTAACATTATGTCCTAAGCATGTAAACTGCTTAGAGTACAAATGTTAAACACGTGAACTCAGGGCTGTGTGCTGTGCTGCAAACACTTCAGGTGGCAGGATGAATGAGGAATTTTAACCTGTTACCAGAGAGAGAAGTCCATAAAAGAGCAAGATGTCTTTCTTTTTCTCCCAAGCCAAATATGCCTTTCACTGTATACACACACATAAACTAACGCAACTCCTATACTCAGATAAGAGGCGCATCTTGTTAGTTTTATCCTTAAATATTGTTTTTGGAGTTGGGGGGAATGGTGGGCTCAAGAAAAAAGAAAACGTGTAGACACATTCGCGTTTATAAATTATGAAACAGTGCCCCCTGCAGGACACATACTCACACTGACATGAAGGTGCAACAAACTTAAATCTGCCATCAACTTCACTTTGAGTAAGTAAAATCCTCAATCACATTCATTTGTGTTGATTTTTCTTTTTACCTCTAATGGCGCTTATTGAGTTCTATGAGTGTTTCAGAGTAGTTTCTAGTCACATGAGAAATCTTCCACAGAGTTCACAAAAAGTCTAACTCTACAACTACTCAATATCCGTTAATTGAATTTTAGGCAGTTAGCTGCTATGACCCCTAGACCTGACAGAAGAAGGCAACTATATGTTAAAGTTCTTGTCATGACTATTACAAAAAATAGATTAATAAATTAGTCAAGCTCTCATATATATTTTGCAACAAGGTTAACAACTTTGCCTGAGTGAATTGTTTTAAAAGGCTACAGCTGGTTGTAGTCACAGAATAACCTTAGATCTAAGGCCAAGATTTCTGAAATAAGGGGTTGAAACCTTCACATGAAAGCTTGTCCTAAATCCACATAAACTTGCAGAATGTCATCAGAAATGTTTCTTTCCTCCTTTTTCATAATTAAGTCTGAGGTGTTGGATTTGTTCATCTCTGGTGTACTGTAAATTTGAGAGGAATTATAATCTGATTGAGTTCTTGTCTGATTGTAAAATTGTGGGATTATGTCAAGTGAAGTAAATGATAATGTTATCAATTATAACAAACAGTGAATAGATGTGAAAACGTCAAGTGTAATGACAGGATAGGACATAATTGTTAATATTGTTAATATTTTTAAGTAACCTGATGAGTGTTTAGTAAGTTGATCCTGAAATTTGAAGATCTGGGGTAATAAACAGTCAGGTTTGCAGTTTGTGAGGTGTTATTTGTTCCCATATTTGTTCAGAGGTTTGAATTTTGCTGGTTTCATTTTGCTTGGAAAAGTACTTGTTTGGAAGGAAATGTTAAATATGTTATCAGTTTTGAAACTCACTAAATACCAGTTTCACAACAGTCAAATCAATGTCACCACCATCAGTAAAGGTATTATTTTCAATATTCATAATGTCTCGGTCATCCATTGCTGTAATAGACAGTAAATGACCTAACCAAATGACACATTGAAAAGCACACGAAGCAAAATTAAACAATAACCTTTCCACTTACTTCTTTGCTCATCTTCTTGCTTTCGTCTTCGGTGCCTAGATCGTTAAACGCGGGTGCATCATCATTATGGGTCCCCAGCAGCTCACTTCCATTGTGGCTTTTTTTTAAATTTGCATCCTTTATTTTCGCAGTAGGTAACTTTTTTTCCCATCATTTTTTATGCATTGTTATCTTCCGTTGTGGCTTTTTTTTTTTTTTTAATCTGCACCACCTCTATTTTTTATTTGCAGCAGGCTTCAGTTTATTTTTTTCCACCAGTAACTTCCATTGTGGCTTCTTTTTTTTTTTTTTTTTCTTGTTTTGCATTCTTTTTTTTATTTGCAGCAGTGGCAGTTCTCGGCCCTCGTAGAAAAAGTGATTAAAATCAGGTTGCTGAGTGGTTATGAAGATATTAGTAATTCAGAGGGGGGGACAACAAAGCCTGGGCGGAGAGGAGACTGACAGGAAGTCGGTGTGAGTTGAACCAATCACATTGAGGAAAGTCCAGCAGGACAGAGTCCGCAGAAAGGACTCGGATCACCAGCAGCATCCAGTGACTGTTTGTAGCTGCGTTAGCTCTGACACTAAGTTAGATAACCAGCCCTCTCTCTCTCAGCCTGTGGAGGTCTGTCATCTAACAGCGATACCGACAAGTGGACAAGCCAAGAAACCAAGTCAAATCTCAGGCGGGGATAGCGGTGGAGATGTGTAATAAGTTACACTGGAAAACAAGGACCTACCTGTCTGCGAGCCGCTCAGCTGACAGCTGTCACCGCACCTAGCTGTGTGTAGCTAGGTAGCTAGGTGAGCTAACAGCTAACAAGTGTTTTTGGGGGGGCTAATTTAGCCTGTGCTGCTCTCGTAGGAGGTAACAGTGACTTCCACATGAAAACTCTCGGTTATTATTTCAAGTATTCACCTCTGCTCCCTCTGGAGTCGGTAGCATGAGTTAGCCAAGCACCGTTTTGGGATTATTTTGGGATATTTTGAGGTCCAGCTAGTTCGCCAACGGTTATCACGGAGCTAGCTCGCTGCATTCATTCAATTCTTGAGAAACCTCACCACTTCGGGAGTGGACTTTTTGTTGCAACAACAATACATTTTTGGTCTCGACTGTGCTTTGGGTGACCTCTCTGGGAGGAATGAAGAAATTTTTTGACACTCGACGGGAGTTGGTCAGCTCCGGGCCTGGACCAGGAGCCGGGGGAGGAGGCGCTGGTTCCGGCGGCGGTGGCAGCTTCATCGGCCGGGTCTTCACCATCGGCCGGTATCAAGTGACCGTGGAGGAAATAGTCGCAGAAGGTGAATTCTCACTTTTTACACCAACACATCTAACTGGGTCCACTGTCTGAGCTATGAAGGTGGTCATTTAGGTATTTTAAGTGGAAAGAAGAGGGCCTGTGTTTGCAAAATCACCATTATTATGATATTGTATCACCTTTATTATAGTTTACTACTAGGTACACTGCTGGTATTGCTCATAGGTACAAGGCCACACTAGTTGTAAAAGCTCTGTATCTCAGGTTTTAGTTAACTTGCATATATGACTAGAGATCAGTGCACTGAAGAAGGTCTCTTTCTGCAAACTTCACTTTTTTTGGAGGGTGTGACAGTGTTGTGATTTGTTCAGATTCACATTTTTCCCCTCACATTATTGCATGCTTTACCTGAAGGCTGGGAGGAACTTGGTATAACTGGATTTTCTACTGTGGTGTTGGGACTACTGCCATGCTGAGTCATTTGTCTTGGTATTTACAAAGGGTGTAACATATCTCAAATGTAGATTTTGAGAGTTTGGAGGGAGGTAAGGGTGATAAGTTTTGCAGCGTAAACCTCTTTTCTTAAATGCATCAAATGAAATGGTGAGAAATGTTTTGGTAGCTTTAACTTTTCATCAAGCTCCCTGGTAGTATTATGGAGGTTTCCAATAGTCATGTCTCTTTGCACTCAGAGCTCGCCATGCTCTGTTAGCTAAGAGCACCTGTTACTAAATAATAGATGAAAAAAGACTGATTAATTTATCACGACTATAGATGGGCCCCATCTGTTTGGTAGCATCGTGACTTTATGAATGGACGAGACATCCAACCTCAGTCCTACACTGCTCTGAGATATCAGTGGGGAATATTATCATAGTTTCTTCATTTTTTTAGTGAGGACTTGTGTAGTTTGCTTATCAGTTCTGGGAAAACTTTGGACTTGATGATGACATTCACTGGAGAGAGTCAGCACTGGTGTTGATAAATGTCATGCTTTACAAAATGAAACATTGCTGAAACATTACATACTAGCTGGAATGTTTCCCTGTGTACATTTTTGGGTCAATGACGTAGAGGTTTTTAAACATGCCAATTTTAAAATAGCAAAAATAAGAATATATTTTGCAAAAGTTTAAACACTAAGGATGTTGTATATACAAAAATTTATGTTACATTTTTAAATTACGCAATTTTAGTGTTTTTTCATATAGATGAATTGCCCGTAACCTTAAAAAATGTCATGTGGTGCGACCATAATTTATCTCAATTTTTTTTTTTTATTTTAACATACTTAATAGTTTTTTACAAATTCCCAGTGATATCAAGTAGATAGAAACAAAGCATTTGCATTTCATTCGAGTTTTTGTAAACAATGATCTCACATTTTAGCTCTATAATGTCACAGTCACTAAATTAAATGCAGTTAACTGAAATGTTTTAAAACTACCTTTCACTTAAGCATATTGTATCAGGTATTAATGTTTCAGTTACAGAAATGAGATATTTTAGTTTGTATTTAATACAATTAATGTTATTATTGGTCGCACCACATGAAATTTTGACACTTTGAAGTTCAGAAAAATTACAAATAAGACACCACTACTTATAAATCCCTTTTAAAAACTCACTTATTTAAAATTGCTTTTAATATCTAACTGATTTATTCATTTTATTTCTACTGCTTTTATGATTTTGTTTTATTACCTTGGGTTTTATGTACTATGTAAAGCATCTTTGAGTGTTTTTAAAAAAGCACTGTACAAATAAAATGAATTAGTATTATTATTATTATTAAATAAGACCTAATTTTTGAAAAGTTGAAGTGACTACATAAATGAGAGAGATACTACATATAGAAAGTATATTTTTGTGCATTTAAACCTTTTTTAACTTATAAAAATACAAAAAAATACAGCCGGACAGAATATTTAGGCGTCACGTCATTGACCCTTTTATTGCTCTGGTGGTGCACCCAGCGCTTGCAATGTAACTCCCTCCAAGTGTCCGTTAACCTCTTTATTCAGACGGTTTTGGGTCTATTCTGGGATAGCTTTTAGTTTCTGTTTGTTGGCTGCTCCATTTGGAAAAGGTTTCTCCTCTCTGTCTACTTCCTTTTGTTTTCAGCGTTGTTGCCTTTGGCTTTGAAAAACAAAAACTTCATGAACAAAAGCAGTGGCAGGGACATGCTGGCTTTTGTAGTTTGGGGCCTAAAAGGACATGCATGGATTCACGGCGTTATTATAGTTTTAATTTTAGACATTTGACCTTCGGGCAGGTGTGAATGACTTGTTCAGAGGATTTCTTCATGTTTCTTGCCCTGTTTTAGAGATTTAGATGTTGTGTAGGTTGAAGCAGTGAGTGTGTCTCCATTCCTGCTCTGAAACATGAAGCATCAATGAGTCATTTCCTCAGCTGGAGGCCAAATTCACAGAGTTTCAAAAACGTAGAAAATTCGCTTTTACTCAGACTGAACAGCCTCTGTGTCTCTGTGCTAATTTTGGTTCACCCTGCTGCTGACGGTATTTCTTGTCACTGAGGTGTCGTGTAACCTTTCAGCAAACCTGTTTGTAAATAGTGTTGTACTCACAAGGACATGTGTCTTCTCTAGTAATGCACTAAATGGCAGTTACGTAATTTCCATTACAGTAATGGTGATTTTTGACACTCTAACCATTCAGCTCACTTTTCATAAGAGCGCTCAAAGGTATGTTTGTTGGGTATGCATGCATGAACAACGGCGGCATAATCCCGACAGTCTGTTTACGTCAAAAGGCAGCGGCTATTTGTAGGTGTACTTACAATTATTTGTTCACACTGTCCACTGGGATTGTAGTCCACTGCTAAATGTTGCTTAAGAAGGCTGCTAATCCCTCTAATTTCTTACTGGCATCTCAGATTAGACTGTGCGAGACACAGCAGGGGGTTCAACTGTCTGAACACAAACAGAGCAAACACCCTCACACACTATTTTGAAGCTTGATTTCTCATAATCATAAACTATCAGTTTCATGTTGTCTTCTTTGTAAGCACGGTCCCTTGCTGACTCTAAATAACACGACTTACTCAGCCAAGTCCTCTGCCAGTACATGTCTGTTGGTGCAGCACGGTACTGCAGATTTTTGCACTTGATTGTGAAATTTCCAGTCTTGAATTAATAGTCGATGATGTGTGTAGAAGGACCACTGAGGGTTATTTGTGTTTAGGAGACCATTTTTTTGCTTCTCCACATCAGCTCTTTGACTTCTTCTTCTTTACAGCAATGATGCTCAGTGCATCCTCATCAAAAGACACGCAGACCAGTCACGTGGAGCTGTCCTTGGCTTAGTGATGCTGGCTGGATGAGTCAGTTCGTGGCATTAACACGAGCTAAGAGAGGGAGAGAGAGAGAGGGTGAGAGTGAGAGAGAGAAAACTGCGAAGAGGAAAGCTGCAGTAACAACAAAAGTGTGACCTTTGCAGTAAAAGCTCCTATACCATACAAACACAAAACTCAGAGTAAACAAATCCAAGGTCTAGTCATCTGAAGGAGTCATTGAGCCCCCTCCTTCACCGTTCAGCGCAGTATAGCGATGTCTTTGTTTCACAGCCAGATGTGCGAACGGTAAATTTATTTATATCTGCTTATCTGTGTCAATCATCCTTGTGGTTGTTGGCGGTTTTGTGTTTCTGTGGAATGAATACAGTCATCATGTGTTTGTTTTTTTTTTCCTCCGTCAGCATCAGTGTGACCAGAGGTGGGATGGTGATAAATTCTCTCAGTTCCTGTATCATCTGTCAGTGTTGTCTGCTTTTTGCATCCTTCCCCTTAGCACAACTGCTGACTCACACACACAGTGACGTTTAAAAGCTGCTTTTAGCAGTTCGCCAGCAAGTCGACCATGCGTTCACCATCCCATTTATCTCTCTTTAAGCACTCCTTTCTTCCTCTAATTAACATGAAGTACATTTATCAACAGTACGCCATGGTTTGTCAGCCAGTCTGGTCAGCTGCTAGTATAGATATCTATGTCTAATGAGTCAGGGACAGAGTTAAAGTTCAAACTTGGTGAGGAAAACTCTCAGGAAAGATAATAACTCATCCTGTCTGCTGTTGCAATTAAAAATCACTGGGCGTAAGACAACTGTGAGTTTCTTTTGAAAAGTAATAATTGACCTGGGGACCTTTTCTGGACCACATTTGAAATATATTTCTGTCATGTTTTATAATCGTACAATTAAATTCTTATCTCTTTTATGGACTTTTTCAGTTTTCAGCAACTTGTCTATATTTGTATTTCTCTTAACGTACAGTAGTTCATTTAACTTATTCTCTTTTTACTTTTTATTCCTCAACATCTTATGCATTTCAAGATCTACAAAACCCGAATTCCAGCACTTACTTGTATTTTTTATTTATTTATTTTTGTTACTTAAGCACAGTAATAGGAATATCCAACAGTAGACAGGGTTTTAAAGGAAAGGGGGAGTTTGTGATGTGTGTCCTTGTATATTCTGTATTAAACTAATAAAAATATTGTTGAGTAAAAAAAAAAAAGAAAAGTAATAATTGAAAATGTTTGTCGTACTCTCACACACAGGATACTCTGATTGTCACAGTGATGTATTTTGCTGTTTTCGAACACTAAATTTGTCTCATTCTTCTTTCTCTCTCTCCACTCTCAGGAGGTTTTGCTATAGTTTTTTTGGTGAGGACTCATCAAGGCATACGTTGTGCCCTGAAGAGGATGTACGTCAACAATGAACATGATCTGCAGATCTGCAAACTTGAGATCCAGATAATGGTGAGTGAGACAGTCCAGTTACAGACCCTCTTAAATTCAGTCAAATCCTTTTTCACTTCAAGAACAAATGCTGGAAATTTGCAGTAAATACTTTTGGATGCAGGTGGTTAAAAGTTTTTGTCCTTTTTTATACGCAGTTGTTCTAGAAATGTTGAACTGGTTCTTTCCTGTGTGTCAGTTTTCTTACTACATTCCTACTGTAGATGAAATGAACTAGTTCTTACTGCCACTCCCTGGATGGCATGACTCGCTTGATGGTTATCATCACTTCACACAGACTCTGTAGATGAAAAGGAAGGAATAGAAACAAACATGAACTTTTTCATACTTTACAAACTCAGTGTTTTAACTCTGTCAAAGCTTTTTTACCAGTGTTTGTCATTGTTGTTTTCTCTTTTAATGTGTTTGTACAGAGGGACCTTGTGGGCAACAAAAACATAGTTGGTTTCCTGGACTCCAGCATAGCTGCAGTAGGAGCTGGTGATGTGTGGGAAGTCTTAATCTTAATGGACTTCTGTCGAGGTGAATGAACTCCCCCAAGCCCCCATTCCTTCCTCTTATTTGAATTCAAGCTCCAGTTCATTGAACTAATAATAGCTTTCTGCTCTGTTTAAAGTCAGTGAATGGCTGTGGGCTACTTCTCTTAGTGTACATCATTATATTACTAAGTAGTTGTGAAGCTTCTGTGGGTTAAACTTGTTAGTATGACTTCAGTCTTTTATCCTAACTTAACGTTTGAACTTGTAGGTGTAAGAAATGCATTAAAAATTATCATATGCTCCAAGTTTACCACAGCTATAGATAACATATACTAACACCAGTGGTGATGCACATATGCTATAGTTTCAAACATCAGTCTTTACCCAAGTTTATTCCTTATTTTTGTTGCTCTGTGGAAAGCTAAATCGATGTTGCATTCAGTAAATCTCATGAGGCTGTCTTAAAGTTTGCCTGAAACAAACAGGTCACGTTTTATATTCATAATTACAGGTATATAAGATGTGGTAAGGTGGCACACAGTGTAAAAACAACATTTCACTGACTTTTAGCTCCACTGTGTGTTTTCTGTAGGTGGTCAGGTGGTTAACCTGATGAACCAGCGGTTGCAGACGGGCTTCAGCGAGGCCGAGGTGTTACAGATCTTTTGTGATACATGTGAGGCAGTTGCTCGTCTCCACCAGTGCAAAACTCCAATCATCCACCGAGATCTCAAGGTGAGATAAATGTGATACCTAATATGCAGAAATTACTGGATAGAAAAGCGAACTGACGGCTGGACTAATCTTAGATGTCATTTATCATGAGTGTTGTTTACTTCATGTGCTACGACACCTCTAATCCTGTCTCTCTCATGTAGGTGGAAAATATTCTTCTGCATGATCGGGGACATTACGTGCTGTGTGATTTTGGGAGCGCTACAAACCGCTTTCAAAACCCTCAGACAGAGGGGGTGCCAGTGGTAGAGGAAGAAATCAAGAAGTATGTATTTGTTAGTCCTTTGTGCTGTGTGTGTTTTTATCTGTTTGATTAAAATTCAGATACTTATTGGTCTGTTCATAAATCCAGGTACACTACGCTGTCATACCGCGCTCCTGAGATGGTAAACCTCTATGGTGGACAAGTCATCACAACAAAAGCAGACATTTGGGTGAGACACGCCATGTTTATCACTTTAATGTTACCATATTAAACTGCCAGGATGATGGCGCGAAGTGTGGAAACAACAGACCCAGCCTCATTTTTACATGAAGTGCGATGTTTCTCTTTACAGGCCATGGGTTGTCTACTGTATAAGCTTTGCTTCTTCACACTCCCATTCGGAGAGAGCCAAGTAGCTATCTGTGATGGAAGTTTCACCATCCCAGACAACTCGCGTTACTCCCAGGACATGCACTGTCTCATCAGTGAGTATCCTGTCCGACATGTAGACATCTGCTCTGAACTCATCCCGTTTCTACTTGTGTGGCGTTCCTGTGAGTGTCGGTGTGAAATTCTCTTGTGTCTGACACAAACTGTTAATGTCTCAGGGTACATGCTGGAACCTGACCCAGATAAGAGACCAGATATCTACCAAATATCCTACATTGCCTTCAAACTCGCTCGACGAGAGTGTCCTGTCCAAAATGTACATGTAAGTCCCAACATACATGTACATTTTTCCCAGTAACTCATGACTTGTATGTATCTCACAATCATTTCAGTTGTCTTGGATCTTGCCCACTGAGCAATAGACGGCTATTAGACATCTATTTTTTTTTTTAAGACCTAATTTTAACCGTCAAGATTCTGTATATTTTTATTTCAAAAAGCAACTGTGAGTGGCATAAATGATCTCCAAGTGCCTAACCAAAATTATTATGATAGCCGTTGAGCATTATACAGTGTAGTATAGATATAGCCTGATTTTAGACCAGATATCTAGGTTACATTTAGACGTCTATTAGACCTCTTTTAGACCAAAAAATGCTCTGTGAGTGGGTTAAGTTGGCAGTAATTTAGCCTAATTAGTAGTGCTTTTATGAAAGATGGTTTAACTTTGAATTTAGATCAAAATAAAAGTCATAATTTCCCCTCACTGTTGTAGAATTCCTCCATTCCTGCAAAACTTCCTGAGCCTATTCGAGCCAGTGAAGCTGTGGCCAAAAAGAGTCAAACCAAAGCCAGGTAAGTGACAAGCAAACTGATCGAGTGTTATCCTGTAGGAAGCGTCTTTTATTAATAGTCCGATTTTCCTTTTATTCCAGGCTCACAGACCCTGTTCCTACTCTGGAGACCTCAATCGCACCTCGACAACGACCCAAGGCTGGCCAGGCTCAGCCCCAGCCAATATCAGGCATCCTCCCAATCCAGCCAGCTCTCACACCACGTAAGAGACCCAACATGGCTGCTGCTGGGGCGCCCCAGACCATAGGTATCAGCAGTTCGTATTTACATCTGCGAGTCAGGGCAAAGGCCACTCGTACTAGATAACAGAGGCCCAGTAGGTTTATTATAGCAGATATCCTGGTAACAGTCCACACAAAGTGACATCTTGTATTCTCTACTGAATACGATGTCTGTTTTGTTATTCAAGAAAGCCTACAATTACAAAGTGCTTCCACACAGACACAAACAGACAGTTTATTTGCTAAAACAAAGAAATTAAGCAGCCAGAAGTGCAGTTGTATTGTAATTCAAAACAGACTCTTTATGTGATATTTAATAGGTGCATCTTTCTAATTTTCTCCCCTTCAGGTGTCGGTATCAGTGTCCCACCTCCGGCTGCAGCTGCTGTCCAACCTCCTCAACAGACTCCTGCTGCACCCCAGTCAGTTCAGATAGCAAACATGCAGCCGCAGGCTTCACAGCAGCACCAGCAGCTCCTCATGAAGCAGCAGCAGCAGCAGCAAGCCTTCTTAAGTCCACAGAGTAACCAGCAGGTAGGCGTCCGTTCGGACCAAGAGCGGTAGTACCTTTTCGAATGTCTTTAACTGTCACTTAGCGTAGCATCTAGCCTTTATCTAAAACCAACATGTGCTTTGGCCCTGAACGCTTGTTTGACCCTGATCAGTGGAGTTAAAACATTACATGTATAGGATTCTGTCCATTTTGTGTTTCATAGATCGCTCCTGAGCTTTTAGGAGCAATAACTTTAGTATCTTTTTTGTGAATGATATCCTCCTTCACCTTCTTCTCTTCTCTACACTAATTTTTGTCAAAGTGGGAGGAAACAAACTCTGAAAAATGTGCTATAAAAAGATACCATTATGACCCAAAGTGGGCCTTCCTCATGCTTGGCTGTGGTATTTCTACGTAGCATCAACTGGTACAGAACCTCCACAGCCAGCCCCAGCAGGCGTCTCAGGTGTCTTCAAAGCTGCAGTCCAAAGCTAAGCCTGTTTCTCCAGTTGTTAATCTGCAAGTGAAACACCAGCAACATGTAGCCCCTGTCCATGAAACAGCAGCGCCTCATCTGACCCCGATCCCGGAGTCTGCGGTGGTTGACCCAGAGGTCGTGGTAACGTCCTTCTTCTGCTGCCATCTGCTGCTTTTTTGGGCCACAGAGTTGATTACCAGCTCCGCTCTAACCAATCATGTGTAGATTTTCTCTCTTCTGCCTTTGGGGCTCAGGAAAGACAAGGATACTTTCTTTCATGATTAGGAGCTGCCTGATAACCAAATCATTCGTACGGCATTCTGGACTTCTTCTTTAAGCGTCTTAACAGTTTCTTCGTACTTTGTCGAGCTTCTCTGAGCAAGGGTTCATTAGCACTTTGTCGGTAAACTCTCCAGTCATAGGGGTGTGTCTGTGTATGTTCTCTTCTTCTCTTTGCTTTGACAGTTTTAACCCTCTTAGTGGTGTTGTTCCTTTTCAGGAATTAAAATCCATCTCATTTTCAGCTTTCAAAGAGATCTTCTGTACTTGATTTGTCCGTCTCTGTTTTAGAAACAGAAAAATTGAAACTTTAAGTTAATCGTTATCATTTCTTTCCTGTAACAGACCGCTGGCAGAGGGTTACACAAAGTCGGCTCCCTCACACCCCCGTCTTCGCCAAAGATGGCTCCCAAGAGCGGCCACAGACGCATCCTGAGTGATGTCACTCACAGCGCTGTTTTCGGAGTCCCAGTCAGCAAGTCCACCCAGCTCCTCCAGGCAGCCGCAGCTGAAGCCAGCCTCAACAAGTCCAAGTGAGCAGAGTTAACTCCCTCCAGTGATCTGAGGATGAACCGTCCTTTCACAGAGCCGAGTGTGTTGAGGAGGGCAATAGACTGTCCATTCATATGAGGAGCCCCAAGGGAGGATAAATGACTCTTTTAGACCCCAGAGAATCCTGCTTAGAAAGAATCAACTCAGTCTTGAAATAACTCTCCTCAATCTTGTACATCAGTCGGATAGTTTCCACAGACGTAACACCCACTATCAAGTTTCACTATGCACTCTTACCCTTGTTTATGTTTTTCTCTGTGTGCCGCAGATCAGCCAGCACTACTCCCTCTGGCTCCCCCTGCTCGTCCCAGCAGAGCGTGTATCATCCGGGCGATGGCGACCCCCAGGCGTCCCTCGTTGCTCCCAACTCTGTATCCAGCTGGAACCCCTTCGGTGATGATAACTTCTCCAAGCTAACGGCAGAGGAGCTGCTAAACAAAGACTTTGCAAAGCTTGCTGAGAGTGAGTATTACTCGTGCCCAGGTGTGTGATCACCTGCAGCCTCGGTTGTGTGATGCGATAATAATTACTGTTTGTTTGTGCACAGCTGCTGCATCAGGAGAGAAAGTCACAGGCTCCAGTGAGAATCTCATTCCAGGGCTTAATGCTTTCCCAGGTAAGGTTTTGTGTGATTCAGTTATTCTCTGTTTGGTGCTTCAGTGTTTTGCATATTAGATTTTTTAGGAGGCTTTTCTTCTTCTTTTTATTATCCAAGTTGATATTACCCTCCAATACCTGCATACCCATCTCCACAAGTATGGGATTCTACTTTTTAGCAGGGTTAGGTGTTAAAAACATAAAGGACGCATATTTGGAGTGTGGCAGCAGCGTCGCGTATCACGCAGCAGATAGGTTGCCATTCTAATCAATGCAGCAAAGCATACAGGACGTGAATCAGCTCCGTCGTATCGAGAGCTGCTGTATGCCTCCAATGCGCGTCAATCCACACAGAGAAGATCTTTTTAGACAAGAAGTCAAGCACAAAAATCGTACATGTCATCCGGTATATCAAAATGAAACACCATATGTGAACTCCTGACTGTGTATCAGTTCGTGTTGATGAGAAATACTTCTTGGTTATGGATTTATCAGGAACACAGAACAATCTGATGGTCAATCCCTGATCCATGTGGACCCCAACACGACTTTTAATAGCTTCCTCTGTTTGAAGGTTACAGCACAGCATAAAGGAACATAGTTTACTTTCTTAAACACGAGTAAACCTGCAAAAACCCAAACTGTAAAATCACGTTGCTTTTTCACATACAGTAGAGGCTCAACAGTCACTGAATTATATCCAAATTAGCAGAAAATAGACCAAAGAAAGGCAAAATAACCTGTTGTGAGCATGTTGTTTCTCTATACTGAGCCCAGCTGACCGGGGCTGCACTACGCTGCTGCTACGCTCTAAATACAGATCCTGTCTGCGATCCCAAATGCTGCTCTGCAGAGCAAATACGGAACACGCTCAATACAGATCCAGTATGTTTTCGGCTTTACTTATATGCATCATCAAAAGTGTACACATGTCCTGCCAACCCCCTTTCTTCATTTGTTCATGTTCTCATCAACCTTCATTTGCTCTCTTTTATCCTTATTTAATGTGCAATGTTAAGATGAAAGGCCTGCCTGCACCACGGCTGCAGGTTCAGCATTTTTGACAGTCCAGGACCCTTTTAATACCCTCTCCCTCTCTGACACCACAGGTAATTTTCCAGTATCAACATCACAGAGAACTTTGCTTCTTGATTCTCTCAGGCTCAAGGCTCATGAACAAATATATTTATTGTGCTCTGTATTTATTTAGCTTCCTGGATATCACACTTCCCAGAGGTTAGCTTACGAGCGCTAGGTTTGTGTTTTGGATTTGCTCACGGTCTTATCTTGTTGACATTGCACGCAGCTTCACAGTGGCTCCTTGTCAGCCGCCATGAATAGAGACCGTAGCTACTGCTCGATCGCATCTCATTTGCAGACCTGTGCTTCTGCCGTTGCCTGGTAACACGAAGGACAAATTCTCCTTTGTTAATTGGATTGCCTTCCCGCTGGACGAGCCTGCTTACTGAGGCCGCTAAGAACAAGGGAAAGTTAAGCGAGCCATCCTGTCAGAATAATGACTCAAGCTTTTAAGTTCTTCTCTCTTTAGCCTTTTAGCTTTTTGTGAGCACATGCCTCTTGGTTGTGTTACTTCCTTTGTGTAGTTACTGTTCAGGGCCTGAACTGAGAGGATTAAAAATGTTGAGGCCATTACATAATCAGGGTGTGGTTAATCTTCTCCACCCAGCCTAAGCTGTCTATTTGACACTCTCTGTATAGCTCACTCAAATGGGAGGCACACAAGAGAGCAAACTCGATCGGACTTTGACTGATGATGAAGTGGAGTTTCAGCTGAACTATATAAAGCAGAACAAGTCAAAATACTACAAACAACATTTTTATGCTTTTTGACATTTTCATATTTGCTGGAAAGCTTGTCATTACTGTTGGCCTCTTTCCATAGTGAAGGGGGCAAAGGGTCACATCTGCTGTACCATTTTCTGAGACAACACATTCCTTGTCCAAGACCCCCACCCCCACCCTGTTTTGCCCCCATAGTGGTTTCCTGTAAGTACGCGCTGGAGTGAGAAGTCAGTGATTTGTGGTTTCCTGCATGGCCTGTAACAGTAGCATTACCTGAAAATAATAATAGATACAAAAATTTAGTTTACTGGAGGAGTCATCCTTTCAGTTGTACCAGGATAGACTGTGATGGTTGGCATATGCATCGTGCATTTGAGTCAATCTTTTACTGCAGTGGATTAACTAATTGATTACTTTGAGGTTTTGTATGATGAAATGCTTTTTTTGTTGATGTAAAGTGTTTTCTGCAGCAGTTGTTTGGTTCAATAACTGCAGAAGCTAAGCTCTGATGGGGTTTTGCCCTTTGAATGCATGAGATATCATCCTGCTTGGTATAGAGGAGTGCGTGGCTTTACAGTGCAGAACTAAATAAACTAACAAAAGCTTTTTTTCATTTTCTGTTTTATTGATTTCACATATCAATATTCCATCAACATTTTACATATATTGAACAAGTTTACAACTGTGTAGAATATTTGCATACTTCTCCATCGCGGAGCAGAGACATAGTTAGATATAAATTCTCAGGTAAAGTTACAGTTGAATAACTGTGTAGTAGAATTAACACTTTTCACTCATGTCTTATTTCACACCTCTCTTGGATTGTCCCTTTTCTCCTGTTGGAGGGTAAATATAATAAACAGATGAACAATGAAGGGTATCAATAATCTACAATACACAGTGCCTTTACTGTGCAAAATCTGCTCTCAATTGAGACATAAAATCAACCCCGTTTTCCCAGTAGTTTTTTAAGTATCTGTTTTTAGTCTAGATGAGAAAGTCAGCTTCTCCATTCTATATATATCGATCATTACCTCTACCCAATCCTCTATTTTTGGTGCCAAAAAGCTTAATTTTATTCTTGCATGATTGTTTCTTTGACTCTGCAGGCCGCCGAGTGTTTGTGACATGACAGTTAAAAATATCAGTGATCCCTCCCTTTCAGTCGTCATGTATTGGTTCATTTTCTTATGACCTATTTTAAGTATTATTTTTCCAAACATGTTGGCCAAATTTGCAAATTTCTGACTTGTATTTTGTGAATAATTCCTCACATTGCAATAGTTTTATATTTGTAAGTGTTCCATTTTATTCTGTCCGTCCTTTTTAGTAGTTCACACATAAAGTAACTGTACGAAGGGTTATCTCCTGGAACTTATCAGCCCGCCCCTGACCTTTTGACCTCTGACCCCTTTAATAGATATACAGAACTTTATCAATGGTACCAGCTCTGTTTTATACCGCCTGCCTGTCCTGCATACTTCTTCTCTACTTTCATCTCTTCTTTCACTCTCGTGGTTAAGATGACAGAAAGACCAACTTGAAAAAGGAGCAAAGATGATCTTCATTGTTCGATCCTTTCTAAACTAATCTGTTTTTTCTTTAAGACTACAAATAATCTCTATGCTACCTTTTTCCCCACTTGCTGTTTCCGTGTAGTAAGGGCAGAGGTGTGTGTGGATTCACTCATTCCTGGTCTGGAAGCCCCGCAAGCCCAGAGACATTCAGTCCAGCCAGATCTCATCCCTACCAGCATGCCAGGTTAGCATCCTGGACTGCAAGAAGGAAATCTTCTTATTATTCTTTGTGGTTTTACACATTTTCACATGGATTTGCATGGTCTCGAATTTTTGCCTTTCATATTTTTTATTGTGTAGTCTCATCAGTAGTTTAAATTTGTTAGTAAGAAAAGCACAAACTAACTTATCACAAATAATCGATATGCGTGGAAACACAGTCCGTTCAGAAAAGTGCAACACAAGTTCATTGTGCTCAGCTGCTTTTTTGAAATGTCACTTTAGTAAATGACACTGATGTTGACTCAAGCCTGTTGAAGCTCCAGTCCCTGAACTCATGTGTCAAACATTTCAGAGTACCGCACCCATACTCGTGCAGTTGAAGAAATATTCATATTTTTGGAGGAACGCTCATATCTGACATTTAAAACCACAAAATGATGTAACTGAAACCAGACTTTTTATTCTGGATTCATAGGTAATAGTATCAGATTATTGACACACTTGCTGATGCAACATTTTTGCAGTATAGGAACAGATATTGGTAGAGGTGTCTATACGGGTTCAGCTCTAATTCTAATCCTGAATTCTTGGTGTATTTTCTTCTGTTGATATCAGCGTCACTCACTTCAATATCCAAAGAAAACTCTGTTAAGTCCAGCTACTTCCTCTGATTTTTTTTATTTCCATGAAGAAATTCCTTTAATCTGAACTATTTGATGCTTCCAGAGATAAAAACATTTCACTGTTTTTACTAACAAACTGAATTTCCATTGCTCTTTAAGCTAATTTTCTTTTTATTTTCACCCCTTGTCTCTCTGGCTTCGCCTGAACCTGTCTCAGACTCTCTCACTGGAGAGGACTCTCTGCTGTGTTGCAATCTGTTATCTCACACCTCTGCTCATGGAAACCAGTCTGTCTCTGCTCTCACTTCCTCCTGCTCCTCTGCTCCTCCTGGCTCCGGCTCTGGATCCTGTCTGGAGGAGCTGCAGCCTGCTCAGGCAGCTTCTGGTAAGACCTTCGCTTTGCTCCACCCTTCAGCCAGCGTCGTGTCTCCCTTTTAAACAGTTCCTTCTAAAAACCAGGAGGGCTTGTTTAAAATGAGGAAACAGGTGATAGAGAGGTTGATAGGGACCTCAGATGACAGCCTCACAGACTTTCTACTCATTCATAGAAGAGCCAAAAGCCACCTCAAGTGCATGGCTTTCAAGTACTGCCCTGGCCCCATCTATTTTTAATCGATTTGCATCCTCCTTTCATTTTGCTCTTTTCTTTGGCTGAGTTAACTTCTTTTCCCCTTCCATCATTCCTCCACTTCCTCTTCCTTCACCGCAGACTCTACTTTCCTCATGTCGTGTGCGGAGAAGGGCAATGACGACGAGTTTGACCCTATTCCCGTGCTCATCTCCAAAAACTCAAATCAAGGTAAGGGGAACAAAACGTCAAGATGAGCACTCTCTCCTGCTGAACCCCCCAGACCATTGTTAGCCACAAAGATGAATGACTCAGCCCCTCTAATTCAGCTCCCGTAGCTGGTTTTCCTGCTGATGTGAGAAGTCTTGTATGGGTGGGCATGTTACATCAAGGCTTTTTTTAACCCATCAAGCTCTCTTACATTAGCCGTCACTCTCAAAGCTAGTGATCCTCCGCCCTGCAAGTGTTTGGCTCTCTGTAGTTAACCCTCAAGTCTCCTCATGTTAAAAAAGGCATTCCCTGACTCTCCCCTGTAATGATGCAGCTGTATAAAAACGATTATCCCAGCTCACACTCTGCCTCTGTTTCTCTTTCTACCCCCGTCATCCATGCACCTCTCTCGCTCTGCCATCATTTCATCCTCACCAACCCCCCTTCGCTCTTAATTTCTCCATACATTCTTCTGTTAAAATTACTTATTCTTTTGGCTTGTTTTTCACACTCTCCCCCTCGGCTCTTCCATGTCCATTTCTGTCTCTGTCTCTCTCTCTTTCTGGCATGTTTCAGGTGGTCACTCGCGCAGCAACAGTGGCAGTTCAGAGTCCAGCATCCCCAACTTGGCCCGCTCCCTTCTGCTGGTGGATCAGCTCATCGACCTCTAGAGGGGGTGGGAGAGGTCGAAGGGGCAGTGTGCAATCCTAACAAAGGGACACGGGGAGGGCGGGAGGTAGAGATGGGGAAGCAGAGGCACTTAATGTAGCACCTTATGAAGTGAAACAGAGGAGCCAGCATCGATAGGTTCAGAGGAACCTTTCTTTTAATATGCCTCCTTGGCCTCAGCTCCATCTCTAGCTGCCTGATAAGCTGGTTTCATATATCTCCGCTGGCTGTGTGCATTCCCACGCTGGTTAAACAAATCTTTTCATTAATGCCTGAGCATATCGTCTGCTTCTGTCCGGCTACACCATGGTACTTCTCATGCTTACCTTGCATTAATATCCCTCATCGAGTGCGCTGCCATGGGGATCAGCTGCTTTTCATGCACACGTGTTAAAACCGCTCCATCACAGCTTGAACGTGTTAACTTGCTGTGTTGGTTTTGTGTAGAAGCTAAATCCAAACAGCCCCCCCGCCCCTCGCCCCTTCCCTGCCCACTCCCTGTGTTCAAAACGATGAGTCAAAATGCTGCAGACCCCTCTTGAGAGTGTGAAAGCTTTGAACTTAACTTTTAGCCAAACAAAGATGCAGTCTGAGGGAACGAGTGAGATATGTTTGAACCAGTTTGTAGAAAAAAATGGCTGTGGGCAGATTTCTTTGTGGTTTGCTGTTGAGCAAGAAGGCCGCTTCTTTTATACACACTCACTCATCGTCTGTACTCAGAAATCAAATCTGTGTAATTCTTGATTCTTTCAACACTGTGTGTCTAAATTAACTTACTCTTAATGTTAAAAAACAGTAACTCTTTCCTGGCTTCACACTGACACGTCTTTCTTGGAATTGAGCAGGACATTATTCCCTCTAAAACCACAAAAATCTGTTCCTGTGAATCTGTCTTCATGATGTTTTGAAATCTGACAGCTGAGGATGTCAGCTGATACTCTCCTTACCATGGCAGGATGCTTTCACATTCAACCAAACCGTCTTTGGTTTGTGCGCATTACAGCTCATGAACCCGCCATCATATCTGACTGTCAAGACGAGCGCAGTAGAGACAAAAAGGACTCTTATATTGGACCTGTAGCTATGCCAAAGCTTAAGCATAGACTTTATTACACTACTGTCAGTCCTCTTGTCAGGGTTGTTCAGCTTTGCAGATCTTTAGCACCACACAGAGACTTACAGAGACTGGGGTGCAGTGAAGATTTCTGTAACTTATTATGAAATCTCCCTTTACATTTGACACCCCCTCTGTCTTATTAAGCCAATATTTGTTTGTCATTCACTCTGATATTCAACAGGCGGATTCATTCTTGTCCGAGCAGAATACAGAAAAATTAGCGTGTACATAAAAATCACTGTTTTGTCTCTTTTTTTTTTTTTTAGTGTGTCATATACAGGCATCTCATCTATCTCGCTATGAATAAATGTGACTATTACTGATAGGTCTTTATAATGAATGTTTGAATTTATGTGAAATATGTAAGATTTATGAGGATATATAGATAAAGAATATTTGTGTATGAAGCTGTAATGAAGAGTGTAAAGCTGTCGAACTTCTTCTCTGTCCAACGTCCCGTTTTTTTCTCTCCATCCAGCTCTAGTGCTGTTGTCAAGATGTCATTATGAATACATGGGACAAAGTGCTTATGACTTACCTGACTGCTTAGTTTTTTTATATAGCTTCGTTGCAGTTCTTTACATGATACTGGTACTTGTAAGATGCTGTATATAAGTAGGGCAGAGAACTTCTCTTGTAGGCAGAACAGAGCTAATGACGGAAAAGATTTCCTGACATCTCTGCAGCTCCTTTCTCTTCGGCTAAGGTTGATCAGAAAGGATTATTCTGACATCTCTAATGTCAAAATCTCACCAAGTATTCATCACATAGGCAAAAGTCTATGTTAGGGCATCATATCACTTCAGATGTGTATATATACAAACAGAAAAGGGTTCAGTTTCTCTAACATTGCAAACGTTAGTCTTAGAGATCCACAAAACTCCGGTAATTGAAACTATGCTTCTGTCTTTCCTTCCACTTTTTTCAGTTAAGTCATTTGCATCTTTGTGGCTAATCTATGCAATCCTCCAATAACGCTTCATGTTAAGCAGACCCAACAGTGCTGTCTCCTTGTAGAGTTATAGCTTTGGCCTGTAGAGTTTTACCTGTGTTGCTGTGAGAAAACCAATGTACTCATTGTGCTGGTTGGGTTGAAATGGTGGCAGGTAGAAATATTATTTTGGTTATATCATAATGTTTGACATGATAAGGGCAGAAGTCTAAATGTCAAAGCAGGACCGTAACGGAGTGTGTGCTTCTATTTTTATGAATTAAGGTTCAAAAAGAGAGACACTAAATAAAATTCATTAATGTGAATGTAAACGAAGTGTCATGGGGTCACATTATTTGATTTCAGCTGAAAAAGCAGCCTGTGGGCTTTATTGACATGATGAAGATTCATTCCTCTGTTTTCCTCATTTTACTTAGCAGCAGATTAGATTTCCTTGAGGAACCAGATGAGATTATAGATGCTCTAATGCAACTATACGGAAACCACAACAGCCTTTGTGCCACATCACACTGTTACTCAGTTTTACCTTGCACATCTCACTACAAACATCATCAGACATTTTGCTTGAAAACTCGTGGATTTGTCCTTTTTAGCATTGAAAGATTCTTTAAGTGTTGCCAAGGTTTTCTGTCGTTTCAAGTTATCCATGTCCAGCGCCTCCTGAATGTATTTTCCACCACTCTTATTTTTCACTGCTGTTTGAATACCAGGCTAGGAAGTCAACGTTAGGGGCTCTTTACATACGTCGTGTTTGTTGTTTTGGTTGTTTATCCGCGATGATGAACTGGCTCTCAAGTCTTGTAGAAAGGGAGTACACTGCATGAAATTTAAACAAAAGGTGATACTTTTCCTTGAGTGACTGCGACTAACATCTCCACAAGAGCTGCTAATTAACAGCTGCTGTCAACGTGCTGAGGTAAGACTGATCTGTCTCTGCTTATCTGTGCAAACCTGTCTGTCCCTAATGACCTCTACTTTTGCTGTGAAGAGTCTTTTGTCCTTGTTTCCACAGACCGACCGACTCCCTCTGAGCTCTCTCTGCTCAGCACAGAAACTCAAACTAAAAGCCCATCTGCTGTAACAGTTTCCCCTCGATGTGGAGTGTGTGTTTTTTAAGTTTGAGGAAACTACAGCTGTGCGGACGTTAATTTGTGGAAACAAGGGTGTTAGATGTTGTCATGGTAGAGGGGGTTAGTCTCATCTGTCTCATTTTACTCGTCAAGAGTAGATCGTGTCTGTATTGTTGTAGCCCTGTGCCAGTTTGTCACTGTTGGCTTTGTAGTGGGTAGAGGTCTCATACGGTCATGTATGTTGTGTTAACAGTCTGATGCAGCTGGACCTCTGGTGGTAAAATCTTGAACAGAATCTTGCTTGTTTTTTTTTTCATTCCTGATAATGTTTCTTTTTCTCTTTCTGTTCTCTTATCCAGATGTCCAAGCGGAGAGTAATGGCTACTCAGGTCTTGGTGAGGGACAGGAGACCGAAGCTGCAGAGGGAGATCCTCAAACGAACGAGGCCTGTGTGCACTCCAGCGATGAGGATGAGGAGAAGGAAGCCAGTAAAGAAGATCAGCAGGGTGAGAAAAGCACTGAGAGTCATGTAGCAGCACACGACAGCAGCGGCTCCAGACCTCTGCTGATGGACTCTGAGGATGAAGAGGAACAAGGACCTCAGTTAAGGCTCCACTCATCGACAGCACCGACACAACCATCTACTACCTTCCATCAACCCGCCCCCAGCAACTTAGCTCAGAATCATTCCCAGCCTGTTCAAGAAGCAGCAGAAACGGCTGAAGTTGCTGCAGATGTCTTCTTAAAAGCCCCCTTTCGGATCGGGCCTGATGACGCAAGCGATGTGTTCGCCAATGCTCCATTTCCTCGTGCCCTGGTTAGCGCTCAGCAGCAGCTTGATGTTTTCTCTCAGGCCCCTTTTGGCAAAAGAAAAGAGATAGCAGGAGCTCAGCCCAAGACCTCATATCCTCACACAGGAGGCAGCCCTGATCAGGGTGCTTTGGGACAAGTAGCCCAGCAACCATTCCGACCACAAGCTCTGGCCAAATATTCACGACACTTTGAGGGCCCTGTGCCCCAGCAGCCCGTAGCAGCTCACAGAGTCGTGTCTAATGTGAGCAGGCAAGCTGCTGTGGCGTCAGTCCCTGTTGGACCTCGTCACTCATGGACCTCAGAGGCAAGCCCTGTAGACCCTTTTGTCTCTGCACCCTTCCACCTTAAGGCCCCTCAGGAAAAGCCCTGAATGCACACTAAGAGAGGAGGGCAGTGGGTGTTAGCACCACTGAATTATGCAAATAAAACAGGCACGCTGCATGCTGTAGTCAGTGCTGCAGCTGGACTGCAAGCCTGCATGGATCTCATTCTCAACCGGCTCGATTAGATCTCATAGTGCAAGGTCATCCACACTTGAATTCTCCTTTAGAGTAAGAAAACTGGCAGACTCTTCATTATCATTTTTTCTTTATGTTTTATCTATCACATCCCTCCTGAATTCTTCTGAATCCTTTTGGTACGTACATCTGCGTAAAGACATCATGGTGGTCAAGCATTTGATTGTTTTCTTGCCTACCTCAGTTACATTCTACGTCAGCGTAAACCGCGCATCGACAGATACCAGAAACTTAAACGGTTTCATTTCCTGTATATTTGAGCTTTAATGTGAAACTATGAATTGATGACGCTTATTCCTCTTTTGGGGGTAGTTTTCAGGAAGCTTGAATCTTTGGGTTATGACTTCACAGAAGCTCTGGAAAGGAAAGGCACTGTGTAGCACATCAGCAGTCCTTTAACACTTTCTGTGAGATGTTTCTGATGACGACATCAGTCTTGAAATCTGTATCTTGCCTTATAATTACGCCCCAAAAAGTCAAAGGTTTGGGCTCTTTATGTGTGACGGTTTGTTATGAAGCAGATGCTGGATAATGATGCAAAAACACTTCAAAGATGACGTTTATTAATATGAAATGCAACTTTTTTTTTGTTGTGTTCCTAAATGTAAGTATTTTTGTCATGTGTATTATGTTTGTGGTCATTTTCCAGTCTGATAGAGGTGAAATGTTGGTGTATAATTCCATGTTTTTAATGTTAGGTCTAGTAAATTCATAATAGCTGCTTCTTAGTTATGTTAAAGTAGTTGATTCACTTTTCTTTTGTCTATTTGTTTCTGGTATTTCTGAAGCCTTACACTCTTACTGTACGTCCCTCCTGACACATCAAACAGCATAAATCACTTTTGCCTTTTTATGCCCTCCAAAAAAAAAACTGCTGCACCTATGTTGTTTTATTGCACTTACATTCATCACCAAAAAATTGTGTAGCATTGTGAACAATTTTCTGGTTTCTGTCTGCACAAAAATGTTCATCCAGCTCTGTAATGTATCTCTCCTTTAACTCCAAATGTGTATCACTAGTGGCTCACTATTACTGTACAACTGACACTGCAACTTAAAGCTTAGGAGCGGTCAACACAAGTATTTACAGCACTTATCCAGTCAGGAATTATCGTAGTTTCACATCAGATCATGACTGGTTTGTGGCATTCCTTTACTTTTATAACCTTTTCCAAATACTTCATTGCCTTTGTCAAATTTTGTTTCCCACCGTGGCACTTTTTAAACCTGTTTCACCCCATAGTTTAGTTCATTTATTTCTTTATTGCAAATGTCAAATCCAGTTTATTTTATTCCATTCACAAGCTGTACAATCTTTTATAAAAACCCACTTTTCTCACCCAGTTTGTATTCATGAAGGTTGCACATATTCTCCTTACACAGAATCAGGCCCCCCCTGAGAATGTGTGTTTGAATGTAACACAGCTGTAAAATGTATTTTGTTACGGTGTTAAATAGGCGATCTCCAGAGGATTTGACAGCTGATGATACTGTTGGACAAGAAGCACTCATAATACTTCTTTTGCTGCACAGCCTGCCTCTGAAAACTGTGTTGTACGTCATGAAAAAAATATTAAATGAATGTAAATCAAGTTTGGTGTTATTGCTATTATTGATCACATCTGAAACATGACTTTGTATCAAGCAAGGCATGTGAAGTATACTGGAGTGTGCTTGTAAGTACATTTCGAAGCCTTTTGTATTGGGAATTTTATGCTAAAACCAAAGTTTGGAATACCACACAATGCTTCAATTGAGTTCTGGTTATGAAGCTGAGACGTGCAAGCAGACCAGAATCAAACCCATAGGATCCAATTGGAGTTTACATGTCACACAAAAAGTAGTTCATACATAAAAAAAAGCATGAAATCTACTTATTCATTCAAGTCAAAAGTCAACGTTTTGCTACTCCAGTAGAGAGCGGTAATCCACTGACAAACCAGAAGTTTATCTTCAGGGGTGTCGCAAGAACAAGAGGATCCAAGAATACTGGGACATCCAAGACAGGGGAAGACAATACAATGAACAATACACTATATAAGATAGGAAAACACCCTGATGGCAAATGTGACCAATGTAGGCAGGCTGACATTGTCCAGCATGTGTTGTTGGATTGTGGAGGATATGAGGAGGAAAGAAGGACACTGGCAGCAGCAGCAGAGGAAGCCAGGATGACACTAAATATGGGGAACCTATCAGAAGTTGTGCTCAAGCATTTAATGGGATATTTGAAAGACACAGGGTTAAAAAAAGAGGATCTAATTTCCTTATTTAGCTTTGTTTTTCTTAAATTTGTCTGCCAATTTACTGTCCCACACTCCAGTCCAGAAGGTGGCGGTAATGCGCCTTCAAGTTGGTTTGCCAACCGCCAATAAACTCCATTGAACAGGAAGAACAAGCGGATACTCAAACGATCTCGTCTGCGACAGTATTTTTTTTTTTTTTACATATAAATTATGCGGTAAAAGTGAGTGATAAGTGTTTTATTTTATGTTTTTACCATATCACACAATACCAAAGCTATGAAACCACTTTAAAAATTATAATTCCTCCTTGTTAGCACGCGCCATCTCATGCTAAGCGACGTTAGCTCGTTAGTGAATGAGGTCTGTACTCCGTCCTCTAAAGGGGGTTTCTTTGTGTTTACTAGTTTTAACAGGTACCGTGGTTCCTGGGCACGATGGCGACACAGAGAGTGCTCCCTCAGAGTAAAGAGACTCTGCTGCAGAACTACAACAAAAGACTAAAAGATGACATCCGGTCCATCCTGGACAACTTCACTGAAATCATCAAAACAGCAAAGGTACTCAGACCAAATCCTATATTTACTTGGTTTTCTTTTAATTCTGCCTCCCAGAAAGCATCCCCGGTGTCCTATCCGTACAAAAACTGTCTTCTTACCGTCAAAACATTTGTGTGCGTATGACACTTAAAGGGATATTCCGGCGTAAAATTAATTAAGGGTCAAACACACCATAACACAGAGATGAATGTTGTCGACCACTTGCTTCTCTAGTTTTACCAACTTTAGTAACGACCGCACGATAGCAGTCTGAGGAGCCATGAACAAACCTCAACCAAAACATCACTTTATAGCCACAAATAATGCTCAGAACAGCACCTAACTTCATCAACAGTACATATAGGGTCTCAGCCAAAGCACTAGCCATCAAACATCTTTTTAACTTTGCCTAATTTCTTTAACAAAGAGACTAAACACAACTCACCCGAGTGATGGGTACAGCAGTTCTTTTAGATGTACTGAATCACTAGAATCAGTTCAATCAAAAGATTCGTTCATTGAATGTTTCAGGATTCAGTTCAGTTCATAGCTTCTGGGACCGGGAGACGAGAGTGTTTGGCTGTGTTGCTTTGCGGTCGGCGACATTCATCTCTCGGGGGGGTGTCTACCTGGGTGTTATGGTGTGTTTGACCCTAAATTAATTTTACATCGAAATATCCCCTTATTTATTCCTGCTGTTCATAAACACACTCTTGGATTGTTTTCTGTCTGAAGATAGAGGATGAGACCCAGGTTTCCAGGGCAACCCAAGCAGAGCAGGACCACTACGAGATGCACGTCAGAGCAGCCAACATTGTAAGTTGTCCAGATTATACAAAACATTCTTTACATTTGTTTTTCTCTTACAGTCAATACCCATGTTAGTATTTACAACCCCACTTCAACCTTTTCATCACCTCAGGTACGAGCTGGTGAGTCCCTGATGAAGCTGGTGTCTGATCTGAAGCAGTTCCTGATCCTGAACGACTTCCCCTCTGTGAACGATGCCATCAGCCTCCAGAACCAGCAGCTCCGCTCGCTGCAGGAGGAGTGTGACAAGAAGCTTACCTCCCTCCGTGACGAGATCGCCATCGACCTGTATGAGCTAGAGGAAGAATATTACTCCTCCAGGTACAAGTAGGCCCGTATTTGCTACCGTCCCACCGTCCCTCTGTTGCCACATGTTCAGCACCATTTATTGACCTACCTTTACCATTCACTGCTGAGCCTGAGAGGGGGATTACTTCTTCCATCATCCAAAACATGACACCTTTTGGGTTGAATTTTCCTCATCTTCATATCCAAACGGCAACATTCATCAATACAAAGCATCACTACCCTCATCTCACTAAGTGACTTTGAATTGTTTTTCATAAAGAAGTGCCTTAAGTTGTTTTTTTTGCTGTATGAAAAGGGTCAAACTTTGTCAACAATAATAGACTTTAGCTTTACAGTGGTTTACAGCTGAATATCAGCAGTGTGCATGAACTATGATCACTCAGTTTATACATTTTTAACGGACTGAATGGAGTTAATTGATGCAGTATGAAATTCAGAGAACCTTACTGGTGATAAGAATCGTGTTACGGTCTGAATTATAACCAGATTTTGGGTTATCTGATCAGCAGCGTCTTTCAGGCTTTAGAGAGGATCTAGCAGAAATGGTCAGGTACATGGGGAAGATGGACAATCAAGTGTAATTGTAAGTAATGAGGCCTTCGCTTTTTGATTTATAACTGAAATAATTTAAATGAAAGTAATGACCATTTATAATGTTTGTGTTTAATATTCAGACTGTCTAATCAGTTGTTTAGTGTTTTGTTAAAAGTCATTTTTAGGGAAGCGCACCTCCTAGAGAGAGATCACACATTTTAAAGAACTAAAATGAGATTTTATAGACGTTATTCAATTTCAGATAATTTATCATCAAGTTTATTTGTTGTATGATGGAGATCTTACTAATGGACTGTGGATGAATGCTTGGTAAAGAGTGTAAAGCTAGACTGTTTGCTGTTATTTATTTGAGGTTAATTCTGGGGAGTTTTTTAATCTCAAAAGGTTAGGTGTTTTGTGAAAGTGACACCAGCTGTAACCACACAGGTGGAGACAATCACACAAGGTGTGTTGTAATCTGTGTACTAGTTTGTTCCAGCGACCTAGAATGATGTGAGAAATAAAGTAGAAACAAAACACTGCAGTAGTTTGTCATGTTTTCTACAAGAAAGCATCGAGAAGCATCTGTCAGTCCTGTTTGGAGCATGCTGAGTGTGGGCCTTCTTCCTCGCTGCACCTGCTCTGCTTTTTCCATCAGCAACTAATCGCTTCTTTTTGCTGAGCTTAAAGGCAATACGTCTCAACTCCGGTGATTAGTGAATAATCAGCAGTTTAACGCATTGATTCCATTTCTGCCGCTCCTGCATAACCTCCATGCTTCTATCGTATGTGCACCTTTACGTGCTCTCCTATGTGTGTGACTGTGCTTATTCTGACCTGCCGCTCTCGTCTGCTCCTCTCTTTCTGTGCTGCGCTGATTCTTTGTCCCCCCCCCGGTTTCTGCCTCGCAAAGCTACAGTCAGTGGGATAGCACTGATCTGCCGCTGTGCGAGGCCTACCGCCGCCGTGACAGTTGGGCCTCCCCGGGCAGCAGCTGCAGCTCCACTCAGGGAGACCGAGAGGATGTGGAGGGACCTCCTTCACAGGAGGCAAACCCCCAGCACCACGTCAATGGACATGGGACGTCTTCTATAGAGAAACCATGAGGAGAAACGTGAACAAGGACTGAAATGCTTGTTTTCTGTTTGTATTTAGATTTTTTGTTTATTGTTTTGACCTGCAGCTGTCAGGTCATGTGTGGGCTGAAGGTTAAACTCTGTGAATTTAGAAGGAAAGCCCAAACATAGATCTGTTTCAACTACATAAGTGCATGTGCTCTGATTTATGTCATACATGCAATAAAGAAGGGGTGAGAAAAATTTAGAAAAAATGTTTTTTTTTTTGTACATTTGCAGCTTTTTAATAGTTTGTATATTTTTATAATCTCTGAGTATTGACAACAATTGCATGTTTGTAAGGTTGTTTTGGACATTGTGTTTTCCCTTTTTTGTACTCCTCCAAGCACAATTCAGATTAAAGGATGACTTAAAGCATGTGGTTTTATGTTTTTAATCTTAAATCTGTCACTGAAAGCTTTAAAACACAATTATTCAACTAAAAGATTACAACAGCCAAATTAAAAAAAAGAAAAGCTCTCACAACCCAGAGCAGAATCAGCTTTCATTCGACTGACCGTCGTCAGACAAGCTGAGCCACAATATTGTTTCGCATAATCATGAAAAAGTCAATGTACTGTGATCAAAGGGAATGAGTCACAATATTTACAAAGTTCAACACTGTCCTAGCTTGGAGTCCAAAAAAATTCATGATCTCCATGGCTCCATTAACGTTTGTAAAAGAGGACATACAGTTCAGTTGTTCCTGCCATCCATCCCCTCAATACCGACGATTCATTTTCTTGAACTTCTCATAGTGATAGTCATCTGTGGCCTTCTCGTTGTTGGGACGTTTGCGGTAGTTGGGTGGTGATGTTGCTGTGGTTTAACAGAAGATATTTGTTAGATAATACCAAAGGAGAACTTCTGTACATGTGTATATCAGAAGTAAAAATCTAACTGTGTTGTGCAGCTATCATATGCATAACGTGTCTTACTCTCTGGTCCTGGTTTCTCAGTGTCTCCAACACGCAGCGGTCTTGCTTTTGGCTCCTCTCTGTGTCTATGGTGCCTCTGTGGTGCATTCACATCCTCGTGATAAACTGAAAAAACAGAATTACAGATTTAACCAATGTTTCAATACTCAATCACTTCTAGTCAGTTACATTTGGACTGAGAGAACTCACAGCGGTTATGCTGGACGTAGTTGACAGCGATGTTAGTGGGTACAAAAGATGTCCCGTGGTCTTTTTTCTTGTTCCTCTGTTCTGCCAGAAGCTTAGCCTTTGCTTCCTCTGTGGAGATGATGTTTTTTATCTTTGCACTGGGAAAGAAATAGCACAGTGTCAGTTTCAGTGCTGCATCTCCTCCTCCTCCAGGTAGTCACTGCTTGACCTCAATGCAAAAACCCTTTTTGTTAAACAGCTGAAAGTTCTTAAACAAAATTAATGAGTTGTTTAATGCATACTCAATGCCAAGATCGACTTCAGGGATTCCACTCAGCATCTGATTGGACAACATCTCCTCTGTTTTCTTGGCGGAATTGACGCGGATGTTCTCGGGCAGCTCATACAGATGATCCTCTGCATTTTTCACCTTAACTCTCTGCTCCTCAGTTTCCACCAACCCCTTCTTCTTTTTCAGCTCAGTCTCAATATATTTCATCCTTTAAGAATGAATACAGGAAAAAAGGGTGTGAATACTTTCATAAGGCCTTTTGTAAATAACAGTGTACAGAAAAACATAATTAGGGGCAGCATTATAATACCTTTAACTACAATTCAGAGAACCTTCTATCTCAAAACTTATATAAATATGCATTCATTAATTGGAGTTGTATGAAAACAGTGGGAATGTGTACATGTCTGCATCTTCATCTCTTCTGTTTGTTTCTGCAGAGAAGGATGTGCCCAGGTTGAGGTCTGTCTCCTCTTCTGTCCTGCATGTGAAAAAGAAGCCATTTCAGGTCAAACAAAGATCATATTTGATAAAATTTTATTTTAAAATACTAGCACATGCAATATTAATATTTTACATTATAAAACAGTCAAATAATGTGTGCCGGGCAGATTAACTTACATGTCCCTGTTCCTGTCTTTGACTTTCTTCATGTCCACCACACCTCCAGTCTTCAGTTTAAAAGGGTCATTCTGTGGGAAATGTTTCAATTAACGACAAGATACACTGACTTAACCCAACATGATAAAAACACCTGAGAAATCTAATGCAACCTATTACAACCACTTTACAGCAAACTCTACTTACACCAAGCCTCCTTTTCCATTTGTACTGAAAGTTTGTGGTGGGTGTTGGTGGTGTACTACAGTAAATACTGATGGAAGGTGTGTCTAATGTTATACTCTCCTCTAGTTTGTCAGTGAAGTAGACAAAATATATGAAAATACCTTTAAAGCTAACAATAATCACCTGTGTGATTAACCTAAACTGAGGAGGTATAGGCTTCTTCAAAGTATTATAAAACATAACAGGGGTACAACTGTTGTATCCAGTTGCAATAGCAATTGTCAAGGTGTTATTATAAGATGGTGTATCAGTAGATATTCAAACAAATGTACTGTAAATAAATCCAAATATATCACTTCTCAAATGTGTCCTTACATCAATTTCAGCCTCTGGTGGCAACTTCTCTCCCACCAACAGGGCGGTCACACTGGACAAAAAGGTGAAATACACAAAGATATCTTTTATAGTTCTTTTCAGTGTAACATGGATGATAAATATTTGAGAAACAGTAGTTTTTAGATTTACAATACCTGACTCCAGTCTGTCGTTTCCGCAAACTCTGAAGCTCTTTGGCCTCTTCCACTTTTGATCTGAATTAAGCACACACAATATATTATGTAAAAATATAAAAATACACTTCTCAAATCAGAGAAGAGGTTTAGATTACAGAAATGTGGCTGACTTTTGATTTGCGAACAGAATAAAAGGATTTATCAGCTGACAGCGTGCCAAACAGTGTTTTGTTGTTGTCGTTAATAAAAATAAGTCCGTACCTGACTTCCTTGGTCGTCTCATCCTCCTCCGAGTCTGATGATTCCTGTCTTCTTCTGAAACTTTTGCCGCAAGGCATTTTTAAACAAAAAAATTAACTTTGAGCTGCCACAAAAGATCCTGTATCGATAGCAGAGAATTGTAACAGGGGGACAGATCTCGCAAACGGACCGGAGACGAACATTAACGCTACGTCACTTCCGTCCAGGTCTTAGCTAATCAAAACAAACATGGCGACTTACGGGCAGGTCAGCAGGTTGTTCGGAATCTCAGCAAGACTTTCACGTCCGTAAGTTAGCTTGAATGTTCAATATTGTTCTCTTTAATGGTTGTGTGGTTGCACTGAGCCTTTTACGTGAACAATTCGCCTCATGTTTTTCTAAAGCGTCTGGCTAGCATCTCGTAATAATGTTGCAAACTGAGTGACGCAGATTGCTTTAAACTTCTGTCATTTTAATTTAAGTTTTTTCTAATTACACAGAGTTATGTGAGATTTTCCTTTTCCATGGTGAAAGGAACCATGGGAAAGGACAAAATAAAATAAAAAATTTAACTATGGTGAGGACAATGTATTTATGCAACAACCAGCAGTGAAATTGTCGCCTGCGCAATCTCATGTAATCTCATGCAACCAGCTGTGATCCAGTTCCTAATATCCACATGACAAAAATGAAGGGAGCCAAACCTTACAAAACAAAACAAGAGAAGGGTCATTCCATGGAAATAGCACAATTTGAGTCTCTGTCTCTTTTCTTAAGATGTATTTAATCGATTAGGTCACCAGAATTTTATGTATTTTACTATGTATTTTTAAGTCTGTCCCCGGGTAACCCCTCAACCTCGTTAAACAAATAATAAAAGAAAACCAATGCCTGAGATGGGAAAATACGTTTTTCTGAAATTTTAATATATCCTTAGTGCTGTGGGATATAAATCCAAATAACACATTTTGGTCAAAAATGTGAAAATGTCTAGGTCAAATTTGAGCTATTCTCGTGGAATGACTCAGAACACAAAGACAGACATTTATATGATATTCAACCATATGTAATGCGGGAGCAAACTCTGACTAAAATACATCCAAATGGGAAGTGCCATTGACTAAATAGCTGATGGCTTCAGACACTGGGGGGCAGCATTATACCAATCCAAAAGGATAAGAGGGGATAGGTATTAAAAAATTATATAAACTGAGCACTACCTTAAGCCCACCTCTTTTAAGCAAATTTTAATGTCTTGTGAGTTATATATGCAAAACTGTTGAAGCCTGTTGTATGAAGCAGCTCTGAGTAAATGTAATTCTTGCCACAAATGGGCTCTCTGCACAGCTCCACCACCTCCTGACCTTAAGGCAGCTCCTTTATATTCCGTCTTACATTATTGGACAAACTGATTAATCCAGGTGTGTCTGAGTAGTCGCAATGATCAGTCACACTTGGATTAAACAGTTCGTCCAATAATGTAAGACAGGAAATGAAGGAGCTGACTTAAGTTCAGTAAGTAGTGGAGCTGTGCAGCGAGCCCATTCTGGTTGTGTAAAGGTCTTGGTAGCTTTTCGTGTTTTGCATTGCATTCATTTAAAAAAAAAAAAAGCAGTTCTTGTCACAATCATAATTGTGGTGGTTTACTTTCGACATACCTTCTCTATGAGTCAAAGTGTGTGTATGTCGTAGGGTATTTAGTATAACAGCCAAATGTTTGCATCATTTTCTTCTATAAATGCATTTTATCACTGTGTCATGAAGTTGTTTTTACTCATACGTATATTTTACTGAAAATTATAATCATAAATGTCTTGTTTAGTACATGTTTAGACTTTGTGTTATCTCCGTACTACCTCAGATCAGTTTATGGAGATTACTGTATTTGTCCAATAAGACACCCATAGTCCAGCAAACATTTAGACAACTAAATAGAATATAATCCATGTTTTTTAAGCCAAATGCAAACATTGTTGTGAACTCCCCTTGACAAAGACGCAAGTAATAATTACTTCAAAATAACACTTGGGTGTAGGCCATAGCCAGGCAAGGTAACATGTTGCTTTGTTTACAATGAGATTAAGTATTTTGCACACAGGATAATGAAGTAATAAGTCTTACTCCACCTTCTGTTATTTAATAAGTTAGGAGGGATAGATAGACGCAAGCTTGAATGTACACTGAATACTTAGTTATGGCACAATATTTTGTTATAGAGTGATTTGTGCTGTAAAAAATGCAGGTAGAAACTGTAACTCAAATCCTGTTTTGAGTACTCCTATTTGCTGTGACCTAATTGTTGTTTAGTTACTGTTACTTTTCAGAACTAAACTAATGCACAAATTTCGTTGTATGTTTTTTTTTATTCTCTGTGATTCTAATCATTTTGTTACCTTTTTTTTTCTTATGTACTGTCTCAGTATTGCAAGTAGTGGATATCAGTGTGCCACTTCACGTAACACGGGAGTCTCGAACAGATGGCCACAAAACCCCCATTGGGTTATCCCAGGTTCGTCTGACTGCAGCATCTTTGTGGTTCTCCAACATAGGGAAAACACTCTCATGATATTATGCCACACTTCTGTTATTTGTCTTTTGTCTTTTTCCAGGAAGGACAATGTTTGTGCAGACTCAGGACACACCAAACCCAAACAGTCTGAAGTTTCTGCCCGGTCGCACAGTCCTTGAATCGGGGACTATGAATTTTGCTGGTCCTCGTGATGCACACTGCTCACCTTTAGCCAGGTATGAGACTCCACACATACACAAAGTAATAACAGGCATTCCTAGCAGGAATTTTGATATGGGGTATCAGTTGGAGCACACAGTAACGTTATGATAGTGATGATGGCTGTGTTACGTAATCCTGACCTTGATGGAATGCATCTATTTTCATCATTCAGTTACACCTGTGTTCCACATGTCACCAGCAGTTGTGTTGATGAGTTACAAACCTACTGTACCAGTAGTCTGACAATCATTGTTATGTCTTCATTTAAAAAACACATTGCACTCTTGTTGAGACGGATAAAGCAGTAAGAGTTCTCTGAGTCACTCAGCTTGCCCTTGAGTCTGGAGCCAAGCTGCTCACACTGTTCTCCTGTGCCTCCTGTTTGAAGTATATATTTGTGTAACACAATGCGAGTGTCCTGCCATGTCCTCAGCGACCGCACTCTATGACTGTGGTACCTGTCTGACCTTTAAATCACTCAGTGGTAACAGCTCTGTACAGAAACACTGCATTTCAATAAAAAAGACTAGAAATATAAGTATTTGATACGTATGCAAAGGTTGTACCAAGGAAGATGTAAAGTTCTTTCACTGTTAACCATAACATTTGCCATTGATTTAGGATGTTGAACTGCCTTAAACATGTTGATAATTTGAATCATACATGAAATTTGTCAAATGAACAAAACTGAAATCATGTTAATTTTCATCTTCAGACAGCTGTTTAGGATTGATGGAGTCAAGAGTGTCTTCCTGGGCCCAGATTTTATAACCATATCAAAGGTAAATGAAGCTCTGTGCTGTATGAACAGGATACTTATAAGTGCAGCATAAACAGAATGCTATTGGTTTGAACAACTTGATTTCTTTTTCTCTCATTAGGCCGATGATAACATGGAGTGGAAGGTTATCAAGCCTGATGTCTTTGCTGCCATCATGGACTTTTTCACCACAGGTCTTCCTGTTGTAAATGAAGACAGCCAGCCAAGTGCAGATACAGGTACACATCTTTACCCACTGTTAAGGGAAAACTCTAAAACAAACTGTTGTGATTTTTACACTAATTTCGTCTCATCTTTTCAGCACCATCTGATGATGACGATGAAGTTGTTGCCATGATCAAAGAGCTGTTGGATACTAGAATAAGGTAGCTGCATGTAAAGTCATTCTGTTGTGTTCTGTCGTATGTGTTTTAGAGTAAAATACTACAATACTTTACTGCTGTAAACACTGTAAATTTCCCCACCATGGGATGAATAAAGGTTTATCTTATCTTATCTTATCAGACAGTTGATACTCTTTAACCACACTGTTCTGTCATTGTTCTTGTTTCCTCAGGCCTACAGTGCAGGAGGATGGAGGAGACGTCCTGTATCGGGGGTTTGAGGATGGGATTGTTAAACTAAAGCTGCAGGGCTCTTGCACCAGTTGCCCCAGCTCCATTATTACTTTGAAGAGTGGCATCCAGAACATGCTGCAGTTTTACGTCCCTGAGGTTGAGTCTGTGGAGCAGGTTTGTTGCCCTGTCGGAGAATATGTTCTGAATGTGCTGTTTAATTAAGTAGCAGTTATGCTTACTTCATCTGTCCTCTTCATGTTTGTTTTAAAATGGTCAAAAATAATGATCAAAAAGAGACTCCAACTTAAAATGATTAACAAACCGTATTTTTCTTTTACAGGTGAAGGATGAGGAGGAGGAGGCCGCACAAGTTTGAACCCTGCCAGAAGAACATTTACACATTCCTCCTGCCACCTGCTGTAATGGCATAGTTTATTGAAATGAGCAGCTATAGCTCAGCTGCGTGAAAAACACATCCTCGATCATCCAGACGTTATAACACAACATAGACATATTCTCTGTACTTTGACAGTATTTTACCATTTGGGGCAAGAGAGCCCTGAAAAAGAAACTGATGACTGTTGAGCTGCAATAAATCCTATTTATTATTTTACTTGGTCACACTTTTTCTGATTGAGTTGCTTTTTCTTGCCACAGAAGCTATTTTTCAAAAACAACTTACAGGGCTGGAACACGTACAGATACAAACATACACTTTATATATACAGTATATACTGTATTTATAAGAGTAAAGTTTATTGGAATATTTCACAAATGCCATGCCTCCTAATGTGCTGTATTTTATGAGTAAATAAATGATTCACTTCACCATGTGTTTTTTACCAGTCTCCTATAGGGCAAACAGAAATAAATTAGGTGGATATCACTGGCAATTTAGAGACAAAAAGCTGGATTTGAATATGGATTCTAAGACTTATGTAATACATGGTGGTGTTTGCCAAATCACAAAGACAAATATGTAGACGGATTTATGAAGTAGGGCTGAAAGTCTACACACTCAAGTCTGGAGCAGAGGAGGTGATTGACTTGAGACATTTATACACACTTTCCTTTTTTTAAGAACTTAATTTGAACATTTTTCTGTGTGCTACTTCACTGTAAATCTGATTACGTTTTCATTTAACTTTTGAAAGAAACTGAAGATTTTTTTTTTACTTTAGTCTTATAGTGATAAATTTGGCATTCTATTCAGGGCTGCAGGATGGAAATTTCTGACGGTATCAGTTACACTTCATGAGAAATGACCTTCCCTTTTTCTGTTTGTGATAAGTTATCATACACTGAAAAAGGGAAGTCTAGTCATAGGTGAGAGTGGGGCAAGTTGAGACAAAGGGTAAGTTGAGCCACCCCTGTTGCTTGGAAATAGTAAAAGAAATTGATCATGTGACCAAATATGGGCATCAATTCATGGAGTCTGTGAAGGTTAGAAGCACATGGGTGAAGAGGTTAGACCTTTTAAAAAAAAAGTGAATTTAGTCTGTCATAAGTTTTATTAAAATTGTGTTCAGACCAAAAAAGATCATTTTAAATTAGTTTTATACATTAATGGTGGTATCTATGAGCTACAACATGAGGCCACAAACTGAGCATCAAAGTCCACCATTTTAGCTTAGAGGACTAATAAAGTCATTGTAGTAGTTCAGGGGTAACTGAGCAAGTAAAGGAGTCTGATGAGAGGATCAGAGTTTCAGTTCAGATTGTTGAAATGTTTGACTTTTTCTCTTCAAAAATACAGCTGTGAATGTTCTGAATCACTTAAACATTCTCGTGTCAACATTGCTTTTTACAAAACAGCTTTTTAGCAGATATATGCACTAATATAAAAAGAATTATTGTACCAATTGAGGAGCGTATAATAGATAAAAATACAAATGAATGTGAAGAAGTGACTGTTATTTAGGAAGAGGGAAGGCGAGGGAGGGGTGGGGTGGAGAGTGGAGGGGTAGTAGGGATACGGCTCAACTTACCCCATACACAGGGTAAGTTGACCATAAGAGACCACTGTCTTTGGCATGCTATATTAACAAGACAGTTATTATACACTTATTCTGTTGGTTTGCAGGGATGCACAACATCTTGAAATATATGCAGATACACTAGTTAGAGACAAAAGTATGATTGCCTTGAATGTAGTGATCTGAAATATGAAAAATGTCTCATCTTAACCCACTCTCCCCTATATGACTTGACATATCTCTGTCAAACCCTGTTTATTTGAGGCATTAAATGAATTGCGCTGTAATTATTTTACTTGTGTAGTGCTTTAAGACATCAATAAATACACAGAGTACTAAATTACTTCTTCACTTTTCACGGACGTCGTCCAATAATGTTGACTTCACTGTAAGTCTATACTGAATAACAGCAGCGGTCGGTCGGGTCTGCTGACTGACTGTCCACCCTCTACGGATCTGCATCCTGCTGCCACGTCAGGAGTGCTTACGTCGAACAGCGTAACTTGACTGACAGGTTCCCTCGACCAATCAGAGGATGCCATGGAAGAAGGCGGTTGGCCGTGATTCAGTTTAGCCGGAGGAGGGCGAAGCTTATTTGACAGGCGTTCCCAGCTACCCGAGTAGCTGTTACTGGCACCGAAACTGTAGACATGTGTGGTGAGTACTGTGTCCATTTTACCTTCACAGTATCTATCTGGGTGATGTATTTTATTCATAATTCATCTTAACAGCGAGTTAAACAAATACAAAAGACCGTTAGCTAAGGCTAATAATTCCAGTTAGTTAAAATTAGCTTGTGGGGGCTTAGCTGTGTTAGCTGGTGGTGCTGCTGCTGATGCTGTTAGCTGTCCAGATGTAAAGAAGTCATTGTTTCTTCATGTTGTATCTACTGTCCAAGCGATTTAGACATAGTGGCCTTAAAAACAACTCGACATCTACATATGTATTGTAAAAGGATCTCCTGCTAACGCCAAACAGCTTTACGTGTTTTGCGGTGACATTACGTGCAAAGCGTAACTTAGAGCTGGGATGTGGTTTTTAGAAGCTTTGACTTCATACTCATGAGTCATTTAGATAGGAGTGACCTCAAAACTGATAACTAGAATCGAAGTCAGAGGCGTTTGGGTGAAAAAAAACCTTATCATATCATCCTGCACTGGCTGGAAACTTCTTGTGAAAGTCGTTCCTAGGAAATGCCCACCATCATCATCATCATCATCAATGTGGTAACAGCTGATGACTGTCAGTTTCCCTATCACTGACTGTCTCAAATGGTCTGTTTCATCCTGTCACACACCTGTAACAGATAACTAATGCCTCCCTGTCTCCCATCACTGTCACCACAATCAGACCTGATAGACCAAAGACCAAAAATAAATGCCTTATTCTAGGGCTGGGTGATATGGGGAAAAGTTTATCACAATGTATTTTTTTCGTATCAGGTGATATCGATATATGTCATGATGTAGGCTTGGGTGATTTGGCAAAAAAGATGATCACGATATATTTTGTCGTATCGTCTGATCTCGATTATTATCACGATTTTTTTAAACTGCCAGTTTTAAAGCATCTGTACTAAAAGCTAAAGAAACTAGAGATTAGTTCAACATTTTATTAGCATATAAAGTAAATTGAATAAGATAAACTTAGAAAAATACAAAAACCATTTTAACTCAACAGTACAACAAATGTAGATAAATACTAAATAATACAGTGAACTAGTTTACAGTCCTTTGTATTTTTGCAGTTATGTTAGACCCCAAATAAACAAAAATCCCCCTCAGAGATAATGAAGACACCTTAACATGTCAACATTAGATTATGTAAACGTAGATGATTGATCGCTGCTTTGGTCTGGTTGCTGCACAGCTAGTTGTAGCCAAACTGCTAATGCTACTCGTGCCGTCAGCAGTGACAGACTGTACAGACTCTGCTCGCATTTTCATGCTTTCCGCATAATCATTCGAGAAGAACTTCTTCAAATGATTAAACAGATCTGTTGTGTTGCCGGTTTTTGAGGGCATCGACCGCTGATATACCTTGCACATTGGCGTAATTACTTGACTTCACTTTGGAGATACCCGAACCACCGCCACACAACCGACGTTGAATAACTTCTCAACAATAACATCTTCGGAGGACGACTCAAAGTCACGGCTTACATCTCTTTTACTGCCCCCATCTTCACGTTTAGCTCCATGTTCAGTCATTCTGTTTACTTCCCCGGTAACTTACAGAAGTGGAGCAGGAAAAGCTCGACTCTGATTGGCTGTTGTGATGCACATTTCCACCATGTTTGATCGAGTAAATATGCTCACAGCTGATCACTGTGATCGAACTCAAATTTATCACGATCATCGATCACCATCATATAATGGCCCAGTCCTATCATGATGTAAAGAGTTAAATTTAACAGTGCTTATTGGTCACATGTCTTTCGCAATACAATAAGCGTCTGCATCTGTGAGGTCTGTGTGTCTCTTTGACGTTTTGTCGTAAGGCGTTGAGCTAGACTCTAGAGAAAGCAGACTAAATGGTCAGGCACTGTGTCAGAAAAAAATCAAAAGTACCTCCACACCTCTGATGTTTTCATATTGAGCCTTCATCTGCATTTCTGCCTGGGGTAGCACTCATTTTCTGTTTTATTCCCCTTTTCATTGGCTATTCGTTAAGTCCACCAAAACATGTCAGAATGCAGGAAATATTGCAGCCCTAATGCTGCCATTAACGTAATGGACACATTTTATTCTGCTCCTGTTTTATCATCAGAGGTTTATTTTGTGACTTCCCCCACTCCTCCTCCCTCTTCTTTGGCATCTTCCTCCTCACCTGCTGATCTGAATGACTGCTCTGTTGAACCGAGCAGCCCCCCTGGCTCTACATTAGCATTTTCCTGCCAGTGCTATGCTGTAAAACAGAGCTGTGTTTCATGCCTTCCCTCGAGCCAATTAAGGTGAAACTACTTTAAGTGTGTGAGTAACTTGCTGAATAGAAGATTGGACTGGCTGTGGCTGCCAGACGTCCACAGGAAAGATTGATAATCACTGTCGATATTTGTCTCTGTAACGCTGAGGTCTTGATTAATCTGGGCGAGCCTTTTAATGTCCTTTGCGGCAAAATGCTGTCACAGTTCCCGACTTATTTTTGGTCGAGTACCTTCAACCAAAACCTTTTGAATGAGATTTGTGTGACAGTTCCTCGCTTTCCCACCCTTTCTCAAAGAAAGGAGGAGATATCAACTTGCATAACCCCAGGTTAATGGATACACCCCATTGTGTTAAAGCAGGTCTGTCTAGTAAGAAAATGTTTTTCTAGTTCCCTAAATACCCCTGTAAAACTGGTTTCTCGGGCAGTATTGCAATAGACTTCGAAAGAGGATGACGCTACTGAGTGATGCGCATCTCACTCAGTTGTTTTCTATGGATTTCCATACATGACATGCTGCCAGGCTTCAGCAGCTGTGACAACATTTGTTCTCACTGTAAATATAGGCCATAAATTCAGTATAATGCTGTATCCACGCTGTTCTGGATTGCATTGGTGCTGCAGATTTTTGTTTCAGTAGTGTGTGTGTTTTAGTTCAAGAAAACCACAGTCAATAATACCCAAGCATTTATGTGAACACAAAGTTTAAGATTCACGCGTTTATTTCAATTTTTATACACACGTTTTGTAAAACACGACAAGCACTGAGTTTAAAAATGTTGTTTACAATTACGTGAAATTGATTTATCTTAGTTATTATAGAGTTATCTGGGTTTTACTGACGCAGGACTATAAACAACTCAAAGTATATTTTATCATCAGCTACTGAAGATTTCTTGTCAATCAGGTCACCAAAACTGAAATGAACTATAAATGCATATAGCCTGACAGGAATTTAAATTGATCCGTTCTTTCAGCTGCTCTTACAATCTGTTTTTACAAGAAAAAGTTAAAAACAAAACTCTTTCTAGCGGGCTGAATCATACTGAATCGTGACAATGTGTTCCCTTCCCCAGGAATCTTTGCCTATCTCAACTATCATGTGCCAAGGACTCGGCGTGAGATCCTTGAAATTCTCCTCAAAGGACTCCAACGCTTGGAGTACAGAGGTTACGACTCAGCGGGTAAGAGATGGGAAGACTCATATCAGACATGCTCTCTTTCTGTTTCAGGGACTCTGTTAAAAAAACAACAGAGGACCTCAGTTTGCAGTGAATTATTTAACAGACATAATGTTGCAGGTCTGGGCTAACTTAACCACTAATGGAGTATGTTTATCCCATACATTTCACATACATTTTATGCAGCCTTTTGTTTTATACGCATTAGTTTAGTGTTAAGTATTGAAGTCAAATATAATATTTTTATGATATAATGTGTTGTTTTAAGGTGTCGGGATTGATGGCGGCAATGGCAAGGACTGGGAGTCAAATGCCAAGAGCATCCAACTGATCAAGCAGCGTGGGAAAGTGAAGGCTTTGGATGAAGAGATCCACAGTAAGCCACTATTATTTCAGTCGTTCACTGAAGGACACAAAGAAATCATTCACATCTGAATCATTGATTTACTTTTAGTTGTATAAACTGAATGCCTGATGTTTTCTGTGCCGGGTTGTGTTTGTTTAACCTGCAGAGCAGCAGGATATTGACCTAGATGTGGAGTTTGATGTTCATGTTGGCATCGCCCACACCCGCTGGGCCACCCACGGTGTACCCAGCCCGGTCAACAGCCATCCACACAGATCTGACAAGACTAATGGTCAGTTATGTTGAAGATAGAGGCTCGTTCTCCCCACATCTCCCAACCTGATATTTTTATAACTGCTCAGTCAATAAAATGTGTCTTTCTGGTCTGTAGAGTTCATCGTCATCCATAATGGAATCATCACAAACTACAAAGACCTGAGGAAATTCTTGGTGAGCATAAAAATATTAGAAATCTGCTTTTATTCTACTTGCTGGAAACAGGACTGACTCTATTTCGCCTAATCTCTCCAGGAAAGCAAAGGCTATGAGTTCGAGTCCGAGACCGACACGGAATCCATTGCCAAGCTGGTGAAGTACATGTATGACAACCGGGAGAGTGACGATATCAACTTTGCTACACTGGTGGAACGTGTGATCCAGCAGCTGGTAAGGATCTGCTTAAACACGGGTGCTGCTCGAGTGACCAGCAGTTGAAATAGCCTTCCCTAATTGTATCTTCTTCCACCTGACAGGAGGGAGCTTTCGCCCTGGTCTTTAAGAGTGTCCACTACCCAGGAGAGGCAGTCGGTACAAGGTACACTCTCACTTTTATGCCCTCAAACTTGATGTCTCTGTCGCAGATGAACGTGTGATTTCATAAAAATGTCCCCTCACAGGAGGGGAAGTCCCTTGCTGATGGGGGTGAGAAGTGATCACAAGCTGTCTGCTGACCACATTCCTGTGCTCTACCGCTCCTGTGAGTTAAAAAATTCAGTTCTTGGTTTAATCTGTTCACATGTGATTGCATAACTGTGACTGAGACCCAGTTTCTCTCTCCTTTTGCTCAGCTGGTAAAGACAAGAAGGGCTGCAGCGCTCTGCCCAGGACCGACCAGGACACCTGCCTGTTCCCTGTAGATGAGAAAGCTGTGGAGTATTATTTCGCTTCTGATGCAAGGTAAGCAGATATCTTGATTTTGACAGCCTCCAGTGATTCTCCATAAAACGCTTTTCTCTCCTCTAGATGTGTCGCAGCCTGATCTGTGACGTGTAAATTCGACATTTAAATTTCTCCCATCACTACAGTGCGGTCATCGAGCACACAAACCGCGTGATCTTCCTGGAGGACGATGACGTGGCCGCCGTGATGGAGGGCAGACTGTCCATTCACAGGATAAAGCGCAGGGCCGGAGACTATCCCGCGCGTGCCATTCAGACCCTGCAGATGGAGCTGCAGCAGATCATGAAGGGTGAGGTGAAGGCCGTCAGTCGTTCTGTTTATTTCCTCAGACCATGTGTGCAAATAAATCATTTGTGCACCAGCTTGTAATTATGTCCTGGACCCTGTTATTATTGTGTAACTCTTAATGGTGCGCTGGGTACTTCTAACATCCAGCCTCGGGGGGCCGTCCTTTTATCAGCCAGCTGGTTACAACCCTGCTGGATTAGTTCTCCTCGAGGGAAGGAACTGCTGTTTAACTAACTAGAGTTGTGGAGATTTATCACCTTTTATTACTCTTTAATGTACCTGAATGTTGGGAATGCATTCATTGCTTCTGGCTTTGTAGGAAAGGATATAAGAAGTCTATGAACTTTGTGCTCTTTGCATTTGCATTTACATCACATGTCATTGCTGTATTTCTCTACCAAACATACATTGTAGGGGTGTCCCGATACAACTTTAATACCTCAGATGCAATACCGATATTGTAGCCTTCAAAATTGGCAAATAATTACATTGATCTGATATTAGCACAAACTTGCGCATGACAAGTTTTGCACTCAGCTGCTATGTCTTTTTCATACTTTAAATGAAAAATACTGCCACAGGTTACCGACATCACTCCTATTCCTTGCTACTTTAATTTAGGAACTTAGTACACACTGTTGTTGCGGTCACATGAAGTTGAAGTTGAAGTAGGCTCCATTTTTGTCCTCTCACTACCCGGGACGCTATAGGTTGTTAAGGGAAGGTCCCGCCCTCCTTCGCCTCTGATTGGCTCTAAGTGCTGACCGTTTGGCTTGAGCGTGTGATGACTTTCCCCCAGAAAAGTCTTCCCCAGGATGCGTATTTTTTCCACCCGGAAAGTCACAAAAACGCATCGGGCTTGATGTATTTCGTGATTTCACATTCTATATTCGTGTCGGCCCCGGTGTGTAAGGACCTTTTAAAAAAACATGTTAGTTCATAAGAAGTCACTGTTTTTAAAGTACTGGTAGGTTTTTATTTATTTATTTACTTAATAGGCCAGAAGAGTTGTGGGCTGTAGGGAGTTACTTATCCCAGCTAAGAAACAGCCTGACACGCACCACACCTTGTAAAACCCCAGACTGAACATTTTGCACCTCATTTGCTTATTTGGACTAAACAAACTGAACAGAACATGTAAATTAGTGTTGGAAGGTCGTTCTTTTTACTCATGCAAAGCTGGCAGACTCAGTTTGAAAGTCACTCCATGTTACTCAAAGTGGACACAACCCACATAAAGATGTCAGGAGTTACACCAATGCGTTTCATTTGTAATAATAAGATTAAAGGCAGCTGAAAGAGTCGAAGGTGTTTCAGCCTCAGAGTTTCATCATCAATGTAGGTGTGACTCTAAAATGTCTCAGGATGACAGAAAAATCCCCTTCATTTGATTTGATTTCATTGTTGATTTTCCCTTTAAGCGTATCTGTATTTTGTAGAGTTGTCGATGACCCATAGCAGTATGACGTGGTTACATTTCAGGGTCGGGTTTGTTTAATCGTTCTCCCTCTGGTTTGACGACTGTTGGTGCCAGCTGTGAAAAATTTGATCACACCCATGTAGTTGATTAACGCTGACGAATGCCGGAGGCTGAAACATGTTTGTTTTTCTAAGCTGCTGTTCTCATTCGTTATTGTTTAAAGAGATTTACTTTATTAACATTCCCAAGGGTGGATTTGTCACCTTCCGATACAGCAATGTGAACTAGCTTTTGGCTTTGGCAGGACAAGATTAATATCATCTCAACTAACTTTCAAAGAAATGGGAAATTAATGCAGCAGATGCCAGAGGATATCTTTGAACGCTTCGTTTATAGCATCTCCCTGTTTTCATTACTGATTAATCTGCTTAACTTTTCTTTGAGTTATCGTTTATTTTGTAAAAAAAAATGAAAAATAGAAACATTCCCAAGGAGTAAACTGGCATATTTGCTTTTTTATTTGACAAATAGTCCATAACTTAAATCAAGCAGCAAATCTTGACTTTTTAAGCTAAAAGGCGAATATTTTATGGATTTTATCTGAATTTATCATCAGATGAATCTTCTTGTAACAGATTTATTGTTGCAGAGATCTGAGAGAGAGAGAGATGTGTGCGTCGTTCTCCTTTACCTCAGTAATCCAGCAGAGGGCAGAGGTAAACTGATGTTGGCCGGTCCTCACATTCCTTTGTGGTCCAGTCATTACTCAGCCTCTCTCCTCTGTTTCAGTTTCTGGAGCCTTTCTGCTGAATAACCTAATTCGTATGACCCAAATTACTGTCAGAGGACGGCTGATAAACGCTCACATATTTCACCGTCACATTTTGTTAATGACAGAAAAACGCCATCTCCCCATCGTCTTGTTTGTTTTTCCTTTATTTAAGAGGTAACCAACCTGTAACTCCGAATATGTGACTAAAAAAGACAGAAGACTCCCTTCATGACTAGTTTTCTGTAAAACATTATAAAGAGTTTTGTTGCTCTACAGGGAGATTGTGGTTTGCATTTTCAGGTACTTAATGTAAGTCAATAGTGCCCGTGTCAGATGGCCTCTCGTGGGCTCACACTTCATAAAAAGTCCATCACAGTGCTCTAAAGTAGCATTTACCTTTATTTCTTTTACTAGCGTTGGCAATGAGCCCCTGTTTTCTGATCCTCCCACCACAGGCAACTACAGCTCCTTCATGCAGAAGGAAATCTTCGAGCAGCCAGAGTCTGTGGTCAACACCATGAGAGGACGGATCAACTTTGACAACAACACAGGTCAGAGTGCTGTCTGATGAGTTCTCCCTGTGGAGCACTGTTGTAGTAACTCCTCCGCAAATCAGCTTCTTTACACTCCCTGTCCGTCGAATTACTTTGCAAAGATGTGCAGAGAACACAAAAAGTAAAATTCCACTTGTAAGATCAGTATGATGGCCACAAAAGTAAATATGTGAAACTGTCTAAGGGCTCTTTTTGTGGTCTCTTTTAATGAGGTGGAAAATCTCTGAGCAGAGTGATGGATTAACTGTTGGGTTTACTTCCAGTGACCCTGGGTGGACTGAAGGACCACATTAAAGAGATCCAGAGGTGTCGGCGACTTATCCTGATTGCCTGTGGCACCAGCTACCATGCGGGAGTAGCAGTGAGTATCCACCAAACAGAAGCTCTTTCGGCTTTGTTATTTAAGCACATAATGGAAACATGTCTGTACTGTTATCCATGTCGGATCCAGCAGACTAGTTGGATATGTGAGGTCTGTATTGTGGACACAGGTGTGAGGGCTGTGTGTTGGCACCGTCTTTGCTCTGAGCTGGACCGGCTTGTTTGAACAAAGTGACGCTGAGCAGTGCTCTCTTGCTTCGCAGACCCGCCAGGTGCTGGAGGAGCTCACCGAGCTGCCTGTCATGGTGGAGCTGGCCAGCGACTTCCTGGACAGGAACACTCCCGTCTTCCGAGACGATGTCTGCTTCTTTATCAGTCAGTCAGGTGGGGAGGCCGCTGCCATCTGGACATGATTGAGTGCACATTCCCCAATTGTCTTCCTCTTTCCATCCCCGGGAGAGAGGCACTCTGCTTCTTCTTGATTTATCTCTCTTGTGCTCGGCTTCCAGAGTCAAACGTGTGCTTTACTCTCTAGTTTTCTGTATCTGCACTGTACTCCTCTGTTGTAGTCCATGTGTGGTATTTGTGTAAATCTGTGTGTATGTCATAGTTGTTGTTTTCAAAATGTGACTGTTATTCTCTGGTGGCTTTTCTGTGAATCTGTTTCTAATCATTATGTGGTGCAAAAGCTTCCCCATTTTAACAAACTAATAAATCAGCATCATTTTATTGTCAGAAGTGTAACATTGCATAAACTGTTATGGTTTTTCCTCCAGGGGAAACGGCTGACAGCCTCATGGCTCTGCGCTACTGTAAGGAGAGAGGAGCTCTGACTGTGGGCATCACAAACACAGTGGGCAGCTCCATCTCCAGGGAGACGGACTGTGGCGTCCACATCAATGCGGGGCCTGAGATCGGAGTAGCCAGCACCAAGGTGAGCCGATGAAACTTACGCTGCGTTCTAGTTACCTCGGAAGTCAGAGCTGGGAATGACAGCGTTCCAGTTAATAAGTCGGAAAACCAAGATGGACGCCTACTGTTAGCCATTGTTAGCTGTTGTTTATAATTGTCAGCTGTTGTTAGCCGTTGTCAGTCATTGTTAGCTATACCAGTTGTAAACGACGCACAACACAGTATTCTACACTTACAAACACCATAGCACCATGTTCAGATAGACGTTGGGCAGTACAACATATACCACAGAAGTGCTAACAAATAATACATTACAAGAGCTTTCACTGTTACGCTTTACTGTTAAAGCACAGCGCATCCATCCTCAATTATGATGTTGTTGTCAAGTTGGAGTTGGCGAGGATCGTCCGAGTTTCCGAGCTTGGAAACCCCGACTAACAATTACAACTGGAAAAGCTTCATAAAATCTTGATGATAAAGACTCGATCCCGACTTACAATTACAACTGGAAAAGCTTCATAAAATCTATTGAGAAAAAAGTCCTCTGATTTTAGTTGACAGTCCCTGTTGACCTTTGACAGAGTAGAGGTTTTACTTTTGTACGACACAGACCAGTACCTGACAACTCAGATACGGCTTATTCACCAAATACCTGCAAACTTATATGAATGACAATACAATGAAGACAAAACAATAACAATATATATCGAAAATTAATTTCCCTCAATATCAATATAAAACATGGTCAATATGCTTTTCGATAGTCGGCCATATTTTGGTCGACTATGCGAATAGCCAATGAAAAGGGGAGTTGCTCGGGGTTCGCACCGCGCCGAACCAATCATGTGCTGAATTAGAACCAAGTAGCAAACAACTTCATAGTAGCAGGCTGCAGCTACAGGCAACCATAGCACTTTAACACATGAAGCCGACAGCACTGTCAGTGAGAAAAAGAGAAAATGAGTGCAACCCTCAGTAGAAATGCTGATGAAGGCTCAACAGATTACAACATCGTAGACAACAGTGGCATGAAAGCGTCGGTGGTGTGGAGGTATTTTGGTTTTTTGAGGTCCTACATGAAGCAGAGTAATGTGCACTGCAAATTATGTCAAGTACATGTTCTTGCAAATTGGGAATACCTAACCATTCAGTCCACTTTCTCTTACGCAACGCCTTACGACAAAACGTCAAAGAGACACAAAGACATCACAGATGCAGTAGCTTATTGTACTGCAAAAGACATGCTACCAACAAGCACTGTTAAATTTCATTTTCTATATCATGATATATACTGATATCGACTGATATGAAATCATATATTGTGATAAACTTTTTCCCATATCGCCCAGCCCTACTTTCAGGTCTGTGTTTTTGTCCTCAGAGACTTACTTAACTAGTTCTGAAGGACACTTTAAATAAACTAACTCTATAAATATGTGATTTGATGAATGGCCCCCCAAGATAGGAAAAAGAGGTTTTTACACTGGGCTTGAAGAAACTGTACACAGGTTTGTTTCATTATCTCTTAAATGGACTCAACACCAACCAACACTCAATGAAACCCAGATGAAAACTCCACAGCGAGTGTGGCTCGGCCTCTTGGAAGCAGACATTTTCCTTCAGTCTCATCAAACGAGGAGTTGAATAGCCTGAAACTCTCATCTCATCTCATCTGAAGGTTTCGTGCCCCCCCACCCACTTCTCCAAACTAAAAGGATTTGCCAGTTTGGACTCCAAGCAAAGCAGAAGAGTACTAGAGTTCAGCGAGTATGTAGAGAGAAAGAGAGAAAGAGAGAGAGAGAGAGGAGCTGGTCCCTCCCTGGCCCAGCCCTTCAACTTGGCTCAGTGTCTCTCGCGCTGCTCCAAAGTCCCAGAGCACGCCTCAGAGACGCCACCATTTACTGCTCGGCTGGCTGGGCCCCATCCCCACACACCCAACTCAACCAAATGCTGCACAACCTAGCTCATCAAATCAATTGCGAACATGCATTGCACCCAGCTGCTAAACAACTTGAGATGTGGCCTCGGATTTCTGTTTCATGCTAATTTGACTTTTTTGTGAGCTGGAAAATGGGAAAAAGGAAAAGTGCTTTTTCAAGTTCCTCTAATCAAAGACAAGATTTATGGAATAGGTTAGGACTTAAGATATTTTGATGCTTTTTAAAAAGCAAATCCTTCTGGCAGGTCAACTGACGTTACATGAAAGACGACATCCTTTTTGAATTCTACGATCTGGTTACAGAAATTTACATGCAAGCTTGTTTCTGGGCAGGACAAATCTGTTCATGTTTTAGTTCTAGGGTTGTACAGGTCAACTATTTGTCCTGCAATGAAAACTAGAAAATTGGCAAGTAGAAAACACATCATAGTTTACAATGTGGGTTAATAGTATTGCCACATCTGACCCAACAGTGCAGGCTGTCAGAGATGTGAGGGACTGTGGTTCGCATGCAGTCCGGGGGGAGAATACAATGTAAAGGTTTTACAGCTATTTTCTTGGATTCGGACACTGGCATTTCTGAGTCTGGAGGGTCCCGTGAAATGACTTGGCTTCTCTTGAGCACTGATTAAATCCCCCAAATGGGCATGGACGACCTCCAGAGTAGTCAGAGACGAGGGAACAGAAAGAGAGAGAGAGAGAGAGAGAGAGAGAGGAGGGTGAGGGGGTGTTTCCAGAGCGATCAGAGACTGCGCACTCTGCTGTAGTGTTGTGTGTTAACATAATTTTCCAGGATGAGTAGCTTGACTGAGCTCAACTGCACGCTTTTTAATGCTGCTTTGCGTGCACTTAACCCTCCTCTCCTTCCATTGCTCATCTGGTGCAGATTATAAACTGGAGACAGGGCTCCCTATCAAAACAGAGACACAAGAAGCACAGGCTCAAGAAACTTCTAAACCAGCATTACAGTTCTGCTTTTTGGTATTCAGTACTGTGCTGCAAAACAGGGAGCTCTTATACCTTCAGTAAATAGGTCACAAATAGAGTGACGAGGTCCTGTGGCTTTTTCTGTTCATGCATGTCCGATCTGAGAGCTGCCGTCTGTATAAATCAGTGGATAAATCATTGAATTGAATAACCCTCACACTCTGTTTGTCTCTCCTCTGCAGGCCTACACCAGCCAGTTTGTGGCCCTGATCATGTTTGCGCTTCTGATGTGCGACGACAGGATCTCCATGCAGCCGAGACGCCGAGAGATAATCCAAGGCCTGAGAGTCCTTCCAGGTAACTCAGTCCACAGGTATCAGAGTAGGGTTGGGCGATGAACCGAAAATTTCCAGATACCGAAATTTACGACAATAACTGACGTCGTTTTGCCCACATCGGTATATTCAGGGTCAAAAAAAATAATAAATAAAAGTTGGTTTTGGATGTGTGTAGATAGGCCTACATCAGAGACATGACTACACCCCATCCAGTCAGTAATAAAGAGGGAAAGACAGGTGAGGAGATGGAGGACGGTTCAAAAGTTGGAGCGGCTGAAGCAGATGAAGTTAATGTGGGAGGGGGTTAGCAGCTTGTGGAGTAGTTTTCATCCATTTATGATTTGCTCAATATTTTGTGATTTTGATTTGAGGCCATATCGCCCAGCCCTATATAAGAGATAGTCTCCGATTCAAATGCACATAGAAAACCAGCTACTTGGAGCAAAGATCAAAAACCTGTTTCTTTTTTAAGTTGTTTTTTTCCAACAATCCCTTTTGACAAAAGATCAGTGAAGGAGAGAAAGCTTTTTATGTCTCGAGGACCTCGCATGCTTCTCTTGATCTAAAGCACATGATGCCATGTCCCTGATGGTAAACTAATGAGGAATGTCTGGTCGCTCTGCCACTCCCTGGCCAATATTATGACAGCACAGCATGTTGACACACTCTGTCATACAATTTTGTTGCTTAATCCTCAGTCGTGTTTTTTTTCCTGCTCTCTCTTTATTAGATCTGATCAAGGAGGTTCTGAGTTTGGATGATGAGATCCAGAAACTGGCGACAGAGCTGTACCAGCAGAAGAGTGTGCTGATCATGGGCAGAGGTTACCATTATGCTACCTGTCTGGAAGGAGCTCTGGTAAGCAAGTACACCAGATGTTCAGAAAGTTGCTTTTTAAACTGTCTGGAAAGAGGGTATGTTACGCCTTTGACTTTTGATTCTTTTAACCTGTCCGTCTTTCATCTTTGGTAGAAAATCAAGGAAATCACATACATGCACTCAGAGGGGATTCTGGCTGGAGAGCTAAAACACGGTCCGCTGGCTCTGGTGGATAAACTCATGCCTGTCATCATGATCATCATGAGAGATCACACCTACGTCAAATGCCAGAACGCTCTGCAACAAGTTGTCGCCCGCCAGGTGAGGCCCAAACACCTTGATCCAGTCCAAAAAGAAAAAACAATCATATTACAGTGTTGAAGCGATTAAACCGAGAACCAGAACATCTGAAGTTTGGAACTGCTCTTCAGGGAGTTTAAAACTTTACATTCATATACTGGATATGTGATGAAAATAGCACATTGTGGATGTTAGGTTAATTACCATGGTCCTGTCTGTGCCCCACCCCTGATCCCTCACCTCAATAAACACGAGGGAGGGGTCGCTTCAGTGTGACATCATTACTCTCAGTAATCTGCAGCAGATGTGGGTTTAAGAGGTGTGAAAATCTACTGAGTCAAAGAGGGATGGAAAGACTCTTTGGCTTTTTCTGACTCGTGTCACACTCAACGCTCGATTCCCTCTGTTTGATTTTTCAGGGCCGCCCCATCGTGATCTGTGACAAAGACGATTACGAGACCATAAAGAACTGCAGCCGCACCATCAAAGTGCCTCACTGTGTTGACTGCCTGCAGGGCGTGCTGAGCGTCATCCCGCTGCAGCTGCTGTCCTTCCACCTGGCTGTCCTCCGGGGTTACGACGTAAGTACCATCCTTTCAGGTGTAGCAGTAGCTGGTAATGACGGTTTTCTCAGCTTGGACGTGGTTAAAAGGAATCGATCTAAAATTAGCGACCCCGTTACAGTGATGGGAAGAACAGTTCTTTTGACTGTACTGAATCTTTAGAATCCATTCATTAAAAGATCAGTCAGTGCTTCGGAGCCCCGTCCTGCCGGTTTCAGTACACAAGGGAGTGTCACATCGGCAAGTTTGTCCATTGAACTTGCCCCTCCCCTGCTGCTGAAGTCACAGCGTCGTTCACTGGGGGACACATGTCGTTCATTTGCCAAGTCCTGAAGGAAGCATCACTCCCCTGCCCTGAAAAACTCACCTCTCTGTGTATCGCTGTCGGCGAAAACAACACAGCAGCACGCCCACTTAACAAGCGAGAATCGTCTCTCTTTTATATCACAGAAAAGTGAAGAGATTAAAAATAAGTCAACATTGCAGCTGTAGCGGGGATTCTGCTACGTTTGAAGATATCAAATAGCGTATTTCTTTAAATCGGCTGAAATAAAATCCTTCTTGCAGGAAAGTTTATACACATGTATTTATGTAAAGGCACTATAATCCACTGTTTTAGCTTTATCTGTTTTATCTTAGCCTCAGTGAATAAACCAGTGTTCAGCAGTAAGTGTACGACACTACACCCCCTCCTCCTCTGCCTGCATCAAGTCATTCGAAAAGTAGTTTGTTTCGTTCACCATGTTTCGTTCACTGACTGATACAGGTCGTTCATTCGATGTGAGTGAATCACGAGACTCCGCCCACCTGCCCGCCCGCCTGCCTGGCTGGCTGTGTGTCGTCCGCTGGAGTCAGAGGCGGCAGTTCCACTCCCGACCGGCATGCCAGGCTCGCGGCTGAGCTCAACTGAACTGAAAAAGGAACGAATCTGGTCTCTTTTGAATGAAACGTTCATGAACGACACAACACTACCCCGTTAAACTCCTTCATAAGCTTTTGATCTGATCGCACTTGAGAACAAATACCAGAAATAAACAAATCCAGTGTTTACTTCTCTCCTCATTTTGGCTCCAGTATGTATAGTTCCTTATTTCCCAACATTGCGCTGAAGGTGATGGTGAGTTAAGCCAACGCAGCAAAACCATCACATGTGAAAAACCTCAATCATTACAAAAATAAATACTTCTTACTCATTATCTTTTGCTGTGAAGGAGAAAAAACAAATCTGTGTTTAATGTTTTTGACATATTTGTTTTTTGTAGCTCGCTATTCAAACACTCTTTGTGTCTTTGTGTACTTTGACCTTTCTCATCCAGTAATAGCTCAAGTCCAAATAACAGCCGTTCTGACGCTCTTATCAGCTTACACCTGCAGTCATAAAAGATATGTCAGTATTTATGTGAATGCATCTCCGTCTCATGCTCAAACTTCTTATTCTTCTTAGTGTCAGTTTTCTGGCTCGCCAAGTTTTGTTAGGGGTTCTAGTAAATCAAACCTGATAGGCTGACAGATGCGTTCTGTCAACACCATTAAGCCATTTCCCCCCCAGACGGTAAACAAACTGTTGTGTTTGATTTCAGGTGGACTGCCCAAGAAACCTGGCCAAGTCGGTGACAGTGGAGTGAAGCTCATCGTTCATCACTTGACAACAAAAGCCTGGAAGAAACAAACACTCGTGCGGACGAGGAGGGGAGGCTCTGCACTCTGAAACCAACAGAAGATTAAGTCCTCTTTATGTGTCTTGTATCACGGCTCTTTTTAATGCAATCTTTTACTCAACAGTCGTGTATCTCACTGTTGTATATCCTCTGTATCCTCTCATTGTCTGTATTTTCATCATCAACGTCGTAGTATTGATTGAGACATCGATCTGTCCCTGGTGGTGAGGTCTGGGCTGGCGCCGATGTACCATTTCTTTCCTCTGTGGGTGTGTGAAGCTGTAGCAAATGACTCTGACTCTGTAAAGGTCACAAGAACTCACTAGAAATATGTTTGTATGTGCTTTTTAGTCTCTCTTAGAGCTGATGTTAGAGCTGTTCATTGACAGAAGTTACCAACTGTTTTTTTTTTCTCTGTAATGCAGTGATTTGTAGTTTAGTCGGGATATTTTTCTTTGGCAGCTAATCATTCGAAGTGTCTTTACTCCTCAGTTGAAGTAAGTAGCAGTCTTGAATCATTCCAAGCCACAGGTCAGCACTACATAATTGCAGCGCCGTTTGCCAGTTTTGACTCAGTTTTGACTCAGTTCCTCTGTTGGACTTTCTTCTGAAGACGCACTAGTTTACAGCAGCAGCTTTACAAGTTAGATGACAGAGAGGCTTGTAAATACACCAGCGTGTAAAGCTCATTCTTCCGCATAAAACAAGAACTGGTTCTGCTTTACGACTAAAGCGTTTTCCTGCTTACAAAAGAGTAGTACTCTACAGCTGCTTTTGCACCGTTTGGTTGAACTCTGTTGCTTCACTACACGAGACTTTAATGCTAACTTAAGGTCTAAAGTTTACATTTAAGTTACAAACTGAAGTAAATCCTGTTAGATGATGAAGTGATAAATCTGAAGAAAGCCAGCCCACGCCCTGCCACCAGGACTGCTGCAATATCGGGACCATTTGAAGCTTTTATTTCCTTTCTTTCTTTCTTTTGTTACATTTTTTTTTTCATTTTCTCTTTTTATTTAAAACAAAAAAAGGAATTTTATACCATTGAAGTAACTCTTTGATTTGAAATGTGAATGTTACTGTCATTTTAAATGTCCTGTCAAACCAAAAATCTTTCTGATGGCGTTGGCAGATGTAAACCAAAACATCTATTTTAAATGTTATATTATTTTGTAGCCAATCGTGTACTGAAGCTGGTACTGTAGACTGTGTGGTGTGAAGACTGTTTGGAGAGACAAAGGGGGTCATATACCTGGTTTTACATCAGTATGTTTGTCAGATTGTAGATGTGTATTTATTAAGATACCAGCTGTGTGTGCGTGTGTGAGTGTGTGTGTTTCTGAATGTTTAAAAGCCAAGGAGAGAGTAGTGTACACAAAACTGTGTAGTGAAGTAATAGGAGCAGTTTTTTTTTTTTTTAACTCAACACATTTTTGGTTTCACGGTTTTCATTTTGCTTTTACAATCAAGCCTTAACTTAATTTTGACTTCTTTTTTCCCAGCATTGAGCTTCTTCTGGGCCAGTGAGTGGGTTTGAAAACTGGACAATGTTGTAACAGGTACTTTTGTGACCCCAAATACATGAGCTGATTTTGATTTGGTAGACTGGAAAAAAAAAATGACATAAAGGCACTACACGAATGTGGAGACATCTGTTGCAAGCCGATGGGTTACTGAGGGCGTGGGGACACTTTTTAAATCAGTGAACTGATGCAATAAAGTGTCAAGTACTAACCTTTGATTGGTCTGAGCTTATTTAAGATGTTTGACTATAAGGCTCCTGTGAGGACTTTTTTTTTTTGATGTTCATGAAACAGACTGAAATTCATACTGATGGTTTTGTTTATTTTGTGTGCTTAAAAAAAGCACAAGTGAAAAAATTGATTATTTTAACACATTTTTTTTTGTGTGTCCTCATCTTATTCTTTTTTATAATTTCCACATCAAAAAAATCTCTAAATGACACATTTTAAGTCAGCAGGGGGAGATTTTTCTGCTAGATGACACCAAAGCAGGTGAAGGAGAAAAGCAACAACTGCTTTGACCACAGGGGGGCACCAAAATTGACAAACGAAAGGTTCTTTCACACCGGGACCGTTTTGGTCGTGCAATTATTCGGACGTCATTATTTTTTCTCGAACCCGTATCCTGTCAATACAAGCGTTCACATCAGCGATGTTTTCCCGTCCTGCGATATTACGGCATTTATTTTTTCGGATCACGTCGATTTTTCTAAAGTTTCGCATACTGTTTCCATTTCTGACCAATCAGATTTCGTGTTGTTGCGACGTCAGATTCACCGGTATATCCAACATGGCGGACCGGCGGATTGTTTACGTATCTGAGAACAGAGTGCTTTTTGATAAAAACACAAACATTACAAAGATAACTACCTGAAGGACAACATAGCGTCAGATTTCTCATATGACGAAGGTTTGTGTGCTTTAACAGTTTGCTAAACGCTTTTGTTTTAATCTTTCATCTGTGCTAACCTAAGCTAACGGTTGTTACCATAGTTTCATGTGCTTATCGCCTCTGATTGGCTGTAAGTGCTGACCGTTTGGCTTGAGCGTGTGATGACATTTCCAGCTTTTCTAGCCAATCAGAGGCGAGAATTTTCCCAGGAAAAGTCCCCCCTGGAAAGTCGCAAAATCGCATCGGGCTTGATGCGTATAGTCAGGTGCATCAAAATTTCGCGTTCCACAGTCACGTCAGCCTCGGTGTTTAAGGACCTTAAAGCTGGTGAAGGAGATAAGCAACAGCTGTTTTGACCACAGGGGGGCGCCAAAATTGACAAACTAAAAGTTCCTTACAGGAGCTTTAAAATCAGGCATAAGAAAGTACTTAAAAAATGTTTCGCAATTTTATTAAAATTAAAACCTCATTTTTTGGACATTGATAAAAGTTAAAAACCCCAAATGACATTTTTTTTTTAAATTAACATACATGCAAATAAGCTGTGTTGTACAAGATATTCATGGGTTTCATTCAAGAGTTGACAGATCCCAAATGATTCCCAGTACCTGTGTAGAGTAAATGGTCACAGCATGTAGGGTAGACAGTGATCTCCTGGTGCATCTATAAAGAGTCTTAAGGGTTGTGACACTAAGTCTAAAATCACCGCACAAGAGTGAAAAAGTAGAAAGTGCTGTGTGGACAAAGCCCACGATGGTCATGGGAACAAAAGGAGAGGATCTGCAAATTGCCAGCACAGTCTTCAGTATCGTCTTTGACCACTTGGCAGCTCTTCCTCCTCCTCCTCCTCCTCCTCCTCCTCTTTCTCCACAGTGGTGATCATAACAGCTGCTGTTCCTGAAGGTGTGTGATGAAGACCAGGTGGAGCGGCTCAAGTATCCATGTTTGCCTCCTCCCTCCTGTGGGTAGAGCAGCCCTGCCAGCACTGACCTGACAGATGCGTTCAGCCTCAGCATAGTTGAAAGGTAAAAAGCTAAACATTTGGTGATTGCAAGTGCAACGCTCAGGAGGATTTCATTGCACTGACTGACCACCACAACGGCTTCCAGTGCAGCTGCAGAGTAACTAGAGATGACAGCCACAGCTCTGAGCAAAGACAGCCTCCATTCTGCAAACACAGGGAGTGAGGTGGACAGTTTCTCTCCTAGAAAGAGCCTCACCTGATGCAGTTCAGGTAACATCCTCTGTGCTGCAGCCAAGTCATGCATCGACAACCAATCACAGCTGCTTTAAGGTGTGAGAGTGGGATTGGATAACTGTTAGCAGGTGTTCTCACCCGTGACCTCAATTGTTAAATTGCTTGACTGTAGTCTGCGGATTGTGACCTATTTAAGGCTGATTTGGGACACTTTTAGGTTAGGTTAAGGAAATCATATAAAGAAAATCACAAATTAAAGAATGGCGCGGACATCAAAACGGATTACCTCTGGCTTTTCTGGATTAATTAAATCAAAGAGAGTGTGTTTGCCACAAAGTACACTTTTTTATTTCGTGACTAAACGTCAGCTGGAAAAATGCTTGAAGAGTTTTTTGGGTCCCCCGCTGATTGTCCTTTTTAACCACAATTCTTTGTTGGAGTTAGTAAAAGTCTTTTTTTTTAAGTTTTATCCTGATGAAACTCTTTGAAGTATGACAGATTTTTGTCTGAAGAAACTCCTGCATGGGGTTGGAATCTGGAAATCTCATTATCTTATCATTTCATCATGTCATAAATCCAAACATGATATAAAAAGAAACGTCCTGCAGAATCACTGGACTTCTTTTTTTTACAGCTTTACAAAAGATTAAGAAATACTACACAAAAGATAAGATTTCAGTATGCTTTTAAAGAAATATTTGCATTTGCAGGTAAGATTTTACATTTGACAGTGGTCTTTGTATTCTAGTTTGATAGTTTACCCCTGACAGAACACATGCACTGATTTTTGACAACCTACCACAAAAGTTTAAGGCTTTTGAGCTGAAGAAAACTCTCATAATAAACCGCTGGTGGTATATTGGAGGCTCTGGGGTTCAAACTCATGAAAAAGTTCATCGAATATACGGCTAGAAAACAGACGGCACTCTGCGTATTACCAAAGTCTGCTGAATTCAGTCATAAGGGAGAGTCTGTGTCATAGATAGAATCTGTGATGCAATGTTTATATATGCGTTTGTCAGACTGCTGTGATGCTGTAATGGGTCAGACTGAGTGGAAACAAAAGCTGGCAGCAGCCGCAGGCATCTTACACAGAATTTGTTTGACGTGAAAAGTCCTGTGAACGCTGCCCTAGAAACGTGGACCAACTGCGAATGACAAAATAAAACGTCAGACACTGATCAAAGTCACTTCCTTTGAGACAGTCAGAAAAATCTCAGCTCCTTATTCAACTCTGTCCTGTCCTCTGCAAACCTTCAGTTATGTCATAAATGATTAGCACCACTGTACCTTTTCTGCAGGCTGTCTACATTTCCTGAGGATATAATGTGTGTAATATTTTCCAAGATAGCTCGCTCCAGTTCTGCATGTGACATAATGCAACATATGAACATCTGGAGTTAGTCAGTCATCCTCTGCAAACCCTCTTTTTCCATCAGAGTGGGTGAGCGAGGTCCTGTGTGTAACTCTGCTCTGTCATCCCAAAGCCAAATCAGTGGTCCGACAGGCCGTCAAAGAAAAGAAAATAGAGTAAAAGGTTTTGCGTAAAGGACGAGTCGGAGACAGAGTTTATAATCTGAAGGAGAGCTGCAAATTTAAAGGAAATGTGAACCTATTAAAGTGTTTAACGACTTTTGATGAAAACTAGCTGTTTTCATTCTGTGAGGAGGAAAATCTCAAAGGTTAAAAAGTCAGAGGCTGTAGTTTAAAAAAGATACCAAAAGACAGAGTACAATTGAATACACGTGAACTGTTTACTTCCATAAAGAATGAAAAAAACCAAAGGTGTTTACATTCTGTTTTGGTGGATCATTCCCTCCTTTGTAATCTGCATTCAGCTGAAACCAAACCTGCTTCATATAAATTTGTGCAAATAAACCAAATGCCTTTGTTTAAGTCGATATAAAGCTCGTTTTGAGTCAGGTCGGTTTGCTGTGATACACATCTTAACGTTGTGTCTTTCTCTCTAACATTAACAAAGATGTCTGAACACACATTTATAAGAATTATTATTTACATGTATATTAAGGCTGCAGATCAAGATTATGTGCAAAACGTTTCCCTCATTGACTAAACTCAGTCTCAAATGCTGTCGTTTTGATCGAGCCGTTTATAAAAATAAGGCTAAATCAACGTTTAGTGAAACTGTGAAGAGCACAAAAATAGGCCAGCTATGATGTAGCAGATTTGTGCATTGCTGTTTCAAAAAATGGATTTATCAGCAACGATTGTCTTTCTAACCTTAATGATACTCTAAAAATGTGGTTCTTAACATTAAAAGTGTTCATAAAAAATGTACAAATGTGTAATAAAAACAAGGTAAACAAACACACACATAAAAAACAAATGTTGACTCAAACATCACTGCATGCAATTGTCCAACATTCAAGAGTACAAAAAGTACAAAAACAGACTTTTCTGGACTCTTCTTTAGCGGCAGTGTCTGGGACATTTGCTGTAAAAGTCTTGCATCTCTTATCAGGAAAACGGGAATGCAACACACAAATTCAAGAACTGTCATGAGCGATTTAAATGTGACTGTGCTCCTTTAGTTTGTACAGAGTTCAATCCATCGTTTCTCTGATTGGTCAAGATTCATCCTATCTTTTTTTGAAAGCCTTCAGCAGCTCTGGGGACCAGAGGGCGAGTGTTTTCGAGCAGGCCTGTGTGACCTCATTTGTAGGGAATGTCTGTGTAATTCAAGCATTAGAGCAATTGCACTGTTGGGCTAAATGTGTACAAAAGTCACTGTAGACAAATAGCAGAAAAGAAGTCCTCGCCGCACCACTTCACAAGGCAGAAAGGCCGCCGAGCACAACACAACAAGCTCAACGGTGCTCGCTCGCAGTTACAATCAAAGATGGTCACGGCCTCTGAGTTCCCTTTTTAAGTCCCTTTAAACTTTCTCCTCTACAGGCCAGGGCGAGGCGGTGGACGAGCAGGTGGAGGGGCTCGGCAAGGAGGAGGCCCCTGTGGCGGAGGAGGCAGAGAGCCGGTGGGGGAGCAAGGAGGTTGAGGGGTTGGGAGAGAAGCTGGTGGGGCAGATATGTTCAGGTTAGTCGGAGGGAGAGCCCGGTTAGGAGGTGGCGTGTAAGGGGGTGGCGTGATGGGAGGAGAGGGGGAGTCGGAGCTGGGTGGAGGTGTTGGAGGCAGGGTGGAGAAGGTGTACGATGGCAATGAGGAGGGGCTGCCTGGGGTCGGTGGAAGGCTGCCCTGCGGAGGAGGTGGAGGCTTGTAGATGGGGGTTGAGTGGTGGTTGTAATGTAAGTAGTGAGGAGAGGGAGATTTTGTGCGGGTGAAGTTCATGCATCTGCCCTGAAAATGTCAAATAAAGGCAGATATTAGAAAAGAAAAACATCATAATGCACAGGATGAACATATCAATATAAGCCTTATTTTTTTCTTTTTGCATTCTCCTTTAATTGTGCGGCTTCGTTTGAGAGTCTGAGTCTTGCAAATTAATCCTTAAAGGGATATTCCAGCAACACCTGAGTGATCAATTCCAATGCCCTATATAGGCGACTCAAAATTTCCCATAATGCTTTGCAAAATGTTGTCGCCATCCGATGGTCACTCAACGGTGGTGGGCATCCCGTCATGCATTGCGTCTTGCCATGTAGTGTCCGAAACCTCCGGTGATTGAGCTCACTACATAGTCAGTGAAACCCCATATGGGGGTTAGGGGTTAGGGATTGAGTGATTCATTTCGGACACAGCCTTAGTCTCGCAAATGACTCCTTAAAGGGATATTCTGGCGTAAAATTAATTTAGGGTCAAATACACCATAACACCGAGTTAGACACCCCCTCGAGAGATGAATGTTGCTGACTGCTTGCTTCTCTAGTTTTACCAACTTTGGTAACGACTGCAGGATAGCAATACATAGTGGTCTGAGGAGCCATAAACAAACTTCAACGAAAACGCCACTCTATAGCCACAAATAATGCTCAGAACAGCACCTAACTTCATCAACAGTACATATAGGGTCCCAGTCATAGTACTAGCCACCAAACATCTTTATAACTTTGCCTGATTTCTTTAGCAAAGAGACTAAACACAACTCACCTACTCTCTTCCAGCAGCCGTTTGTTTGTACAGAGAGTTCATCGACGCAGCTTAAGGAAGAACATTTATGATTATTATTTCAAGGAAATGATAAAGTAATGATCATAAATGTTCTTCCTTGAGCTGCGTCGATGAACTCTCTGTACAAACAAACGGCTGCTGGAAGAGAGTGGGTGAGTTGTGTTTAGTCTCTTTGCTAAAGAAATCAGGCAAAGTTAAAAAGATGTTTGGTGGCTAGTACTATGGCTGAGACCCTATATGTACCTTTGATGAAGTTAGGTGCTGTTCTGAGCATTATTTGTGGCTATAGAGTGGCGTTTTGGTTGAGTGCTGTATTGCTATCCTGCGGTCATTACTAAAGTTGGTATAACTAGAGAAGCAAGTAGTCAGCAACACTCATCTCTCGATTAAAGAGATGAGATTAAAGATGAGATCAAGATTAAAAAAAACAGTTTATTGTTGCTGTATGTTGTAAATCACAGATGCTACTTTAACTCTCCTCGGTTGCCCGTGCCGTTTCTGTGGACATGCTTACAAGACTGTCAGCTTTAGTTGTGGGCAATTATGTGTTTTTCTTTGCTCAGCTGGACAAAATAACTCGCTGACTCTCTCCTCCAGTTCAAACTGCAGTGAGGTCATACAAAAGGGACTCTCGTATTCTGGTAACAAGCTACACCCGGGAAGCAGCTGCACCGAGGGGATCAGGGAGGTTCAGTGGATTGATGAAGGATGACAGCTCTGCTCTCTGCCTCTCAATTACCAGAGAGGGGAAAAATGACCTCTGAGACAAACTCTGAAGATTGTTAATGTCATGCATACAACACAGAAAGAATCAGACTCAATCTTTGTTTATTCCTCTCGTGTCTGAGGGACGGTGAATGACACAGATTTCAAGGCCTCTGGGCTCTTGTATCAAACAATAAAAATCACTTCACGCTCTAGAAAATATTCGGTGTAATCTGCTGTTTCAAGCTATGTAATGATGAGAGATGTGTTGTTTCAGACATCTATGACACGTAACAGGAACCTGACTTTCCTCTCTGTCTGGCAGGCGGTAAGATCCGCATGCCTCCTCCTTCCCACCGCTGCATTCATTTAAGGGAAGTTATAAAAGAAAGACTTCGACAAGAGGCTCTTAATTGCAACCAGAACAAGCTTGTTTACTGCACATCATGAAGGATACTGGACTTTTTTTTCCCCAGAGCTTTAATAAAGAGCTTTATGGAGTGGGGGACTAACTTGTACACTTCTAATTGCAGAGCGGTGCATGCACTGTTGTAACTGTACTGCAGTGGAGACACTGTTGTAAGAACGCAGAATACATTTACGGCACAAATTTCAGTTTAATAGAGAAGTCGACACAATTAGCTTAAAATCATTTAGTCGCTCTTATTGAAAAAGTTTCAAATAAATGATAAAAGCAGTTATGAATTAATAGTGGAGAGGAATATTAATACAGCAGATTCAAGCAGCAGTGTCATGATATGTTCTTGTGTGTTTTGAGTCTTGAGTGTTTCCGTTTCCTATTGTTCCTGTGATCCTGTCTTGTGACTTTTCAGTTTATGTTTTATTTTTTATATCAGTTTTCAGTGTATTTTCTGTTTTATTTTGTCGTACTTTATCCTCTGTGTTTCTAGTCTTGTTTTACTTCCTCAGTTTTCCCTCCTCTGTAATTGTCTGCACCTGTGTCTCAGTGTCTCGACTGCCTCTCGTTGCTCGTTTCCCTGAGTGTATATATAGTCCCTGTCCATTTTCAAATTCGCCTACTATACTAGCAGTAGGTACTGATTTGCACAAAATATAGTATGCAGTATGCAGTAGATGAACAAATGCGAAATTGTTATCGATTGTTCAGTTTTGGGTTCTGGAATTTTTTTAGGGTTAGGTGCTTTTTTTTCATACATACACCCGCCTAACTACATAATAACGGCCGACTTGCAGTCATACTGCATACTACTATTGAACACAGTACTCAGTATGCAGTATTTCATGCATACTGCAGTCGGCAGGAGTATGCAATAGGCCAATTCAAAAACAGCCCCTGTCTTCCCCTGTTTCCTTGTTGGTTCATTGTGTCTGCATGTGTGTGTCAGATGTGTGTCAGTGTATGCTTGTCTTTCTGGTGAGTCTCCTATGTTCTTTGGATTTTGCCTCTTGTGTTTTTTTTTCTTGCCTAAGTTGGGCATTTTAAGTAAGTTTTTGCTGCTTTTCATTTTGTTCTTTTTAATAAATCCTTTTTTTTTTGTTCTGCATTTTGGGTCCTTTCCTTTTTGTTTAACTCCGGACCGTAGCAAGCAGTGATTTAATTTTAACTGGAAAGTATGTATAAAAGCAGAGTGAATCAGTGATTCTTCTGATCCCTATCATATCTCTGACTTTAGCGCCTGCCAGTGTAAATCAACACTTGTTAGTCATTGAAAGCTTGGCATTAGCCTTTAAACTCTTCTGGAGGGGGATTATTACGTACAGAATCCCCTCAAGCTCCTTTTTTCAGCACTTGTTGATCCCTCAGTCTCAGACTCCATGTTGGCTGCCAACAGTAGAGGTCATCACTCTGTTATCCCCCCACTGCAGCTGGCCTTTGAGGAATCACATTTGATGACTTTTCCAGACATCTTTACATTGCAGCCCACTGTAGCCAGACTCTGCAGACTAAACCCCAACTCACCACAAGTTTTCCCATGAGCCTCTCTGTGCACACTTCATTGCTCACAGCTGGTCTATTTTCCCAACATTTTCAAGAAACTAAATGAGTCTTTGCCAAAACGCTAATGCACAGCCAACGCCTTACGTCAGACTGATTTGTTGCTATATTCTATATTTATTTGAGCTGCTTTTCAGCTTTTCTTACCTTGTCTCCAGGATGGGGTCTCATTACAGACACACGGTCGTAGCCTTTTCTTAAAAGTACCCACAATGCATCCAGTTTGCTCTATAAAACAGAAAAGAATCCAATGTTAAATCTAAAGCAGTATGGAGTTTGTCCTTGAAACTCTAACACTTAATCAGGTTTCTGATTTCTCTCCAAATTGATAGTTTGAACATATTCCTGCGATAAATGCATTTATGTAACCATCAAATTTCTGTTTATTGCGAGCTGACTCTTCAACACCTTCAAACAGCAAATATTTGTCGGATAAGCGCAGGAAATGCAGCTGTTTTTCCTCCCAAAACTGCTGGCTGTGCAGCTCTGCTCCCTGGAGGTCAATCCTACAGGAGTCTGGTTTCTATTAGCAATCCCCCCGCTGACTGGGAAGGGTTTGGAGTGACTCCTTTAACCCCATGGTGGCCCTAGAGAAAAAGCCTGTGCGCTAGTATTCACCTAAACAATATGACACATTTTATACTTCTTTCACTGCGACACTTAAATAATGCTATTACTAACATATCCTGGGCTGGATTAATGTTCAGCAGATGTTGTACTTCATGCACAACACATGCTAACAACTGAAAAAAAGCTTTTTTTCCCAGCAGAGCTTTTAACAGCCATGACTGCTTTCATTAATTAAATGCAATCCGACCAATATTCGCTGGCTTGTCGGACAAAATCCTATAAATCTTTCGCTATCTCTGATTTCTACGTCCAACAGTTGAGATTTATGGTTTTGTGGTTGCCAGTTTTGTCAGTAATGAGACTTTCTGTGGACCGGTCCCATTTCTCATACAGTTTCCTCTTGGCTGCTATAGTCGTTGCGTACCTTGATGGGCGAGTACCACTTGCGGGGCCCGGGGGGTTTGTGCATGCCATTGTTGAGAACCCGCATGGGGGGCAGCTCGTACTCCTGCTCAGGCATCTTCACTTTGGCGTTTTTGGCCTTCTCCAGCTTTGCTCCTTCTTCGGTGGAGCCTTTCTCACCCCAGCGGACCTAAAATGAAGAGTATAGAGACGCAGACATTTATGACACTAATTCACACCTGTGTTGACTTGCCTCACTGGGACTCTGTCTGATGTGTAGTGAGGATGTAATTCAACTAAGTGTATTGTTTTGGAGGTGCAGTAAGTATCTGGTTAGGATCCCTCGGTGGAACAGGAGTTTGCATGTTTCTTGCATCCGTGGGTTTCTTCCTGTTTCCTCCTACAGTCCAAAGACATGCTTCATAGGTTAATTGGTGAGTGTAAATTGCCAGTAGGAGTGAGTGTGTCTAGTTGGTTTCCATAATCGAGTGCCCACCAGTCCAGGTCATATCCTGCCTCTTGCCCAGTGACCGGGATAAACGTCAGCCCCCTGGAGCTCCAAGTAGATGAAGCAGTATAAATAACCCGTGGATGTTTCGGTTCCTTTGAGACCGTCAGCCTTGGTGATGAACCCAAAAGAGTCACTCATACACAGTCTTATCTGGGAGTCCCTGAGCTCCATCATGCTGTAGGTTCCTCTGGATCGCTGCTGTGGACCTGCCTGCTTTCCTGCGTCTTCAACACTGTGCATCAAACTCCATCTCTCTTTTTCTACATCTCCCTCTTTCTCCTCTCTAAACCAAGTGAGGTCCCAGCAGATGACTGTAAGTCTGGTTCAGCTCGAGGTTTCTGCCTGTAAAAGGAAGTTTTTCCTCTCCATTGTAACACACCATAGACTGTATATACTATGAACAACTTGGTTCTGCCTTCTGTCAGTATACGGCTTTTCTTCATTTCCTGAAACCAACATTGCACAGCAGCGTTGTACACAAGACAGTTTAAGGAACTTGGGATAAACATAATCTCACCTCCATCCTTTTGATTCCTCCAACTCCTCTTCCTCCGTAGTAGGACGCATCTACAGTCGGCCATTTCTTCTTGGGAGTCTCAAAGTCTTCGTCATCCTTTGGGAAAATGACAGGAAACTGGTTTTATTGTGATATAAAAGTTGACTTTCAATTATTTCCCATTGGCCATGCATCATAATTAAAATAATTTTGAAAAATCCTCCAGATATGGCGGTCTATGTTAACACCCACAGTTGGAGCTACTGGGTTCAAAGCCTTCTGGTTGGTCACCAGGAAATTAAGCCGTCTGCCCTCCCCCACTAAACTCTAATTTCTCGTCTCTGTGAAGTTTGTCGAATCAGAGGAAATTATAAAGCCCACTGGCAAAACCTGTGATGTTTCAGCTCTTTAATACTCACTGTCTGGCGTGTGATCTACCAGAGGAAGCCACAATGAAGACTGAACATTATCTTTGAGGTCAATGTCAGGATGAACATACCACTTAAACTCAATATTCAGCCTAATTGGTGCAAATAAGTGCAACCTGATGTGTTTACGGTCCAAAGAAAGCTATTCTGTATTTGCACCAGGATTTCAAGGCAGTCAATAAAGAAGTTGATCAAAGTCATGTGAGATGAAGTCATTAGTCCGACAGGTTATTGTTTCATTCCTCATGACTCTCTCAAAGACCCAAAGTGGTTTTAAAAACATGAATTAAATTCAGAAAATAAAATAAAAACGGGAGATAAAAGGAGGATTTCATTGTTATTGTAGGAGGGCGTTAACTCACGTCACATTTCGTGAATTACTTAAGGCGTAAAGTCACAAATGAATGCCAGGTGGTAGTGGACGACTTAGCACGAGCATTCAAGGTCTAAAATGTCAGAGTAAACTGAATAATTATACAACTTAAACACTGGCAGCTGTCTGATTGTTCAATAACTGGCTTTATTTGGAACCATAAGAAACAAATTAAATGCAGCTCCTACCGAACTCTCCTCCTCGGGCGGTGGTGGTGGCTCGTGGATGATCTGGGAGGGAGAAAAATGTTTGCATGAGAAGAGGAGGAAGTGAGGGGGACAACAAAACTTGCAAATAAGCATCTCTAAATAGATTTGATAAATTCTGCATGTCAGTGCAATGTTTTCTCAGTGCGCAACAAGATAAAAACAAAAGCAACATGTGACTGAGGAGCTGTTTTTTCCTCTAAGTCTCTTTTTCTTCACTGGAGCGATCGATGCACTGACCTAGAAATCTGCAGTCCAGATTTTTTGGCCTGATGTTGTTGATTAGGAAAAGGGAGGAGTACTGGGCTCGTAAATGTTGCATTGTTTGCTCTGACTTTCTGTATGGAGCAATGCTTTCCATAAAATTTTATTATATTTATTCATTTTGTTTATCCGATTGTCTGATTAGTACTCTTTAGTTTCAGAGCAGTTTGTAAAGCTCCTATACATCACTATGGAACATTCTAGTCTATATACTGTAACTCCTCCTCTGAGCCGTATATCTGTCTGATCTTTGGCTGTCTGTCTGTTTTCTCTTTAGGTTTCCTGCATCAAATTTGTTGGCAAATTAAGGAATTCTGATTCAGTTTAGTCAATTTTCCTTCGTGCTTCAGCAAATTCTGGATCCCAAAATGATTCCCCATGGTAACCGAGCATCACTTTCCTAAACAGACATGCTGCACAAACTCCGATTCACAACTTAATGGGCGAGAACAGAAAAAGTAAAAGGAGAAACAGCCGTGCTGTAAAAGCTGACATCTCTCTCTCTCTCTCTTTCTCTCTTTCTCTCTTTCTGGCAGGTCCTTGTTTCCAGCGCTGGAAACATCGGATTTGGATCGTTGTTTGAAAGGAGATGGACTGATTTTGTGAAGGAGTGGCTGCTGTCAAGAGAGTTTGATGACATATAATGATGCTGGTGGTTTGACCACTATCTAAATAATGGCACTGACATGTCTCCACATCAGACTTCTGCCTAAAAGAGAAAAAAAAAGTCTTTCTCTGATGTTCTCTTATGAGTTATCTTCCCTCTAAAACCCTAAAACCAAGTAGTTCATTGGAGTTTTTGTTTCCTCACCACTGACTGGAATTTCCAAATATTCAGCCTCATTTACTGCTGGAAGAGTTTGCTAAGTCTTACCAGCAGAGCGGTATTCTCTGGAAGTGTTAGCCATCGCGACTTAAAGGTCATCTGCTTCTACTTTTTGGAAACTCAAATTATTTCAACAGCAGCATAATTACTCTGACACATGTTAACCTGGTGACCTTGACCCTCTTTTGGTTGTGGACCAAAATCAGCTGCAGGGAATCCAAAAGGCCTTTATTGACTCATGGACCCTAACGTCTCCTGGAGAATGTTGTTAAGACGCCGTATAGGGGCGCTACACGTGCCGAACAGACCTGCAGAGCACATTTCTCTCTGTCTTATTGTCCATCTGCCTCCTTGAAAAAGTGTGTCTTTAAGTGCGAGAGCCTGAAATAAAACAAAAAATAAGAAACTTTCTGTAGAGCAGCATGCTTGCCTGTTTTGATTGCATTACTCACCACAGTGCAGCAGAGAGGCCAGAACCACCAGAGCAGAGCCAAGACCAGGAGCAGCATGAGGATGAGCAGAGCGATGGCCAGGATGGTCCCATCAGACTGGAACAGAGACAGACACATCAACACAGACTGTCTCAGTGTGCAGAGCGCTGAAACGATGTAGAAACCACTTATTCAGAGCCGCTCTTTAGGTTTGATCTTCAACGGCGTCAGTGGTTAATGACTCAAAATCCCTGTTTGTTTTCATGTCGTCAGCTCTACCTGTTTTTTATTTTTGTGATTTAATGTACCATGAGAAGGGGAAAAATTGTACAATGTAGTGCTATATTTGATTATTTATTATGTTAAATTATAAAGCTATGTGATAAAGCTTAATATCAAAAACATTGTTCAGAAATAAAGCTGCTAATATCATTATTTTGCACTTCTTTTTACTCTGTCTCCACATATACAATGCATACATGTCCACATACTCTCCATATTTTCATTACATTCAGCATATTATCAAACTACATCATGTACTGGTACATAAACACCATAATTAAAAAAATCTGCATTGTTGCTTTTACACATATACTCTGTTTAAACTCTCAAAACCTTTATTTGCACCTTGAATAATCACTCATATTATACCTCAGATCATAGTTTACACTTTATAACCTGTCGCTTCTAAATAACATGCTCTGACTGCTCTGTGTAATTCTTAATCATTTCTATTTTTGCATAACAATCTTATATGAATGTTGATTTATTTTGTGAAATCTGTTTTTTTCTACTATTGTTGCTATTACTTCCTTGATTTCTTGTTTACGACAACATCTGAATTTCCCCCTTTACCTTCCTCCTGTTTTAGCTTTTACTACGCACCCACCAGGTTAAGGGTCGGTTTTGACCCGTGTCTGAAATCAGCTGCAAATGACACTAAAAACAATTCTCTATCATCCAATTTGGTTCTTATCTCTAGGCTACCCTGTTAGGCTTCATTATCCATTAAAATATTGCTTATAATAGTTTTTGTAGAGGGCCTCTGGGTCTTTCTTTGTCAGTATACCCCTCAAACAGACATCTATACTGAACTGATCTCTCATGTTTGGACATGCACAACTCTGATTATTAGATATTGATCTAACCGGGTCAACAGCGACCCTAACGCGACAAGTGCCATGATTTTAATAAGAGCATTTTATAATTTAGTCAATTTAATTATTTTTATTTTTATTTTGTTGAGATAGAAGTTCCTGACAAAGTCAAAAAGTCTTCATAAAAAAAACTTATTTAAGTGGTTCGTTTAAGCATTTTACATGTAAAACGGTTCGTTGCAGACCCTGACACAGGAGGAGGGTTAAAGATTAATTGACAGAGTTTTGCCCAAAAGTCTCCCAGGTGTAAGACAGTCAACCTGCTCTGTCCCGCTCTCATCCTCTTTGCAGGGTTTAGATGAACATGTGTTTCCCTTCTTTTTTCATGACCTATAATCAGGGTTATTATGACACACTGTACTCACACAGCTCACAGTGGTAATGGTGACCGAACTGGAGATGAAACTGAGCCCTTCGTTCATACTGACGTACAAGTTTGCTGCCCTGGAAAAAAAGGGGAAAAATATCATGGCTTTCATTTATGTGGTGTCTTATAAAACACTGTGAAAATTCACATTAGTTTGAATAAACAACAGAGCTTACATCCCCTCATCTTGGAGCACTGGTGCAGGGCAAAGGAGATATGTATCTTCCACAATCAAAGGCTTCACCACTACAAGAATGAGGGAAAGAGGGCATGAAAAAGTCAGGAAAACATTCAGTATTGCCTCTGAGAAATAATTAAGTATTAAAGAATAGTGTTTATATAAATATGTAGAACAGTCAGGGAGGATGTGTAAAGCCACATAACCACATTTAAACTCAATATGCAGTCACAGGAAAGGAGAGAACAGCTGTAAACACTTCTCAAGGAGTAAAATGACGTCACATCTTTCACTGTAACTCGATTAGCAAACTGTCTGATAGGAATATTTATTCAGAACAACTGCTTTGTTGTCTGCTGTCTCATGACATGTGTATCTCCTCTAAAAACACCGGTACAACTATTTCAACACAGCTTTTGTTTTTCAGCTGTTTTTTTTTTTTTCTTAACAGAATGATTTCCAACTAGCATCGTCGCCCAAGCCCGTGTTTATCTTGGCAGGAAGGAAGCATACCCCAGAACTGAGAGAATCAACACGAGCAGCCATATGGGTCGCGGCTGATCTTCTCGAAGAAACACCGTGCAGGCAAGAGAGGAGGGAGGAGGGGAGAAAGTGGGGAGAAATGCTGCCAAAACCAACTCGGAGCCAATATAAACTGGCCCAGATTTGGTCCTGCTCTGGATCCACCTTGCACTCAGAATGGCCTTACACAAGCAGAGCGTGACAACAAGAGCTCAAAACCTGAACGACAAATGACAGTAGAGACCCCCTGAAGAGCTGGTCCGGCCTAGGTCTGCAGATCACCACCAATAAAATCCCCTGAGAGGCGAGCGGCTGGCAAACATCCTGCGGCCATGTCGTGATGTTTTATTGCGCTGTTTACTCCCCGAGCACACGGAAAGGTCGTGTTTTACTGAGAGGGGCAGACAAGCGTCCAGAATTCACCTTCAACTAGTGGATCACTTGGATTTACAGCTGCAGATGATGGCTGATACACAATTTTAGAGATAGTCTCAAGATGATCCAAGATTATGGTAACATAGAAGTGTCTTTGAGTGATACTTGAGTCTACCAGCGAAGACAGAGACAGCAGTTTGATGGAAGAGGTAGTTTCCTTCTTTGCCAAGAGTTTTATGGGAGGATTGATATCCGCATCATGGAAATTATGAAAACACAGCCTGAAACTAACAAGCTGACTTAGCTTTCAGACTGGAAACTGCAAAGTTCAATCGTGGGATACATTACATCTTTCAAGCTTTACATCAATTGTATAAGAACATGGACGAGACAATAGTTCCAAAAAGTGAAGCCAAAAGTTTTATGGCTCCTCAGGTGACTGGCTGCTGTATCAGTCATAAAGTCTGTGTAGTCTAGTATAACAGACGGATCATGGGTCAATCTGGAAAATTAAATATGCCCTTTAAGTACTTCAATACTGAATGAAGGGGATGTGATTGATACCACTACTGGAGTAGATGGAGAAACAGCATCTATAATGATACATATGTGGAGGTTATTTACCCAAAAGTGAGTCTTGAAAACTCAGTACACCCTCTCTTGAAGGGATAAGTTAGACACCCCCTTGAGAGATGAATGTTGCCGACCGCTTGCTTCTCTAGTAACTAAGTAACAACCGCACAAAAGCAATACAGAGCGGTCAGAGCCATAAGCAAACCTCAACCAAAACGCCACTCTATAGCCACAAATAATGTTCAGAACAGCACCTAACTTCATCAACAGTACATATAGGGTCCCAGCCATAGTACTAGCTACCAAATGTCTTTTGAACTTTGCGTAATTTCTTTAGCAAAGAGACTAAACACAGCTCACCTACTCTCTTCCAGCAGCCGCTTGTTTGCAGTCCATTATGGTCTGCAGCGGGGTGACGCAGCTCAAGGAAGAACATTTATGATCATTACTTTATAATTTCCTTGAGGTAATAATCACCATATTAATTATTTTGCACTGCAGACGCGGTAGTTCTTCTGCCTTAGCGTCTCGGTCTGATTGTATTTCCATGAAGAAATGATCATAAATGTTCTTCCTTGAGCTGCGTCACCCCACCTCTGTCAATGATGGACTCGTCGAGGTCTCACTACAAAAAAGCAGTTGCTAGAAGAGAGTAGGTGAGTTGTGATTAGTGTCTTTGCAAAAGAAATTAGCCAAAGCTAAAAAGATGTTTGGTGGCTAGAACTATGGCAAGGGGGTGTCTAACTCGGTGTTATGGTGTGTTTGACCCTAAATCAATTTTACGCTGGAATATCCCTTTAAGAGCCTTACTGTGATATGATATTAGGTGGGGATGCTGGATCAGTTTCCTGCCTGACTCTCAGCAAGAAAACAGAAAAGTGTTGTCAATGTTGTTCATGGCAGCACTGTTGCAACATCTGTCATCAAAACAATAGATGGCTCAGAAAAGGGCCTGCATGCCAAACTGCAGCTGCCTGACTGTATTTGATTTTCCTGGAGACACAACTTAAACACTGATTCATCTGCTCAACATATGCTATAACATATCGCTGCTTTCCTCTGTACCACATTACTGTCTTAGTGAGAAAAGCAGAGAGCTTCAAAGGAGGCAAGTAAAGATGTATTAAGAGTGGAGAAATGGTTCCTCTTGGAGCTGATCACATATTTATCTCTAGGAAAGCCAAGGCTAGCCTTTTTTTATTTTATTTAAAGCTCACCCCCGATGTGAAGGGAATAACTTCCAGAGAAGCTGTGTGTAAACATTTAGAAAAGCAAGCGAATCTAAGAGGAGGAGTTATCGAGCAAAAAAAAGGGATTGACGTAAGAAGATAAGTTTGCTCTAATTGTTTCCATGTCTGCAGTTTGTCTGCAGGAAGTTTGGATGCTGTATCAAGCAGAGAGAGTTATGATTCTGATCAAATCTCCGCAACAGGCTGTTTTTAAGGTTATCTTTAACAGAATTAGATTTTAAAAGTGCATTTTTAAAGAGAGAGCGGGAGAGGGAGAGAAAGAGAGAGCTAATAGGTTGAACATGTGTGCTGTCTTGCATGCTGTGTTAGTATGAAACATGCAACGTGGTACCGAGACCACAGCAGACTACTTGGATAGACGCCCCCCTCCTCTCATAGGGGAGCAGACATTTTGTTTGTGTCTGGTTGCATGTGAATACCTTGCTTTGTAATTAGCACCTCCTGCAGCTACTGTGGCACGCCTGGTAGGAAGTGGTTTTAGAGGCCATTAGAGTAAGCTACCGGTGAAAGATGTGGGGAAACGGCTTGTATCCTTATGGCTGTTTTTTCCACTTCTTCCTCCTGTGTGGTACTTGCTCTCCTTTATCTCGACTTTCTGGCTCATTTCAAGGCTGTAAAATTGCCCAATATGTTGATGTGATACCAGTAACATCAGCAGGGCTGCTGGCTGACTGCTTGACTTTTGGGAAGCTCAGTTAGGTGTAATTTAGAGGGATTTACACTCCACCCATAAACTCTTCTGCTTATCTTATCTTATCTGCTTGTACTGTTATCAGCTTTGATGCTTGGAGTCAGTTTGAACTCAGCTAAAGTGCTCATCTGATAAACACCAAGTATGAGGTGAATCAGAGCAAGGAGAAGAAGAAGTTTCTTGGCATCTCACTCACTTTTTGTCAGGGTGTCATTAATTCGGAAGCTGCAAAGGACCTTATCCACATTACGTGCATGGAGAAAGCCATTTCCTCTCACCACAACTTGGAAGGACTCTGAGGAAAGAAAAGTGTACAAGTGTCACCTCGACAAAAACGGTTATCAAAAGTTTGGTTTGTGGTAAAGTTTTAAACTCACAAGTATATCTGTATTTCATCAGGTGAAGTTAAAGATACAACAGAATAAGACATTAACAATGACATTTTGAGCAATGATAATAATAATTGTTAAGACCTCTCCTGTCCAGTCTTACACCCTGAAATATTGAGGTTTTTGTGTGCCAAAGTGTTATGCCACTATTAAAAGAGGTTAGTTCCAGGTCCTCTCATATTAACTATTGATTGAGAAAGCATTTTTCACTAATAACTAACCATAATATCAATATATTTAAGTAAAAGACACTAACTCTGTCTTCTTCTGTCTTTGCTGGACTCACTTTTGAGTATCTGCATTTTCATTTTTGTCTCTTAAAAATCCATTTGTCAGACTTAAGCTTGTACTTAACATCAGCAAACATGTGGCATTAAAGAGATCAACCCTTTAATCTGGAATTAGTTAAGGTTTGGTTTACTAAAAAAGCTTCAACAGAGAAGCACTACAATCTAGTTTTCCTCCTAATACAGACTGATAAATGAGAGCAGGAGGCTGGTCTTTATTGTCGTACCTCCTGCACAGATACTAGAGGGCTCCGCCGCCAGGATCTCGATGCACGACTTCTTAAGGATCTAAGGAGACAGGAAACACAGAAGCTGTCGTAAGAGAAAAGATCTCAGATATTTGAGTATTCTTTATCATTACTTCATGGGGATGATTTCTCTGTACTACTTTTAGCTCATGGCTTATCTCTGTTCTGATTAAACTGAACGACTGGTTGACATTTGTCTCGGCAGTCAGTCGGCATGAAGTTCCTATTTATGTCCATTTCTGTTCCGCAGATGTATCTGTTCCTGCTGAACTCCGGGAAGATACCATTGGTTATCCTGAAGACAGACATGACTGATTCATGACCTACTGCCCCACTCAAACCAATATAAAGCGACAGTGTTTTAGTTTGCTGTTAATCTGCTCCAGATGGCAGACGTCTGTGAGATCTTAAACTCGGCTTAATAAAAGTCATGTCCTTGTGACAACAGCCCCTCCATGACAAAGTGTTTTTCACTTCTCAAGTACAACCATTTCACTCTGATCACATTTAGATATCTGTCAGTCAGATGAACAATCGCAGGAAAGACAGATTTTCCTCTGGACTTACTCAGCATTGTCCAGGATCTATAGGCATCATAACTTAGGGTGCTTTGTCCTGCATCCCGTGTCCCGTTTGATCGGTGCAATAGCAGGTTAGAGGTATAGAGTGTGTCTGTGCTGCTACACCTTTATCATGAGTGCTGATTGAATGTGAACTGAAACCCTTACCGAGTCGATGACCCCTTGCAAGGCCTCGAATCCATCGTTGACGGGGAAGACGTGATCCTTACTGTCAGCAATCTTCGCGAGCTGAAGGGGAGAAACATTTAGTGGAAGTTATAAAGCTACTTGCCATAGTTTTATGCTGTTAGTTTTATGTTAGTTGAAACTTTGCATGAACATTCATAGTCAATTCTGCCACATTTGTGAGACATCAATATTCAGACTCAGACAGACTTTGAAAAAGAAACACACCTGCGTCTCATTGAAGTCCTTCACCCCCACGCAGTAAACAGAGGCACCCAGACTTCGCGAGCGATTGGCCTGTCAGGTATGTGCACAGATGCACAGCAAAAACAGGAAGACGCTCAGCACCTGGGTTCAATTAGACTCTGCATTTCATAACATCGTACAAAACAAAAACACAAATGATTTGTGTTCGCCCAGCCTGTGCGAGACTTTAACAAGAAATTGGGCAACACCATGTTCCTTGTGGGACAATTATTTAGACCTCATAAAATAAAAGAAACAGAGATGTCGTAGAGATGACTGAACGCCAATCTGATCACACGAGACAGATACTTCGACTCTCAGGGGTAATATCTGCAGATCTCAGAGTTGAATGAAAACCTAAGACCTCCAACAGCTGTCAAGAGGAACAGTTCCAGCTACTGGGAGGGTCAGCCTCCTCATACATGCTGTCAACATGTGTCTAAGTGCATTCAAAGCTAATCGAAGCCTCAGGCTTTTGCATGCTTTCACCTGTACAGTCTGAATGGTAGAATAAATCTAAAAATCTTGGTGCAGATGTGAGGAAGAGGAGGAGGAGGACTGGGGTCGGATGTTTAAATCTGACTGACTCTCTGACCCACTTTTTCCTAGCTATAGGAGGAGGATCAAAGCGCAGATGTATAGGCTGGTCGGTGTTTGATGTGGTCCATCACGTGCTGACTCATACGCTTCACCTGGTTATCATTTGTGTGACCCATTTAACCTCTTTTTTTTCATGTTTCTCACCTCTCTCTCAGCGTAGTAGAAGAGATCTTCATGAAGCTCTCCATCTGTGAGCGCGATGATCACGCTGGCGGTGCGATAATCTGTGGACAGGAAGGAATCGGTCACTCTATCTGCAATTTAACTCATCTCTCATTTTATCCTTCATTAAAAATAATCATATAAATGAGTATTCATACTTAGCCAATGTACAAGGTTTATTGGTATTGCAGTGTATTTAATCATACTGATATAGTTTGATAGTTACAGTACATGGTAGTTTTCTATCAGCGCCCTGAACTGAAACTGTTACTTTGAAAGCTCCCCCTGGTGGCTGGCTACAGTAAACGCCTTAAACTCCACCTCCTCCAGCAAAGACAGGTGGATTATGGGTCAAACTAGACCCATTAAAATCAAAGTCATATAATTTTTCCTTAAATATGCTCAAGCTTCATTCATGCACACCTTGGCTCTAAATTATGTCACTAGCGTAATACGTCACCTCATGTTTAAATAGCTAACAGTAAGTTTTAACACTTTTATGATTTAGTAAGCGGCTTGATGCTGATGTGAGCTATTGTCAGTCTGCAGTAAAGTTGTTGTGTTTGTTCTCAAAGTATCAGCAGATTCATTTACAGATTTTCACTCCATGTTTCTTCAGCCGCAGTGATAGTCCTATTATTAAAAAACATCTATATCGCATGTTTTTTCTTTTGCCCTATTTTGTCTAGAGCAAAGAAAGGACAACAAACCTTCGGTGTTTCCGTAGTATATCTGCTCGCTAGCCTGAGAAGAAAAAGAAAAAAAGAAAAGCTGGTTTGAAACAGTAGAGGATCGATCTGGCAGTGTGAATAAAGTCACTTTACTCTTCTTTAAAACCATATTTATTTAACTCTCTGTAATTGTCCTGGAGCCAGAGCAGACATGAAGCAGATGCTCACCCTCAGGATACCCTCGTGCATGAAGGTGTCTCCTCCAGGAAGAACCCCGTGCAACTCCTCCAGACCTTTACGAATGCGCTCCCTGAGTCAGACATACACATGATGAGATAATCCAGATTTTTGATAATCTCATTTTGTTCTCAAATATTTGTTTTGTCAGACTCATTTGTGAACATACTTTTGACCAAAGCCAGACACTTCAAGGCGTGGTAACCGTAATAGTTCCCATAAGGGCGGCATTTGTAGAAAATACCAGCAATGTGCAACAGATGAGTGAATTGAAACAGTAATGGTGTATGTTGGCTTGAGAAACTGTAACACAGATATGCAGGAAATGGGCTCTTTGTAGAATAAGATACAAGGAAGCAGTGAAACTGTGAAAATATTTTGTGGCTCTTGAGAAACTCGTCTGTAGAAAGACAAGACACACAAGCTGCCCACAAAGTGTCAGAAAGCACACACTGAAGTATTTGTCCAGACTGACGACAGTACAGACGGATCACAGAGAGGGAAAGTATCAGTCTGGAAGCTCTTTATGGTCATAAAATCATAACTCTGTGTGACCTGAGTCCAAATCTGGTATTGCATTCATTCCTTTCAGCTGCGTGAGAGAAAAGCAGAGGATTATTCGTGTTTTTTTAAGGGGATCTGCACCCACCTGTCCTCTGTCAGGCTCATTAGGATCCTTCCCTCTGTGGAAAACACAATGAAGGACATCCGCAACTGTGGACTAAATCGAGAAAACCACAACATTACTCTCTGATGGATCATTCTCTTTTACAGCTTTTCCCACAGTGACTTCAAGACACTTTATTTACCTTATGAATTTATGAGCTAGATGCTCGACAAAGCGATAGATTTCAGTCCAGTGATTCTGCACACTCCCAGATCTACGAGGAGAAATCAAGACACAGATTAGTGCACAAAGAAAGACTTTTGAAAAGTCTGAAACACATTAACCAAAAACTGTGCTCCTGTTTCATGGCGTCAAATTGAGAGTATTTGACCACCAGTCTTACATAAGAGCAGGAACAGCGAGCTAAAAGAGAGCCAGAACAACTTTGAGTGACACGTATCTCTTTCATAATTTTTGTCTCCTTGTGGTTATTTCTTGTTTCCTTAGTGGCTCTGCAATCTTTTGAGTCAGTTTGTGTTCTTTTGCGAACTTTTGTCTCTTTTCTTGCACTTCTTCTGCTTTTTTATATGCTCTTTCATACGTTTATTGTACTTTTTTGAGTCTATCTGTTGAGGTTTTAACCATCTTACGTGTCACTTTGTAGCTGTTAAGAACATCTCTGTAGCTGTTTGTCAGCTTCTAGTCCCTTTGCAGTAGTTTCATGTCTGAAATAATCACTGAGGATTGTGTTGCATTAGTTTTCTGGCCCCCATTGGGATCTGTGCCTGTGCACAATTTGTCAGTGAATCACTCATGGAGTGAACTTTTAAAGGAAGAAAAGCCTGCAGGGTGGTTTTGCCTGAGTGTGGAGTCTGGGTGGTGCAGCTCATTTACCATGAGGGGTAGAAATGATGTTTTTCTCCTTAGATTACAGTTAACATCTTTATGAGACATCTGTAATTACTGTATATACATGGTTTTGGAGTCTACCTCTATCCAGATCTTTGATTATCTTCATGTCAGTGTGGATGTTTAAGTCTATTCAACCTTGCTATTCAACCTATATGTTTTTATTGGATAAATGGCGACCAAAATGACGAAGGATTAACCATTTGCAGGAAAGAAGCTCCTCAGTAGAGCCGTCACATTTAATTATGTCATCATCTTTAGATAAACAGTCGCATTTAAGTAAAATAAGGAACGATTTTGGAGCTTGAATGTATCATTACCGATGTTCGTCACAACTCTTTTATCCAAACTTTGTTTTTATTGCTCTGGGCCTCCCCAGACATTTCTCTAAACACCTATTTTTCCAGTGTTACCATGACAAAAGTCCCACCACAAACAGCTCAGCCAACAGGCTAAAACACGAGAACATCTGGAGGTAATGAGCGGAGGGCAGTGAATACACAGAGAAGAGAAATCAAGCAGACAGTAAGAGGACAGAGAGGGCAGGTGGGGGACATCCCTGCTAAAGGCAGCAGAGAGAGCTAGGATCACACACAGAGGGAATAACTGGAGTAACAGATCATTCAATGCGCGAGGTCTGACAACAAATGCTGTACATGCGTAATAAAAATCTGCGATGTTAAAACACAACTCACACTAACATTTATCCTCTATTACACCCCATTTCCTAATTTCCTCCCAGAGAGACAGCAGTGTGCCTGACTTTGGCACCGACATTTACAGTATGACAACTGGAAAATCCATCAGCAGCTCTGGAGGGAGAGCACCCGATCATGATTTACCCATCCAGTTCTCAGGGTAAGAAAAATGCTGAAAGGAATGAGTTGAATGATGGATTTCTTGTTGACCTAGTTGGCAGACACATCTGCTCGTGGTAGAAAAAAAAAAGTGGTTTGGAGCCAGGTTTGCAGAGCAGAAATGTCATGAGCTAAGTATTCGTTACAGTCCAAGGGAAACAGCCTGGCTAAGTTCATCGTCAGTGCCAGAGGAGGAGAGTTATCTGTGGTAGAAACTGCTCTCCGTATGAGTTTAGGTTTAGGAAATTCAGGTGAACACTGCTTGTGTGACACTGACATTTCCGAGAACATGAATGAGGAGTAGGAATCAGGAAATCAAAACTCAAAATGCATCCAGGAATCTCTCAAGATAATTGTAAAAACGCCAAGAGATTAAAAGAACTGTATCCTGACCCGTTAATCTGTTACATGTAAAAGCAAATAAAGGGTCAAAGTTGGAGATTAGAGGAGACGCCTGTGTTGCATGTCTGACAGGAAACCCAGAGATCAACAAAACCAGGTTAGATAAACACAGAAACTCTCTTCAAACCAAGACCAGTGAATCCACATGACTGTGCAGGGATGCCAAACATCCTGTTTCCTACTTCAGGATGCAAATCACTGATGCACCTACAAGCAATTCTGCCCACATGGTGTAAATCATGTAAATGAGGATGAACTCTAAACACGACAACCAGTCTGCTGCAGCCGCCGGCTTACTGAAGAACGAGAAAACACCAACACATTGCTTACTATGACTAACTAGGGATAAATGCAAAGATGATGATGATGCTTCATCAGCCAGTCTATCCACCTTTCTGCATGAGGATGTGATGATGACAGAGATAGTGACAACATCAAGTTGACATTTTGGCAGACAATGATGGAGAAGCATGAGAACAACATCAATTTTTGTGTAGGGAAAAATATCAAGAGGGGGATTCACGTAGAGATAAATGAAATATATTCTTCAACATAAAGAGTTTTAGTGAGTCAACAGGCAATAATATAAACAGTTCCCTTTAAATGTGTCAGATGATGTGTGTCAGGTCACTAACTTGTCTAAAACAAAGTAGAGATCAAAGCCTCCGAAGCATGAGGGAGACCCAGCCTGCCTCCTGTCCTGGTTTGGTCCAGCATTTCCAGCAGTCAGAACAACCAGTGCAGCACCGAATACCACTGGAAACCAGGAGCCTCTGCAGCACAAAGGCATTATTCCAGCAGGAGAAGCTCTGATACAGATGAGATGATGACACAACCAACTTCAATGCAGAAAAAAAAAGTTGACAAAAAAGAAGAAAAATGTTGCACGGTAAATCCACTTTGCAGTTCTTCTTTCAGTTCTCCTCTGGCGTCTTCACCATCGAAGAAAAGCAATAATCCAAAGGAGAGCAGAAAGAGTAACAGAGGTGGAAGAGAGAGAGCATGAGTGTTGTTGGGACCCTCTCATCATCACTGGCTTCGACACAGCATGCACACAGATGAGAGGAGCTCTACAGCCTCCCACTGCTCTCTGTTCATGACAAGATGCATGCAACACAGAGATCATCAGACCCTGAATGTCTTTGCAAAACTCTTGTTTTTAACCCTCTCTCTCTCTCCCCCCCTCTTTCACTCCTCTTCTCTCTCTTTAAAAAGAAGAGAGCAGTGAGAAGTGTGGAGCTGTAACACTCAGGTCTACTATCTTCTCCTGCCACCTAGTGGTAATAGCAGTGGCTGCTATTGCACCAGTATAGAGCATTATAAAGACGAACTCAGTGACCCTGAAATTGTGTCAACACAGGCTTGACTAATCTTTGATTTAGGTGTATGTGTTGTTTGTTACTGATCACCGGTGAGTATACAGATATGGGAAACACAATGTTGAGAGATCAACATGGCCTAGTTGTGGCCTAGTGAGGCGGACAATGTTAGCTGTCATTGGGCAGTAATGTATGGTGACAAATCAATTTATGTTTACGTTATCACTGCAATCCCAATATAAATGGTAGATCTCCAAATAATAAAACATCTCTGTTAAGTTCCCATTAGCAAGTTGCCCCCTTCTTTAATTATAGTGAAATGGTGTCTTTTATAAGCTGACAATGACACTTAGAGTCTGCCATCTATCAATCAGCTGACTGTTAGGGTCCACGGAGAGGCCAGTGCAGCCTCAAACGGACCCCACAGCCAACTCACAGGAACACAAAGAATATAACTTATTTTGAATGGATTCACCCTTTAATCTGAGTTATTTGTCTTGATTTTTGAAGACAATATTTTGTCTTCAGGAAGTCTCATATTTCATTGAAATCCCCAACTTGCTCTTGACCTGGCTGAGACCATGGACTGTAAAAAGAATGGACGCCGTCTGCCTCCTCTCTGGGTAAATCCACTCCAAGAACAGCACCCTCTGGTGACAGGCTGCAGTATAGGTCATAAATCCAGCCTCCGCTGTGGACAAACTTTGGAAATCGATGACACAGAACATAAAATTTTCTATATAGGGCACTGGAATTGACCACTGAGGCTGCGTCCGAAATGGATCCCTAATTCCCATGGGGGTTAGCGCCATTTTGAAGGGTGTCCGAAATCTCAGTAATCAATTCCAGTGCCCTGTGTAGGCAACTCAAAATTTCCCATAATGCATTGCAAAATGTTGTGACCATCCGATGGTCACTCACCGGTGGTGGGCATCCCGTCATGCCATGTAGTGTCCGAAATCTCCGGTAATTGAGTTCAATACATAGTCAACTCTAAAGTGAGATCCCATATGGGGGTAAGGGGTTGAGTGATTTATTTCAGACACAGCCTGAGGTTTCGGACACCGTCTATAATATATACAGTCTATGGCTGTGACGTTTCAGAAATATCCTAATCTGAAGGACATTTTTCAAAAGTTACCTGTGAGGTCGGCTAAAACGTCGAGATAAAGAAATAATTAGTCGTTATCACAAGATAACAGTGCATAAAAAAGAAAAATCCAGGGCCATTCTCGGCTTCTGTAGAAAGTCCATTGTCCTTGCTCATTTAAAGATTCAAGGGTTGGCTACAGGTAGGGCACAGCTCAGGTGTGTTTCTGTCTGATATGTGTAGACAGCTTTTTCATTGTCTTACATCATGATTCAAACGTGACAGCTCGTTTCCCTCCACTGTCAAAGCGGATGCTGCTTTGGCCACTCCCTGAAATCAGGGCTGGTTCCTGGTTGGGCGCCTGCGCAGTAAGGTTACTTCTCTGTATTGTTTTTGTCGCTGAGTAGGTGCTTAGAAGTGTTTTCTCATGTACACTAACGTGAACCTTATGGTCTGTTTTACTGCAGGGGAATTTTGGCGTTTCAAAAAGTAGACTTTTTCCGGCCGAACTGCTTTTATTTGGACTTTTACGGACAGCTCGACGATGTTCCAGTCGACGATAAAAAACTTCAGCATCCAGTTCAACCCTTTAAATGAGAGGAACACGGTTTCAGGTGGTGACCTGGTGACAGGGCACATCTCTTTCGAGCTCACAAAGCAGACGAAAATCACCTCGATTACGATGGCCATGAAAGGAAAGGCGAATGTCCACTGGACGAGGGGTGGAGGAGGTAAAAATAAGTCTAGGCGACACTACTCAGCCAGACTGGACTTCTTCAACCTCAAAAGCGCCATCCTGCAGGAAAACAGTAGTATGTCAGCCTCTTCTCCATGTAAATGAATGCAACTTTTTCAAAAGCTTATGTTGTTGTTTTCAGACAATGCAACAATCCGTTCTTTTCTCTTGTAGTTTCTGGAGAGGGGACAAAACTAGAGCCAGGCACCCATATGTATCCATTTTCATGCCAGCTTCCACATGGGTATGTGAGGAAAATCTGTGCTCACATTGCACTAAGTTAGACGTACTGATTAATTGGAAAGTATTTGGCAATATAATAAAGCTAAGGCATCTTTTTAAGGCTAAACTCATTTTGCATTAGTTATGTTCATCTGGACCATGTTATCTCAGTCTTTGGATGTTTCATGTCACTTCTTCCCAATAACTTGGCTTCTCAAAACTGTATTTCAATTTCTGATCTTACCCCACTCTCCCCTATACTGTTGTTTTGCATCAATGCAGAGACTTCCCGCCCAGCTTTAAAGGACCTTGTGGACAAATCACATACGCTTTGACAGTAGGCATCAACAGGCCCTGGCACATGTCCAAGGACTTTATTGCAGAGCTGAACTTTGTAAATCGCATTGATACCAGTCAGCCAGAGCTGTGGGTAAGTGTTTCTGTGCAGTAATTTGAACCCAGTAAGTCAATCCTTCATGTGAGACTAATTTAAGTCCTCCGCTCACTCATCTTTCTGTCACTGCAGGCTCCTCTCTCAGGATCCAACAGCAAGACCATATGCTGCCTTTGTTGTGCCTCTGGTCCCATCACTATGACTGTCAGTACAGAGAGGAAAGCCTTCATCCCTGGTACTGTACTTATCTGTTACGAAAGGGGCACATAGACTCACTGTTGTATTTTTCCAGGTTGATAAATGTCATCGTCTGATAATGCAACCAGTTTGCGGAGTTTCAGGATTTTGCAGTAGGCCCAAACATACTGATATATTTACAGGCTAAACTTTACTGTTTAATTTAAAACTTTGCACCAAAGTTGTCTGACAAAAATAAACTAGCTGTTTTTATTACTAAAGCCACTGTAAGGAGTTTTTAACTTTTAAAAGTGATGTTTAAACATAGCGAAGATTCACAGTGAGTGATACGATTAACTCTCAGAGAGACAGCAGGATTAGATTTTTTTCTTTTTAAGGAAGTACTTCCTAAACATGTCAAGGACAAAATCAATAGGGGGATAAAAGGCACCCTTTATCACACACTTTTCCAGGAGCTTTAAAGGAAAGAGAGTTACACTGAGTTAATCAGTTTAATGTTAATAACATGTCCACCCAAAGCTCTTCTTAAGGCATTCGATTTATGTTTTTATTTTTGGATAAAAACAAAGACTATTCAGGGGTCTGCTCCTCTGAAAAACCCTTAACAATGTGGTTGTGCTCTTTATCTATCTGCTACTAACATCTATATAATAGATGTATCTTTTAACCACCACTTTTATACTCTTTTGGTTCCACTTCTTTCCTCACAGAAAATGCATCCTTCTTTAGCAGAGGGCATTCACTCTCTTTTCCTTCAGCTTGAACAGTTCTTTGTTGTAGGAAGTAGGTGTGTACTCCCTTGTGTGTTTCTATTGAAAGCAGGGAACTGCAGACTAAATGCTGTTGCTGCTTTTTCTGCGAGACAGACTGTACAATCAGTCCATAAAAATCTTCCCATTTCCTCTTCTTTATCAACATGAGGTTCCTGCAGCACTCGGCCAAGACTGTGTTATTGCCCAGCTCTCCATAAATCCAATTATTTGTTGCCTGTGATACAAAAAGTAATTATGCTGGAGATGTAGGACTTAGGATCAGAAAGCCGCACCCAAACTCTGTCTGTTCTTTTTTCAGGGGAAGTTGTGAAAGTAATCGGCGATTTCAGCAACGCTTCGTCAAGAACGGTAACTCCGAAGGTCAAGTTGCTTCAGAAACAGGCTTACTACACCCACAACAGAGTCAGCTCAATGGTAGCAGACAAGTGGCTGGTGCACATAACTGGACATCCAATCAATGCTTTCACATCTGATGTGCACAATGAGATCATGCTGACTATCCCGCCGTTTGCATCACCCTCAATCCTCAACTGCAGTATCTTGGAGGTCCAATACTTCATCCAGGTCAGCACCTTAATCGAAAATCATATTTTGTATCCGTTATTAGTGTCAGTGGATAAAAACTGGACTATTCTTCGACACAGTCTTATGATGGATTTGAAATGCCTATCTCTGTTTCTGTGTTTCTTATAGGTGAGCCTCTGCGCAAGTTTTTCCTCCGACCTCACTGTGCTGATTCCTATCATCCTGTGTAAGTCTTTAACATACACTCAGCCTCCACCTTATTTGTGAGTCAATGTGTAAATATCTCATATTGTTTTATGTGTATGTTATTTTGCATGATCAAGCTTTTTATTTTTCTCTTTGACATTATCATCAGTCTGACTCATTGTTGGAAGAGAGCGGTTATAGAGGGATAACCACTGCCGCAAAGCATATTTACAACTTAATACGTAAATTTATCATATCTGTTTGTCTATTAAAATGTTTTTCTCTGTTGTTCATTATGGCAACTCTAGCTGCTGAGCCCAGTGAGCATTTTCCTTTAAAAAGACATTGAAAGGATGGTTCAAAGTGAAATTTTCTCTTTTTTATTTGAATGTCTGTTTGTAGATGTTGCACTAGTATTTGCATATGAACCTCTTATTACTGGAAAATCTGCTTCTGTCCCCCTTATTCAACTCACATTCACATACTGTGATTTTCACTCTGTTTCTCTGAGTTTTAGTGGCTAAAATGATCGTGAGAGCGAACGAGGTATCAGAGTCACTATGAAAACCTTGTTAGCATGACTTGGAATCAGACATGTGACACTTGTGTGCGAGTCCAACTATCATCTCTAAGTGGCTAAGATCTGTGTAAGTAATGCATTTAAGAAATCAACAAACTAAGGGGTGTTTTTGCATTCACAGTCAGACCTTTATAGCTTTAGTGCCTTTGAATGCAGTCATCATTTTCCCCTAACTAAGATGTTTTTAACTACTTCTTTGTTAGAATTATGTCTATGCATACACAGGCTTTTAACTAGTGCAGAAAAATGACCTGATTTCAGCCTGTTTTCAACCACAATGTAATGCTGAAATCCTTGTTGGTGCTCACTGAGTGCAGTCTGTGTCACTGCGCTTTATTGTCTGCTACTTCAGTATGTTGGGGTTTATGCTATGGGCCTTTACTCCCCGTTATTAAATTGTCCTCTTGATAGTGTTCATGTCAGTACTTGCACTCAAACTGCCTTTTCAGAAATCCGTTGGTATGTTTTCAGGGAACTCTTTAAACTTCTAATGGATTTAAGGTGTTTTTGCAAAAACTGGATTTATGGGACCTACTAAAATATTTCCAAACTTTGATGAGATGATATTCTGTTACTGGATATCATTATGTTACAAACGGTTTTGCCAAAGTTTAACACTCTGTGGTGTTTTTGTTTTAAAAACAGACTGTCTCTTTGGTTGGAGAAATAATCTAATATCTTTGTATACTGCCATTTCAGTTGAATGTTTTTATCAAGAAGCCATACTCTATATGTGTGTGTGTTGATGTGTGATTGCAGTTGCAGAATTGCAGAGCTAAAGAGCTGTCTTATTAATCCAGGAGGAGATATTAACAAATATTGTTGTTCTATATGAATGTATAAAGAAATGATATGGGATGATTTATACATATATGTATGTATCGCATGTTTTTACTTTTTTCAGTCTTAATTTCTGTAATGTATTTAAACACATGTGTTTTATAAACCTGTGTAAACTGTGTAGGAAATCTGTTACTCTGTCATATGACTATTTAACATGTCAGAGGAAGACTGACTTCAGTATCTGTTAAAGCATTTCAGTTTGTGATAAGTGCCTTTAAGGAAACTTTGATTTAGTTGAGTTAACACCATAGCTTGAGAAATACGTGTTGGTGTCTGAGGTGCTAAATATTAAGTTTTAGTTCTTTTTTGACATGTGGAGTCATTTTTTTTCTCTGTTTGAATGGAAGAACTCTTACCATTTTATTTTCTTGGGACCTTGGGACAACTCTTACTCTTACCAAGCAGCACTGCTCATTATATTTCTTTTTAAAAGTTTAAATACACTCTTCACTGTAAATTTTTGTATTATTACATTATTTAAAAGTCTAATACCAGCTTTCTTTTGAGTTTGAATTAGATTTATATTGTGTTTATACTGAATATGTTATAAGAAGTATTATATAACTTGAGTCATTCACTGTGAACTCCAGCCTTCATAGACGTGTCTATTGATTGTATGGGTTAACTTTGACTATGCAGGATCTGGGTGGAGTTAAATTGATTGGTATATACATGTAATCCATCATGTAAAACAAACGTTTCTTCTTGTAAAACAGTGCCTCTCAGCTGCAAACAGGATGCATGAATTATTAATCTCAGGGGGCAGCAGCACTAAGTATCACAGTGCACGGAGCAGTCTGCCTTTGGCATGTCTGTAGTCTTTGCTTGTTTTGGTACTATTCTCGCTCAGTTTAGCATCTTTTTAACTTTTTGCTCAATAAAATTGTTCAAAAACAGCTGAAGTGTCACTTTGGGCATGATTTGTGTTTTACAGATTGTACCAGTGATCTCTCTTGATACCCTGTTTAGACAGGATGCTCCCATGTAAAGTCTGATGACACCAGCCCATTAACTTAAATAACCTGTTGTAAATAGGTGACATACTTAAATGTGGTTTTATACAAGAGGCTCACTTTTATGCCGTTTATGTATATCAATTTTCCATGATCATTCATGTCCTCACCTTTGGATTCACCCACACACGCAAGTGTGTTGATGCACTTTTTCCATGTGCTCATTTGTATCCCAAGGAACAGCTAAGAGTCACATGAGCACCATTAATGACGCAATTGGCAGGTGATAGATGAGCCCAGGATTGTTGTCACTCAGCGTTGACTCTCAGTCTGAATAAGTATTAAAGTGTTTGTCATGTTAATTCTGAATTTAATTAGAAAAGAAACTTAATAATCTATTCAAATAATCGTTCAGTTCTGTGGTGGACATTAACTTGTCCAAGTTTAACAAGTGGTTTATGCCTCTGTTGTGGTTTAATAATTACCTAAAACGAAGTGTTTATCTGTATGAGCCACACCTCACCATCTATAAAACTTCTGTCTTGTCCTAGCTGGCCCTTACCTGTGGTGGTCACACGGTTCGTCATGTCAAGTGATATCCAGATTTCCGTGGAATATAATCCCATAAACAAAAAAGATATTTTCACCGCTGGAGATTATATCAGTGGGAAAATCAAATTAGAATTGGCAAAAGTGTGCCAAATAGAGAAGCTGATTGTAAAGCTGAAAGGAAAAGCAGAAGTCAGATGGACAGAGCATTACGGGAGAACGGTAGTAGTCTACCATAAGAAAGAAAAATACTTCAGTATCCGGAGTGACGTAATCCAGACAAGCCACGGTAAGTGACCTGCTTCTTTAAAACATTGAAAACAAGCTGCTCTCACCATATTAATCCTGTTTATAAGGCGTCAAAGTGAGATGTGTCTTTTTCTTTTGATTTAAAGTTTTCTCTTTACCCTGTTCTCCTGTGCTGTCCCCTGTTATCTCTGTCAGATTAAATCCTTATGTATATACTGTAGATATTCATATGTTTGTTTTGTAGTTCAAATGTACAGGAAGGTGAGATCTGTCCAATCATGGATCAAGATAGAAAACAAGTACAGTTATCTGCTTTTAACAGAAGCATAGTCTAACATTAAACCTTTTTTATGATAACAGTTTGATCTCTGGTTTTCTACGGCTTTCTTCTTACTGACTGTTGTGTAGAGCATTTAAGCACTTCAACCTTTCCTAATACATGTTAACTTTATTTATCTGGTCTGATAAACTGACCTCTCAAACTGTAAATGAAGCCTCATTATGTAACTTTATTGCCTTTCAGGTCAAAACAATATTGGGCCGGGCAGCCATGAATATCCATTCACCTTTCAGATCCCTGCAGGGTGAGTTTTCTTTGAAAGAAATTTTGAAAAGCACGAGCAAACTTGTGTTTTTACATTGTTTGATATATGAAAAGATTTTTTTTTCAATCTTGATCTACATGTGAAATGAACCGTGTAGGATGCTTATTCTGGATACTGTGTGAGTATGAACATCTGACAGATATATTGCTATTGTCATAAACTGTGTTGGCATGTCTTACAGAGACCTGCCGTCCTCCTTCAAAGGCTCCCATGGAAAGATCAAGTACACTTTGGAGGCAGTCCTGAGCAGGTCCATGAGAAGAGACAGCAAAGCAAAGACCGAGTTCACCCTCATCAACTGGAACCTTAGCAGGGATGCAATCGTGATGGTACTCACAAAACACACACACCGAATATGCCTGTTGTATGACTAAGACACCGCTGCAGAAATGAAAATAATAACTTTCTCTCTAAATGATCTGTCATTATCCTGCCAGGCTCCACAGAATCAGGGCATTGATAAGAAAATGAAGCTTTTCACATCAGGAGAAGTGGGGATGGATGTTAAAATTGCACGGACTGGATATCAACAAGGTAGTTTTAACCATGTGTGACTAAAAATCACACATTCCCTTTGCAGGCTGCTTTAATAGTGGGCTGCACTACAAGATAAACTCTTATGTGTAGGTCAAAGTCTGTTTGATAATGGACCTTTTAAGGCCCTAAAGATAAGAATACAGCAAAGGTGACGAGGAAATCCTAATAGGTTGTCTCAGCGGATAGGATTATTTCAAAACAGACTTAAATTGCGCCAAACCATCAATTGAGAAGTTAGAAAGCAAATCATTTTTCCTTTCATGGTTCAGGCTCTATGCACCTTTGATGGCTTAAGTTTGTGAAGTGAGATGCATTAAGACAAGATTTACAAAGAATGCTAAAAAGAGTACCTGAAATTGTTTGCAGCATAAGTTTTGTGCTATATCTTGTCTAACCAGTAAGTTTCTTTGTGAAAAGTGCGACATTTGTGGCTTTTTTTATTTAGGACAGCTATTGAGAAACAGGAAATGTGGGGAGCAGAGAGTGCTGGGAGCGCTCCAACCTGTAAATTTCTATTGTTATGTACATCCTAAAATTGCAAATGTAGGTGCCACCGAGAGAGGGTGATTAAAGTGTGTTTTGAACTGACATCTATTGTGTATTCATTCTGCTCTGTTGTTCAGGGGAGGGCATACAGGTTGTGGCTGCCATCCAGAACAGATCATCTCGTGAAATCAGGCCAAAGTTCTGTTTGTACAAAAAGTACAGTTACTTTGCACAGAAGAAAAGGAAACTGGAAACCAAAGACATCCTTAAGGAGGTGGGTGAGCCTATCCCACCTTCTTCAAGTCAGACTGTCACCAGGACCATCACCATCCCAGCAGACACATGTGTGTCCATCTTGAACTGCCAAGTCGTCAGAGCAGAGTACAGGCTCAGGGTGTGTATCCCTCCATCTTCACTATGTATTTGTTTGCATTTAAAGGCTGCATGATGGTTTTAATGAATGTTGTATTTCCCTTCAACAGGTCTATCTGGATGTTAAGTACGCATCAGACCCACAGATCAAGTTCCCCATAATCATCCTTCCTGCTGTGACAGAAACTGAAGAGGAACAGCAGCCTGCCTACGGATTTGGCGCATTTGCAAACTCAGACATGTTTGGAGGACCCAGCTTCTTTTCTAACCCATCAAATACCGGTCCTTCTGCTCCACCTCCACCATATGGGGCTCATCATGTGTACCCCTCTTTGGCTAGTTTTGATGGAAAATCTCAGAGCCTGTTTAAAACCTCTGTATGACATGACTGTACTTTATGAAGCAATATTCTTGATGAGCTTTACCTGCTTCTAGTAAACCACACTCACGACAAAGACTTTGACACAGAATCTGTAGTATAAAGGTTTTAGCTGTGGCTTTTCTTGATAGTTGGTAAGTAAGGGATCTTGTACTGAATAAAGGTGTTCGTGTGCTGTTTTTGAAGGAAGTTGTACTCAGGCGTGTGAAAGAGAGAGTGTGCAGAGAGTGCTCTGTGGTTTGAACTTCCACAGAAGAAGGGTGATGGAACTTAGGGGGGTTTTAGTAATGTATGTCAATGATACTTGCTTTTTTTAAGCTTACTTAGATCATCTGCCCAGCAACAGCAAAACTGTATGATTAAATGTGTGTGTTAAAGATGAGTGTGGAATGCATAACACGACTCCTTATCAGGTAAACACCTGTACCCATCTATGTGAGAGATGAAGAAGACATGAACCAGCCTACACGCAAAGACAACATCAAGTATAGAAAACTCTTTGTCTTGATAGGCGGAGCATCTACTATAAGAAGCGCTTTGACATCTGAAGCGCTCAGACCTCTGAGCTGTCTGTTTGGTAGGCTGAGCTAATCTTGAACCCAGAGATCTCTGTTTTGCACGTTTCAATTTGTAATTAATAAAATAGAGCTTCAACTCACAATCTATACAAACTCTGTCTTGTCCTATCTGGCCTTTACCTGTGGTGGTCACACGGTTCGTCATGTTTAGTAATATTCGGATGTCCGTGGAATATAATCCAATAAACAGGAAAGGTATCTTCACACCTGGAGACTACATCTTTGGGAAAGTTAAACTAGAATTGGCAAAAGTGTGCCAAATAGAGAAACTGATTGTGAAGTTGAAAGGAAAAGCAGAAGCCAAATGGACAGAAAATAAGGGGAAAACGGTAGTGATCTACCATAACAAACAAAAATACCTCAGTATCCAGCAAGATGTAATCCAGGCAAGCCAGGGTAAGTGACCTGCTTCTGTTATTTATTAGAAAAAAGCCGCTTTAACCAGATTAATGTATGTTGATTTTTTCCTCTGATTTAAAGTTTTGTGTTTCCCCTGTTCTCCTGTGCTTTTCTCTATTATCTCTGTCAGATTAAATCCTTATGTCTAAGGATATTTGTGTGTTTGTTTTTATCAAACATGCAGACCAAGATGAGATCTGTCCAATCATAGATGAAGATAGAAAACAAGTACTTTTGTCTGCATTTTTGCAGAAACATGCTGCAACATTAAACCTTTTTTATGATAACAGTTTGATCTCTGGTTTTCTACGGCTTTCTTCTTACTGACTCTTTTGTAGAGCAGTTAAGCACTTCAATCTTTCCTAATAATTGTTTACTGTATTTATCTGGTCTGATAAACTGACCTCTCAAACTGTAAATGAAGCCTCATTATGTAACTTTATTGCCTTTCAGGTCAAAACAATATTGGGCCGGGCCGCCATGATTATCCTTTCATCTTTCAGATCCCTGCAGCGTGAGTTTTCTCTGAAAAAGTTGGAAAAAACACAAACAATTTTGTATTATTACATTGTTTAATATATGGAAAGATTTTAATCTTTATATAAAAAATCTATCTTGACATAAACAGCCTTGATTTACATGTGAAATGAACCGTGTAGGATGCTTTTTCTGGATACTGTGTAAGTATGAACATCTGACAGATATACTGCTATTGTCATAAACTGTGTTGGCATGTCTTACAGAGACCTGCCGTCCTCCTTCAGAGGCTTACATGGAAAGATCAAGTACACTTTGGAGGCAGTCCTGAGCAGGTCCATGAGAATAGACATCATAGCAGAGACTGAGTTCACCCTCATCAACTGGAACCTTTGCAGATATGCAATAATGATGGTACCCAAAAACAAACACAACACACACATAAACATGCCTGTTGTATGACTAAGACATTCCTGCAGAAATGAAAACAGTAACTCTCTCTCTAAATTATCTGTCATTATCCTGCCAGGCTCCACAGAATCAGGTCATTTCTAAGAAAATGAAGGTTTTCACATCAGGAGAAGTGGGGATGTATGTTAAAATTGCACGGACTGGATATCATCAAGGTATGAGTGATTAAAAATCACACATTCCCTTTGCAGGCTACTTTAACAGTGGGCTGCACGAAAAGATAAACTCTTATGTGTAGGTCAAAGTCTGTTTGAATATGGACCTTTTAAGGCCCTAAAGAAAGGAAAACAGCAAAGGTGACAAGAGGAAATCCTAATAGATTTTCTCAACTGATTATTTCAAAACATGCTTAGATTGCGCCAAACCATCAATTGAGAAGTGAGAAAGCAAATCATTTTTTCTTTCACAGGTCAGGCTCATAAGTCTTTAAATGCACCTTGGATAGCTTAAGTCTGTGAAGTACAATGCATTAAGACATAATTTACAAAAAATGCTTTAAAAAAGTCTCTTGTGTATCTTGTGTAACCAGTAAGCTTCTTTGTGAAAAGTGCGACATTTGTGGGTTTTTTTTTATATAGGACAGCTGATGAGAAACAGGAAATGTGGGGAGCAGAGAGTGCTGGGAGATATGTGGCGAATGCTTGTGGTCGGAAAATCAACTCAGTGACTGTTGCAAAGAGACCTGTAGCCTATTTATGAAGGGCTCTTAGACTACTAGGCTGTCAGAGCTCCAACCAGAAAAATCTTATTGTTATGAGCATCTTAAAATTGCAAATGTAGGTGCCACCGAGAGATGGTGATTAAAGTGTGTTTTGAACTGACATCTATTGTGTATTCATTCTGCTCTGTTGTTCAGGGGAGGGCATACAGGTTGCGGCTGCCATCCAGAACAGATCATCTCGCGAAATCAGGCCAAAGTACTGTTTGTACAAAAAGTACAGTTACTTTGTAAAGGAAGAAAGGAAACTTGAAATGGAAGACATCCTTAAGGAGGTGGGTGATTTCATCCCACCTTCATCAAGTCAGACTGTCACCAGGACCATCACCATCCCAGCCGACACATGTGTGTCCATCTTGAACTGCCGAGCCATCAAAACAGAGTACAGGCTGAAGGTGTGTATCCCTCCATCTTCACTATATATTTGTTTATATTTGCATTTAAAAGGCTGTATGATGGTTTTAATGAATGCTGTCTATTTTCCTTCAACAGGTCTACCTGGATGTTAAGTATGCCTTTGACCCACAGATCAAGTTCCCCATAATCATCCTTCCTGCTAAAGAATGATTGAAGAGGAACAGCAGCCTGCCTATGGATTTGGCGCATTTGCAAACTCCGACATGTTTGGAGGACCCAGCTTCTTTTCTAACCCATCAAATACCGGTCCTTCTGCTCAACCTCCACCACATGGGGCTTATCGTGTGTACCCCTCTTTGGCTAGTTATGATGGAAAATCTTGTTTAAAACCTCTTTATGACATGACTGTACTTCATGAAGCAATATTATGGATGTATCAGACTCTCATTTTTAGTAAAAAGGGAGACAATCAGCTGATGTTTGACCTGTGATTTGGTTTCCATGTGTTTCTCAAACAGAACTGAGTCTTTGTAGCTGTTAAATGATCAATATTTAAATGTGTTTTGAGGGATATGGTTTTGACTTTTGCTTCTGTCTTTGAGATAATAAAATGTATGACCCTAATGATCCTTAAATGACTATTTTTTGATATATAAAAGTAAAAGAGACGTTGATCATTTTGTGTGTTTGGTTTAGCTGGTCAAAGGCAGGGGCTGGTTCTTCGGAGCACAGTGCCACCTGCTGGTAAGATATAATAATAATTTTCTTACAATAAACAATCAAACAATAAGAATAATAAATATGAAAACATAAGAAAACAATTGCTAAGACAAGTAACAGACAATGAGAAGTTGTGTGGGTGGGTTTAAATTCAGCTTAAATTTTGTGCCTTGGCTTTTTTTTATTATTTTCACAATGACATTACAAACGCTTCTTTTTCCAATAAGAGTGTCATGGTTTTTGCCCTTATGATTTTTTCTTTCCTCACTAAAGAGCACACCAATATTTCTAACTTCCAGACATTAAAGATTTTCCATCGAAAAATGTCAGACTGACTTCAGACCTCATTTGTATTGCATTGTTTACTTAAACTGTTTTGTTGTGTGTTACCTCGAGGTGAAATTGTGCAACAAGTGTATTGAAACACCAAGGCCATACATGTTGAAACAAATGAAAACAAGAGATAAGGAGAAGTGATAAGACCACTATGAATTTTGTCAGTTAATACTAAGGAGTATTTTTCAAAATCCCCAAATGTTTTGTAACTGTAAAATAAAGAAGACTGACACAGGCTTTCTTTTAAATAAAAATCAATGTGACGGATAAATTGTTTTAAGGATCAGGTCAATGTTTTGACAGTAGGGGAGAGTGGGGTAAGATGAGCCATTTTTAATATTTCGGAACACTACATCAAGGCAATCATTGAAACTATATTTTGCTTTTTAATATTTGCTTTTATTTTATCCATTGTTTTAATTGTGGTTTTTTTTTTTTGATTGTTTGCATTGTTTTGTCTATTTATGTACAGCAGGTTGTTTTAAAGTGCTTTACAAATAAAGTTGATTTCAGTTGAGTAAACATAACTTTCTTGATAATATAGCATGCCAAAAAAAGTGGTCTCCTATGGTCAACTTACCCCGTGTATGGGGTAAGTTGAGCCGTAGCCTCCCCCACTCTCCACCCCAGCCCCCCCTCACCTTCTCTCTCCCTAAATAACAGTCACTTCTTCACATTCATGTGTATTTTCAACAATCTGAACTGAAACTCTGATCCTCTCATCAGACTCTTTTACTTTCTCAATCAAGCAACTGGATCAACTCACCCCAGAACGACTATAATGACTTTATTAGTCCTCTAATCTAAAATGGTGGATTTTTATAGGTTTTTGACCTCGTGTTGTAGCTCATAGATACCACAATTGATGTATTAAACTAATTTAAAATGATCTTTCTATATACAGTCTATGGTCTGAACAAAATTCTAATAAAACTTATGACAGACTCAATTCACTTTCAAGAGTAAAAGATGTTTTTTTTTTTTGGAAATAAATGTCTAACCCCTTCACCCATTTGCTTCTAACCTTCACAAACTCCATGAATTGATGTCCATCTCCTAAATATTTGGTCACATGATCAATTTCTTTTACCATGTCCAAGAAACAGGGGGTGGCTCAACTTACCCCACTCCCCCCTAATTAAGTCACTCTCATTGTAAAGTATGCTGTGTTAAGTCTGTGTTTGCTTCATGAACTTCTTTATCTATCTTCTTTAATCCTCCACTATGTTTCGTGATTGTATGATCCTGCCTTAGTCATTTTGTCTGACTTAATGTTGATCTGATGTTGGCAGATATGTCCAACAGATTTCCACAGATTTTGGGGCGTTGACCAAAATTGTTGATAACTCGAGAGAGAAGTTGAGAGCTTTCGAGGACAGTACATAATAATCTCACAAGGTGGCAAATGATACGACGTAACATAACGCGGAAATGCAAACACAACCCTGCCTCACAGGACTGGGATACACCCACCAACCGAGGAAGGAATTTCGGGGTGGTCTTAAGTATCCCCCGATGGTCCGTTAAACTGTTTGTTTCCTGCAACTGCAAGCGAACAGCATGTCCTCCACCGTAAAGAGCATCAAAATCACCTATAATCCTATCAATGAGAAAAATACGTTCACGAGTGGCGACTGGGTCACCGGCCAGGTAACGCTGGAGGTGACCAAAGAGTGCCAGATAGACTCTCTGTTGGTCCAGTTCAAAGGGAAAGCTGAAGTCTTGTGGACGGAGAGACACGGTCAAGTTACTGTGGTGTACCACTCGAAGGAGAAGTACTTCAGCCTCAAACATTACTACGTTCGAGACAAAGATGTCAGAGGTAAGTCGACGAATCTTCTGCTTCTTTTATTTTGGGAACCAACGCACTATCTCTGAAGTTGTAGTCGCCTCCTCATGTTTGGAGCTGTTGTTTGCTAGAGTGTTTTCGATAGCGAGGAGCAAAAATCCTCCAAACCGAGTCCAGATTCGGACATTCCTGTGCAGGTCAATGGGTTTGAGTTCGTTTAAGTTGATCCTCAGTGTATTCACGGGGAAACTTCATAAAAGTGCGTCAACACATTGTTGGACAGAGGAATAGTACATGTATTATCTAGCAGGGGCGTACTCAAGCTTTTTTTTGGTCAAAATGAAAAGGGCACCACTGTGCAAGCGCCTCATGTTGCATTCTGTGGTCAACAGGTCTTGTTTGGGCCTGTCCGAAGAATGGGCTTGTAAAAATTGTAGGAAGACAATGTAGGCAGTTGAAAACCTGAAATGGAGAACAAAGATAGACACACAAGCATTGCAACTTGGTAATAATAAATAAAAAGTATGCAAGTATAGTAAAAAGGGGGGTTCTCCCTAGGACAGTATATTTAAAGGCGTAAATTTATTTAGGGTCAAACACACCGCAACACAGAGTTAGACACCCCCTCAAGAGACGACTGTTGCCAACCGCTTGCTTATCTAGATATACCAGCTTTTGTAACAACCGCAAGATGGCGATACACAACGGCCTGAGGAACCATAAACAATCCTCAACCAAAACGCCACTCTATAGTCACAAATAATGCTCAGAAAAGCACCTAACTTCCTCAACAGTACAAATAAGGTCCTAGCCACAACACTAGCCACCAAACATCTTTTTGACTTTGCCTAATTTCTATAGCAAAGAGACTAAACGCAACTTACCCAGTCTCCTCCAGCAGCCGAAACCCCCATTACTAATGATCAACCCCATCGATCATTTGCACTGCAGACGTGGTAGTTCTTCTGCCTTTGCGTCTCGGTCTGATTGCATTTCCATGAAGAAATGATCATAAATGTTCTTCCTTGAGCTGCGTCACCCGGCTGTAGTCTGTAATGGACTGGCCCGAGGTCTTGCTACAAACAAGCAGCTGCTAGTAGTGCATCATAGGGGGGCGCATCATAACGCTAAAGTCTCACTCATGTCATTTTCTGAAACTTTGCAGTCCTGGGGTACCATATCAAATTTTATTAAAAAAGATATACATATTTCTAATGAAAAACATGTGCAACTGTTTTGATTTGTATTTTACTAATTTAGCAAACAACTGCACAAATAATAGAGATCATTTGAGCAGTAAAATACACTATTGTTAATGACACAGACAACCTTGTTTTATGAGGTCTCAAAAATACCAAGTTTTTTCAGTGGGTGTTAAGTTGACACGTTTTAAATGGCCAGCCTTGTGTGTAGCATAAACCTTTAGACATGTCGCTTCATGTCAGGTCTGTCTTTGTTACCATTGAATTCCATTGATGTTGTCAAGATTCAATGAGATCTGAACTGTTGCAGTGTCCAATCAGTGAGTGATATCTGATACCAGGGTGTGCCTGTCAGTGACTTCCGCAAAGACTGGTCTTGTTTATCCTTGGTCATCACTCCTCCTCTTTCCCTCTGTTTTGAACTTCTTCAAAATAAGGGCCAAGAGACGTTACTCAGCATGGCGGGTCCATGACTTCTCTTACTTATTTTTATGTTCCCTTCAGGAGAGGACAATGAAAGCCTCATTACAAAGCAGAATGGAGAAACATGTAAGTGCTGCGTCTCATCTTGTGGTACACCTTTTGGAACATTTCACGTGCAATGCCACACAGATATCTGGTCATGTTGGTTAACAGTTTTGCTGTTGATTTATATTTGGTTTGTAGACAGCAGTGTTGTTGCTCCAGGATGCCATGTATACCCATTCTCCTTCCAGATCCCTTGCCAGTAAGTCATTTTTGAACATCTCCACAATGAGTCAGAGTTAACAGATCCTTCTTCTCTGTGTAGATCTTAATTAATCAGATTTGTTGTTTATTTTGTTCTCATATTTCTTTGTCACTCTGCACTTGTGCTTTAGGACCATGCCTCACTCCTTCACCGGTTTGGTTGGGAAGATTTACTACACACTAAAAACCAAGCTGGGCAGATCAATGAGAATTGACCAGAAAGATAAAGTCAAGATCAACTATGTGTCAAATGCAGCCATGAGCGCGGAGATCGATGTAATGGTATGTGTGCAGAGTTGTGTTGTCATTCCTGTTGCTCTTAAAACAAAGCTGAATGAGGCTTGACAGCTGTCGTGTCTGTTACGTGAGTGAAGGCTGGCCCACTTTTTTTTTTTTAGGACCTATAAATATTTGCCTGAGCTATACACATGACCTCAAATGCCTCCAGGACAAGTGTATTTTAACATCTATCTGTTTTCAAAAACTGTAAGAACATGTTTGGGCAGTAAATGAGATGGTAACATCTTTGCTCTGATTGTGTCCAAGGCTGTTGCATTAATCAGATTTTCTTTCAGATGCCGCAGCATGAGTCCAAGGATAAGAAAATGAAATTTTTCACATCAGGATCTGTTGCCATGGATGTTAGACTTGAGAAATCGGGTTTCTACCAAGGTAAGGGCTGTTAAAGTTATCTTTACATATCAAGTGTTGCACCAAGAGTCATATGCATCTATCTGTTCACTTTGCAGGAGAAGGATTGAAAGTTATAGCCTGCATTGAGAACAACTCATCTCGTGAGATCAAACCCAAGTACTGTGTGTACAGAAAGCACAGTTTCTTTGCAAATGGCCGCAGAAGACTCAGCACCAAAGATCTCCTGAAAGAAGTGGGACAACCCATCCCTCCTTCTACTAACGTGAAGGTATCTCAAATCATCACCATCCCCGAAGATGCCGAGCCCTCCATCCTCAACTGTGGTATCATCAAAGCAGAGTACAGACTCAGGGTGAGCATGGCTTCCCTTCTTGGGAGTGTACTGTGCAACACTTATCCAGGACTTAATTTTTCAGGAGGAGGCCAATCTAGATATCTTAATCACACAGTCATTAATTATTCATCAAATCGCATCAGATACATTTGTAGTGCATCTGTGGTAAGATAGCACTCACTTCTGTCAACCAAGTTGTTTTTATTTATCTAGTCACAAAAGTGTACAAATCTTCAGGCACTTTACACGAGGAACAGGTCTAGACTGTTCTCTTACTATGTACTGTAAACAGGGATCCAGTTGAGCAAGGAATGGTCTTCCTCTGACCTGGTTGAAACTTTAAGCAAAAACAGACCTGTTGTAAGTAAGGGAGACACATGTTTTTATAACATTTAATGTTTGGTTTTTGTGGTTTTTGCACTTCACCAAAGGAGCTAGCTTCACTTTTGGTATGTATGTGACTGTATTGAAACTCTGGCTCTATACTGTACCTCAGTAAATGTTTTTTTTTTGCAGGTGTATCTGGATGTCAAATATGCCTCAGATCCAGAGATCAAATTCCCCATTGTCATCATGCCGGCTGGTCAAGTTTCTGCTAAAGCACCACCACCTGCCGCCTCAGACTTTGGTTTCGAGCCATTTGGAAACACCAATCCACCACAATGGGGCGGCGTACCACCGCAACCACCGACAGCGCCATATTCCCTGGACCCTCCACCTCCTTATGGAGCACATGCAATGTACCCCCCTTTGACAGATTCTGGTAATTCATATCAGCGACTAAATTAACCAGTCCAAGAAACACCTACAGCTGAAGAATTTGTGTCCAATTCATTTGTAGTTTCCACTCTGAATTTCAATCAGCTAACTATGTAGCACAAGTTATCCAAAGAGAAAAAATAAACAGCTTAATGCTGCATTTTCCTAGAGTTACCTATAAACAGTTAAATGCTGTATTTTTCTAGAGTTACCCATAAACAGTTTAATGCTGCATTTTCCTAGAGTTACCTATAAACAGTTAAATACTGCATTATCCCAGAGTTACCTATAAACAGTTGAATACTGCATTTTCCTAGAGTTACCTATAAACAGTTGAATACAGCATTTTCCTAGAGTTACCTATAAACAATTAAATACTGCATTTTCCCAGAGTTACCTATAAACAGTTTAATACTGCATTTTCCTAGTTACCTATAAACAATTAAATACTGCATTTTCCCAGAGTTACCTATAAAAAGTTTAATATTGCATTTTCTTAGAGTTACCTATAAACAGTCAAATACTGCATTTTCCCAGAGTTACCTATAAACAGTTTAATACTGCATTTTCCTAGAGTTACCTATAAACAATTAAATACTGCATTGTAGCAATCAAGACAACCCTGGGTGTGAAACCCACACATTCCTCAGAGGAAAGTTTCCTTATCTGGTCCCAGGAAACAGGATATAAATCTTTCCAGACTCGTTTACACTTTCAGGTTAAATAAGTGACCCAACCGGAGGTTGACTAAACCTCCGACTCTTCACGATTGGTCAATTCGGAGAACAGAGACAGAGTTTTTATTACCTTTCAAACTGACTCCATTTGCTGACCATCTAAATAAACATTAACGTCTCAACCCAGAATTCCCATTTGAGATTTAGCGTCTTAAAGTGTGTGAACATACGGACCCTAGGAAAAGGGGGGACACTGACCTCCAGACCTCGGTCGTAAAACCCTGTTCGACCATACACTGACCTCCAGACCTCGGTCGTAAAACCCAGCTCGATCATACACTGATAAAGACTACATTCCTTTGGTGAAAGAATACAAATGACTGATCCTGACATCTTATACATTCAGCAATGTACTAATCTGTCTAATCATGAAATTTGTGTTAAAATGAGATGTTTCCCATTTTTCTATGTGCTCCAGAAGCCGAGTTATCGCTCTCTAGTTTCTTTAGACCAACAGCTTTTCAGACTGTTTCATGAACTTTTAAGAGTTACATTTATTGACTATGGATCATAACTTTACTCTATGAACACAGAAATAGTTTAGAAATGTTTGGTCTATATTTTAATCGTTTATTTAGTATTTTTAACCATTAGGTGGTTATAATGTCATTGAATAACCTTAATGTGAGTATTTAGAATCCATTATTAATCATGATGAAGTTCATTCACATGTGTTTACTCTTTTGTTGTTCACAGTTTCCATGTGTTACTATCTGTTTCATTTCAGAGTAATTTAGCATGTTCAATGTGATACTTTAAACATAATGAGAATGTTTGATGTGATCCTACACTTCATTCATATGTGTTTAGTGTCAAATTATTTGTCATGAAACCAAGCATTCAATGATATTAATCATAGTGAGTGAGTATCAGATCTGACTCTTTTACCAGCCAAAAGAATAAGTTAGATCAAATAATCAGAGACCACACGACCCCCTCCTCTTTCTCCTCAGAGCCACTCCCAGTGTGAGAAGATAAAACCAGTGAAGTGGGGTTGCTCAGTCTCTTATGCTCTTCTCTCTCTTATGCTTCTGCTCTTCTGCTGACTCTCTTGTCCCCGGCTCTTATGCCCCTTCTCTTCTGCCCACACCCTTCTGTGGTGCGTTTCTTTGTTTTCTCTTAGAACTTTTTCTTAGTCTTCTAAGTTTTACGCCACGTGTTGATTCACGTTGATTTTCTTTAACATCGTCTTAGTTCAAGTTTTGAAACTTCAACTTTTTGTGCGCATAGCAATTCAAGATTAAGCCTTTGATTGATTTTTCTTTAAATTCGCGAAGCCATTTTTGAAAGTTTTCTCTGCTCGAGTTTTCCTTTTTCTGAGTTTTCTGCGTGATTTTCAAAGTCACCTCTGAACGCAACCCAGCAGGCCCAGGTCATCCTCTGTGCCAGAGTTTTTGAGTGAGACTAAAGAAGTACCCAAACGAGCATCCACAGGATCCACAGGCGCTGGTTTTGCTTCGGGCCTGAGTGCTGCAACTCCTGGCTCATCCTTCGGCTGACTTCAGTCGTCTTCTGAGCTGAACCGCTCGAACCGCCAGTAGCCCCGGACCTTCGGAACCTGCTCCATCTTCTCCAAGGACCAGTCTCATTTAAGTATGCAAACCTCCAGAGCTCTAAAGAGGGCTGGTGCTGTCTCCTGCGTTCAACTCAGATATCCACCTCTTATTCTGGTAATCTTAGATTCCTCCAAATCCACACCCGAGTTTATCTCGACACCAAAGTTAGTGTAGGTTAATATGTTAGCGCATATTCACTCACTATCATTAACTTTAGTGCTCCTAGCCTGACTCAGAATATTTATTTATTCACCTATTATAATTTTATCCTCATTATCTTATCATCATTTATTGCATGTGTGTTGTACCATCATTTATCCTGTAATAAACAGATCATTATTTTTCTAAGTTCCTGTCTGTTAGTGTTCTTCCAGAAGTGGAGTCCCTGAAATTAGAATTTCGACTTAAGATATGAGACTGATTAATTAAGACTGATTAATTAAGACTGATTAATTAAAACTGACTTGATGTTTGATTTCTGAATTAAACTTTTGTTTTCTTTATTTTCCCACCATTAAGGGTGGGTGGTGCCCCTTTCAACGAGTGCATAAATGTCATAATTTGAGATTATTAATCTTCAGACATTTATTATAAATTCCAATCGCCAAGTATTATTTTGGTGCGGCCTTGTGAGGCTCATTTCAAATCGCTACATATATTTTGGTGCGACCGTATGAGGCTCATTTCAAATCACTACAGCATTTTCCCAGAGCTACCTATAAACACTTTAATAATGCATTTTCCTGGAGTTACCTACAAACAATTAAACACTGCATTTTCCCAGAGTTACCTATAAAAAGTTTAATATTGCATTTTCCTTGAGTTACCTATAAACAGTCAAATACTGCATTTTCCTAGAGTTACCTATAAACATTTAAATGCTGCATTTTCCTAGAGTTACCTATAATCTGTCAATTACAGCATTTTTCCTTAAGTTACCTCAGGTTAGACCAGAGACTCAAAAACTGCTGCACTGCAAGGTTAAATCCACTTCTCATGCAGTAAAGTCTCATGACCTCTAAGGTTTCATTTTGTACACTATCAAAGTATGTTTCTGTCAATGAAACCTAAAATACACTAAAATATCTGACATTAAGCTGCATCGATCAAGTTTTGTTAAATTTTTATAATGCCTGTTGTGTACCATTGAAAATATAGTTGCTGTACTTTTTCGTTTCAAAGTGTGTCTTTCACTTACGTGGAAAGATGAAAGACATTGAGATAAAATACAAATAATTTCTTGAATATATATATATATATATATATGCTCTATATGTTCTTTCTGTCCTCTTTCTTGTGTTCAGTTAAGCTATGTACTCTTGTCCGTGACATTTTTTCAAACGTATCCTTGATAAAGTACCGAAAGGTTTGTAAGTGTCTGATATTTAAGTTCTTGCTCCTTTGTTTCATACCATATCAATAGTAGGTTAGTGGTCCAGATAATAGATTAATAATACCAATCAGCTTCTACACATGTAGTATGCCGAGGGCTTGTATGGCTGCCCTAAAATTGAATGATTCTGGCTTTAAAAGTCTCCGCTTACAAGTGCTGCACTCAAATGTCGAGGAATGCTGCATCTTATATCTGCCAAGCAAATTCAGACAACAAATACTCTTCATAGTTGGGTCTGTAGTTAAATCTTGATAAAGCACAACATTTTTGAGTAAAGACAAGTCATGGACGTGTTGAAAGATTAAGATGATGCCAGTCAGAAAGCGGGTGAAACATCTCATCTTTTTACATTTCCACTCTTCTGCTGTGCTCTGCCCTTCAGCTGTAACTTTCTTTGTAAAATCTAATATCGTATAGCTCATAAAAACATGCTTTAAACTAATAAACAGGCTCCCATAACTGCAGCCCCTGAGGTGCTTGTAGCTTTAGAAAATCATTTTATGGCTTGCTTTGATGGATAAGTCATTTCCTGTTTAAACTATTGTTCCCTCCTCTGTTGAAGGTGTGGCTTGTTTCTAGGAAGTGCTGGTTTTTGCTGTGTTTGTGTAGCTCACCTGACTACAAACAGGTAAGAAAAACAGGTCTCACAAGATTAACATGCTTGAGTTTGGATAACAGCAGAGCTGAGGCTGTTCAGGGTTCAGAGGGTGTGAGTTTACTCTGGGTGTTGTAGGAGATTTGGGATTTCCAAGATGGGGAAAAAAATGACCATAAAAACTTTCGCGATTGAATATGATTCCATCAATAGCAAGAACATCTTTACAAATGGAGATACCATCAATGGAAGAATCATTGTGGAGGTCTCTAAGGAAACTAAAATCCAGGCGCTTATTTTCATCGCTAAAGGAGAGGCCAATGTGTGCTGGAGTGAAGATTCTGAACAGTATAATCAAGGGTTCAGGTCCAGTGAGAAGTATTATGAAGTCACGCATCACATCCTAAGAGAGGCAAGACAAGATGGTAATGTATGAAATCAATATCTCTCTAATTTTGATAATGGCTAATATTTTAAGTAATCAGCCCCTCAATTTAAAGACTTTCCAAACTTTTCCAGGCACTGAAATCATTGGAAAAGGAAGACACGTGTTTCCTTTTTCCTACACAATTCCTGACAGGTGCTTTTTTTTACTATTTCATATTTATTTGGGTGTTTTTTCTTTCTCTTATTTTAGTTGAATCATTTTTCTACAATTGCACTCAACAGGAAAATCCCATCAACATTCAAAAGCAGCATAGGAAAGATTGTTCACAAATTGAAGGCAGAGCTGAAACAGTCGATTAAGCTGACTAAAAAAGCCAAAACCCACTTCAAATTTGTGTCCGCAGCAGACATGGACACCCCTGGACTTATGGTTAGAAATCATTCATCTTTAAAAATGCAAACTTTATCTACTCACTTGTCTTTTCAGGAGAAATACAGTAGACAGCTTTGACTCATATCCCGTTTTTCAGGATCCTCAGTACGGGTGCAAGGATAAATCTGTGAGAGTTTTTGGCTCTGGAAATGTTTCATTCGATGTTCACACCAAGCGGATGGGATACACGCAAGGTAATGTGGAGTTTAAGCAAATTTACCCTGCATGTGAATGGTTTTAACACACTTTTGCTCTCTGCATAAGGATACAGCTCACTTTAGGAATCAGGTATATCAGGTTTGACTTTAGATTGTATAAAGAAAACACTTCACCAATGGAAAAATCAGGTTTGATAACATTGCTGCTCCTAGAAAGTAAAGCAAGTCTTTGCTATTTGTCACACATTAGGAGACCAGCTGTACTGTTTTCAAATGAACTGCTCAGATGCAATCACAAATTCAGGCATGCATGGAGGAGATATTCTCCTTGGACACCAAAGAAGCTTGGTCTTGTTGAGGTTGAGCTTCAGCTGGTCTGTAAGTTTCAACAGAGAAAAAAGTGTTTAACAACAGCCTCTATGCCTCTGTTTCACAGGTGAGGGTATCCAGGTCATCGCTGGAATCAGCAACCGCTCATCTCGTTCGGTGAAGCCCAAGTTCACGCTGTATGAGGAGAGGAGTTTCTTTGCACAGGGTCAAAGGAGAGTTCACACAAATGAGATCCTCAAGGACAAGCTCGAGCCGATTAAATCCTCCGACAAAAAGACTGTAACCAAGGTGATCACCATCCCCAGGGATCTACCTCCCTCCATCCTCAACTGCTCCATCATCAAGCTGGAGTACAGACTGAAGGTAAGGCTGCCAGTCAAAAGACAGTTTGTAAACTCTTTTTGATGTATTTTTATTTTTTTATTTTTTTATAATGCCTCACTTTTGCTTTTAACTTTAAAGCAGTTGTGGTATTTTGAATAATCTCTTATGTGGAAAGACTCAGCACAATATGCCTCAACATTACATTAAAAGGTGTTTAAAAAGGCAGTGGCATTTTACGGACTGTATGTTGATGAAATGATTATCTGAAATAAATAATGATGCCTTCAAAAATCTTAAGAATAAACTAATAGAGACCTCTAGTGGTCAAACTATTGAAGTGGAAATCATAATGAGCGTAAATCCAGAGACTTTGGTTTTATCACTCTTTCACTGTAGATATCAAAATATATTTGTTATCCTTATGTTGACCTGTACTGTGTACTACAACACGATAAAAAAAACCTCCAACAATAAAAAATAATCCCATGTTTTTACAGGTCTATCTCAATATCAAATGTGCCTCAGACCCAGAGATCAAACTTCCCATTGTCGTCCTCCCTGCCCTCGAGGCTCCCTCTCATAAACAACCTCCTCCTTCTGCTGGTTTTGGATTTGAACCTTTTGGGAACCCAAACCCAGCACCCTTGGGCATGACGCCACCACTGCAAGTAGCACCCAGGCCGGTGGATCCACCACCTCCATATGGAGCATGTGCAGCACCAGCGATGAACCCCTCCGTAAATCAATATGGCCAATACGAGAATAAATTCTGAATACGACACAGGTGTTATCACTGCACGAGGCTCACATGAATGTCACAGTTGTATAAACCCTCGACAGCTGTTTACAGACTTCAGTGTTTCGATTCAGTGTTCCTGTCTTTTGTTTTTGTTACACTACTGTCTTTAAGTCTACCTGCAAAGACCGTACTGAATGTCTGTGAAGTGTACATAAATGAAGTGTCTGTCAATGCTTTACTTTTGTTTTTGTAAAATGTAATGACTTTGCTCTAACATAAAATAGATAACCACAATTTCCAATTAATTATCAACACTCCCAGGCATGAATCAAGAGAATATAAACTTACAAACTGCAAGAGTTTCAGATATTATTAAAAATTGTCAGCCCTATTTTCTTATCCTTCCATCTAATTGTCCTAAAGTATTATTTGAGTGCATATTTAATTCATGATTAAAGACTTCTTTTAAAGTACCCTATTTCACACACTGTGCTAATTCACTTAAAAATGTCAACATTAAATTGTTGTTTCTTTTCAGTACCTCTGTTGGCCGTAACTTGCCTTAACTTCTGCTCATTGTGAGACATAAACCAAACCATCTTACTGTCGGAGCAGCTGTTTTGTTTTCAGCATATTCTGATAACCAAATTGATATTGTCTTTTGTCACAGTGCAGCGATATCTCAGTGGAGTTGGTCTAATATGGCTCCTAAAGCTGTAGACTCAAGTTACCTGTGTGAAAATGACATCTGCGGCACATGATCACCTGACCACTTGTGACACAGATACAGGTACAGGTGGTTCTACACCCGAGAACGCTACAGAAACAGTGCAGATGCCGGCCTTTTTCATCAACCAAGAGCCCCTCAATTAATCTGTTGGATTTATTTTGCCTCTCAGATTATCATCCTCATGGTTACACTGCAGGACCCTTGTAAAGGTTATTTGATGCTCTCCCATCATGACTGTAAAACATCTCTCTGTGGATTATAACAAAGTAAACGAACGAGGCACCTTCTCTCCTGGGGACACCCTGTCCGGGAAGGCGACAGTGGTGACCAGTAAGGAAACCAAAGTGCAATGTTTTGTGGTCAAGGCCAAAGGAAAAGCTAAGGTTGCATGGTCTGAACAGAAAGGACAAGTCACAGAGGCTCACAACAACAAGAAGGAGTACTTTTACTTTGAGCATATTATTCTGCAGGATAAAAACAAAGGAGATGGTGAGTATTGTATTGTTTTTATTGAACTTTTTTCTTCTTCTTAAGGTTCAGAAATCATCGCGCCTGGGAGAAATGTGTTTCCATTCACCTTTGAGATCCCAAATACGTGCGTGTATATGGATTAATATGAATTAATATGAATCCTATGGTCAACTTACCCCGTGTATGGGGTAAGTTGAGCTGTAGCCTCCCCCACTCTCCACCCCAGCCCTCCCTCACCTTCTCTCTCCCTAAATAACAGTCACTTCCTCACATTCATGTGTATTTTTATCTGTTATACACTATTCAATTGGTTCAATAATTCTTTTTATTATTATTGCATATAACTACTAAAAAGCTGTTTTGTAAAAAGCCATCTTGACACGAGAATGTTTAAGTGATTCAGAACTTTCACAGCTGTATTTTTGAAAAGAAAAAGTAAAGCGTTTCAACAATCTGAACTGAAACTCTGATCCTCTCATCAGACTCCTTTACTTTCTTAGTTGAGCCACTTGCCCAACTTACCCCAGAACTACTATTATGACTTTATTAGTCCTCTAAGCTAAAATGGTGGACTTTTATAGGTTTTTGACCTCATGTTGTAGCTCACAGATACCACCATTATTGTATAAAACAAATTCAAAATGATCTTTTTTGGTCTGAACACAACTCTAATAAAACTGATGACAGACTAAATTCACTTTCAAGAGTGAAAAATAAATGTCTAATGTTCACCCATTTGCTTCTAACCTTCACAAACTCCATGAATTGATGTCCATCTCCTAAATATTTGGTCACATGATCAATTTCTTTTACCATTTCCAAGCAACAGGGGGTGGCTCAGCTTACCCCACTCCCCCCTAATTAAGTCACTCTCATTGTAAGGTATGCTGTGTTAAATCTGTGTTTGCTTCATGAACTTCTTTATCTATCTTCTTTAATCCTCCACTATGTTTCGTGATTGTATGATCCTGCCTTAGTCATTTTGTCTGACTTGATGTTGATTTCCACAGATTTTGGGGCGTTGACCAAAACTGTTGATTACTCGAGAGAGAAGTTGAGAGCTTTAGAGGACAGTACATAATAATCTCACAAGGTGGCAAATGATACGATGTAATATAACGCGGAAATGCAAATACAACCCTGCCTCACATGACTGGGATACACCCACCAACCGAGGAAGGAATTCCGGGGTGGTCGTAAGTATCCCCCGATGGTCCGTTTACACTGTTTGTTTCCTGCAACTGCAAGCGAACAGCATGTCCTCCACCGTAAAGAGCATCAAAATCACCTATAATCCTATCAATGAGAAAAATACGTTCACGAGTGGCGACTGGGTCACCGGCCAAGTAACGCTGGAGGTGACCAAAGATTGCCAGATAGACTCTCTGTTGGTCCAGTTCAAAGGGAAAGCTGAAGTCTTGTGGACGGAGAGACACGGTAAAGTTACTGTGGTGTACCACTCGAAGGACAAGTACTTCAGCCTCAAACATTACTACGTTCGAGACAAAGATGTCAGAGGTAAGTCGACGAATCTTCTGCTTCTGTTCTTTTGGGAACCGATTCACACTCTCTCAAGTTGTAGTCGCCTCCTCATGTTTGGAGCTGTTGTTTGTTTTCGACAGCGAGGAGCAAAAATCGACCAAACCGAGTCCAGATTCGGACATTCCTTTGCAGGTCACTGGGTTCAAGTTGATCCTCAGTGTATTCACGGAGAAACTTCGTAAAAGTGCGTCAACACATTATTGGACAGAGGAATAGTAAATGTATTATCTTGCAGGGGCGTACTTAAGCTGTTTTTGGTCAAAATGAAAAGGGCACCACTTTGCAAGCGCCTCATGTTGTATTCTGTGGGCAACAGGTCTTGTTTGGGCAAGAATGGGCTTGTAAAAATTGTAGGAAGACAACGTAGGCGGTAGAAAACCTGAAGTGGAGAACAAAGATAGACACACAAGCATTTCAACTTGGTAATAATAAATAAAAAGTATGTAAGTATAGTGAAGAGGAGTCAAGGGTTTTTCCCAGGACAGTATATTTAAAGGCGTAAATGAATTTAGGGTCAAACACACCGTAATACCGAGTTAGACACCCCCTCGAGAGATGACTGTTGCCAAACGTTTGCTATTCTAGTTATACCAGCTTTTGTAACAACAGCAAGATAGCAATACACAACGGCCTGAGGAGCCATAAACAAACCTCAACCAAAATGCCACTCTATAGCCACAAATAATGCTCAGAACAGCACCTAACTTCATCAACAGTACATATAAGGTCCTAGCCATAGCACTAGCCACCAAACATCTTTTTAACTTTGCCTTATTTCTTTAGCAAAGAGACTAAACACAACTTACCCAGTCTCCTCCAGCAGCCGAAACCCCCATTACTGATGATCAACCCCATCGATCATTTGCGCTGCAGACGCGGTAGTTCTTCTGCCTTAGCGTCTCAGTCTGATTTTATTTCCATGAAGAAATGATCATAAATGTTCTTCCTTGAGCTGCGTCCCCCTGCAGCAGTCCATAATGGACTGGCTCGAGGTCTCGCTACAAACAAGCAGCTGCTGGTAGAGAGTGGTTGAGTTGTGTTTAGTCTCTTTGCTAAAGAAATCAGGCAAAGTTAAAAAGATGTTTGGTGGCTAGTGCTGTGACTGAGACCCTGTATGTACTGTTGATGAAGTTAGGTGCTGTTCTGAGCATTATTTATGACTATAGAGTGGCGTTTCTGTTGAGGTTTGTTTATGGCTCCTTAGACCGCTGTGTATCGCAATCCTGCGGTCGTTACAAAAGCTGGTATAACTAGATAAGCAAGCGGTCGGCAACATTCATCTCTCGAGGGGTGTCTAACTTGGTGTTACAGTGTGTTTGACCCTCAATTAATTTTATGCCAGAATATCCCTTAAACACGTAAAACCAGTGTACATTTGGGCTAATTATCATACAACAGTTTATGATGAAAATTTTATAATGTAGAGAGAACACTCTTGTTTAATTTTTTGATTAAACAACAATGAAATAAACTTCCTGCATGAAGCTTACGTTGAGATTTTATCATATTTTTCACAAAGTTGTTTTAAAACCCAGTAGTTTTATGTTGATCAAGTAGCAGAATTTACAATCTGTGCATGACAGCCAAACAGCGAAGTTACTAATAGGGTACCAGAGCTGCCAAGCGTCACGCTTCGAGTGTGACAGTCACATAATTTGACCCATTCTCACACCACACGCCACACTTGTCATTTCTCACGCTTATATTTCCCCATTCAATACTCTATTTATTTTTTTCATGATAAAACATGGCTTGCTCTAGTTAGAGTAACTCTGATCCCAGACCAATCCATCAGTCCTATGTGCCTAAATCTAACCAACCACGGAAGGCACCACGCAATATAAACCAATCAAAGGGAACACAAGGCGGGTCTTGGCGTCTCGAACTATCTTTCACACACAACAGCGCCAACGTTTTAAACCCCTCGACTTTCCAATTTTGATCATACAAAATAATTGCCAGTGGGTTCACTTTTTAAATTGTTTTACTAGTTTGTTGTCAACGTAGGACAAATATTGCTATTTTAAGGTACAAATCAACGTTAAAAAAGGCCAATTTTTTTTCGCAACTGACCACAGGTCGGTGCATCATAACGCTTAAGTCTCACTCTTGTCATTTTCTGAAACTTTGCAGTCCTGGGGTACCATATCAAATTTTATTTAAAAAATATACATATTTCTAATGAAAAACATGTGCAACTGTTTTGATTTGTATTTTACTGGTTTAGCAAACAACTGCACAAATAATACAGATCATTTGAGCAGTAAAATACACCATTGTTAATGACACAGACAACCTTGTTTTGTGAGGTCTGAAAAATACCAAGTTTTTTCAGTGGGTGTTAAGTTGACACTTTTCAAACAGCCAGTCTTATATGTAACGTAAACCTTTAGACATGACGCTAAATGTCAGGTCTGTCTTTGTTACCACTGAATTCCATTGATGTTGTCAAGATTAAATGAGATCTGAACTGTTGCCGTGTCCAATCAGTGAGTGTTATCTGATACCAGGGTGTGCCCCTCAGTGACTTCCGCAAAGACTGGTCTTGTTTATCCTTGGTCATCACTCCTCCTCTTTCCCTCTCTTTTGAACTTCTTCAAAATAAGGGCCAAGAGACGTTACGCAACATGGCGGGTCCATGACTTCTCTTAATTATGTTTATGTTCCCTTCAGGAGAGGACAATGAAACCCTCATTACAAAGCAGAATGGAGAAACATGTAAGTGCTGCATCTTTTGGAACATTTCATGTGCAATGCCACACAGATATCTGGTCATGTTGGTTAACAGTTTTGCTGTTGATTTATATTTGGTTTGTAGACAGCAGTGTTGTTGCTCCAGGATGCCATGTATACCCATTCTCCTTCCAGATCCCTTGCCAGTAAGTCATTTTTGAACATCTCCACAATGAGTCAGAGTTAACAGATCCTTCTTCTCTGTGTAGATCTTAATTAATCAGATTTGTTGTGTATTTTGTTCTCATATCTCTTTGTCACTCTGCACTTGTGCTTTAGGACCATGCCTCCCTCCTTCACCGGTTCGGTTGGGAAGATTTACTACACACTAAAAACCAAGCTGGGCAGATCAATGAGAATTGACCAGAAAGATAAAGTCACGATCAACTATGTGTCAAATGCAGCCATGAGCCCTGAGATCGATGTAATGGTATGTGTGCAGAGTTATGTTGTCATTCCTGTTGCTCTTAAAACAAAGCTGAATGAGGCTTGACAGCTGTCGTTTCTGTTTCGTGGATGAAGGCTGGCCCCCTTTTTTTTTAGGACCAATAAATATTTGCCTGAGCTATACACATGACCTCAAATGCCTCCAGGACAAGTGTGTATTAAACACCTTTCTGTTTTCAAAAACTGTACCAACATGTTTGGGCAGTAAATGAGATTGACTCATTTAGCTCACCAGCTGAAGGTGGACAGTTAATATCTTTGCTCTGATTGTGTCCAAGGCTGTTGCATTAATCGGATTTTCTTTCAGATGCCGCAGCATGAGTCCAAGGATAAGGAAATGAGTTTTTTCACATCAGGATCTGTTGCCATGGATGTTAGACTTGAGAAATCAGGTTTCTACCAAGGTAAGGGCTGTTAAAGTTTTCTTTACATATCAAGTGTTGCATCAAGAGTCATATGCATCTATCTGTTCACTTTGCAGGAGAAGGATTGAAAGTTATAGCCCGCATTGAGAACAACTCATCTCGTGAGATCAAACCCAAGTACTGTGTGTACAGAAAGCACAGTTTCTTTGCACGTGGCCGCAGAAGACTCAGCACCGGAGATGTCCTGAAAGAAGTGGGACAACCCATCCCTCCTTCTACAAACGTGAATGTATCTCAGATCATCACCATCCCCGAAGATGCCGAGCCCTCCATCCTCAACTGTGATATCATCAAAGCAGAGTACAGACTCAGGGTGAGCATGGCTTCCCTTCTTGGGAGTGTACTGTGCAACACTTATCCAGGACTTAATTGTTCAGGAGGAGGCCAATCTAGATATCTTAATCACACAGTCATTAATTATTCATCAAATCGCATCAGATACATTTGTAGTGCATCTGAAGTAAGATAGCACTCACTTCTGTCAACCAAGATGTTTTTATTTATCTAGTCACAAAAGTGTACAAATCTTCAGGCACTTTACACGAGGAACAGGTCTAGACTGTTCTCTTACTATGTACTGTAAACAGGGATCCAGTTGAGCAAGGAATGGTCTTCCTCTGACCCGGTTGAAACTTTAAGCAAAAACAGACCTGTTATAAGTAAGGGAGACACATGTTTTTGTGGTTTTTGCCCTTCACCAAAGGAGCTAGCTTCACTTTTGGTATGTATGTGACTGTATTGAAACTCTGGCTCTATACTGTACCTCAGTAAATGTTTTTTTTTGCAGGTGTATCTGGATGTCAAATATGCCTCAGATCCAGAGATCAAATTCCCTATTGTCATCATGCCGGCCGGTCAAGTTTCTGCTAAAGCACCACCACCTGCCGCCTCAGACTTTGGTTTCGAGCCATTTGGAAACACCAATCCACCACAATGGGGCGGCGTACCACCGCAACCACCGACAGCGCCATATTCCCTGGACCCTCCACCTCCTTATGGAGCACATGCAATGTACCCCCCTTTGACAGATTCTGGTAATTCATATCAGTGACTAAATTAACCAGTCCAAGAAACACCTACAGCTGAAGAATTTGTGTCCAATTTATTTGTAGGTTCCACTCTGAATTTCAATCAGCTAACTAGGTAGCACAAGTTAAACAAAGAGAAAAAATAAACAGTTTAATGCTGCATTTTCCCAGAGTTACCTATAAAAAGATTAATACTGCATTTTCCTAGAGTTACCTATAAACAGTTTAATACTGCATTTTCCCAGAGTTACCTATAAACAGTTTAATACTGCATTTTCCCAGAGTTACTTATAAACAGTTAAATACTGCATTTTCCTAGAGTTACCTATAAACAATTAAATACTGCATTTTCCCAGAGTTACCTATAAACAATTAAATACTGCATTTTCCCAGAGTTACCTATAAACAATTAAATACTGCATTTTCCCAGAGTTACCTATAAAAACTTTAATATTGCATTTTCTTAGTTACCTATAAACAGTCAAATACTGCATTTACTTTGAGCTACCTATAAACAATTAAATGCTGCATTTTCCCAGAGTTACCTATAAACAATTAAATACTGCATTTTCCCAGAGTTACCTATAAACAATTAAATACTGCATTTTCCCAGAGTTACCTATAAAAACTTTAATATTGCATTTTCTTAGAGTTACCTATAAACAGTCAAATACTGCATTTACTTTGAGCTACCTATAAACAATTAAATACTGCATTTTCCTAGAGTTACCTATAATCTGTCAATTACAGCATTTTTCCTTAAGTTACCTCAGGTTAGACCAGAGACTCAAAAACTGCTGCACTGCAAGGTTAAATCCACTTCTCATGCAGTAAAGTCTCATGACCTCTAAAGTTTCATTTTGTACACTATCAAAGTATGTTTCTGTCAATGAAACCTCAAATACACTAAAATATCTGACAACAAGCTGCATATCGATCAAGTTTTGTTAAATTATTATAACGCCTCTTGTGTACCATTGAAAATATACTTGCTGTACTTTTTCGTTTCAAAGAGTATTATTCACTTATGTGGAAAGATGAAAGACATTGAGATAAAATACAAATAATATCTTGAATATAAATATATTTAAATATGCTCTATATATACTTTCTGTCCTCTTTTTTTGTGTTCAGTTAAGCTATGTACTCTTGTCCGTGACATTTTTTCAAACGTATCCTTGATAAAGTTCCGAAAGGTTTGTAAGTGTCTGATATTTAAGTTCTTGCTCCTTTGTTTCATACCATATCAATAGTAGGTTAGTAGTCCAGATAATAGATTAATAATACCAATCAGCTTCTACACATGTAGTATGCCGAGGGCTTGTATGGCTGCCCTAAAATTGAATGATTCTGGCTTTAAAAGTCTCCGCTTACAAGTGCTGCACTCAAATGTTGAGGAATGCTGCATCTTATATCTGCCAAGCAAATTCAGACAACAAATACTCTTCATAGTTGAGTCTGTAGTTAAATCTTGATAAAGCACAACATTTTTTTAGTAAAGACTAGTCATGGATATGTTGAAAGATTAAGATGATGCCAGTTAGAAAGCGGGTGAAACATCTCATCTTTTTACATTTCCACTCTTCTGCTGTGCTCTGCCCTTCAGCTGTAACTTTCTTTGTAAAATCTAATACTGCATAGCTCATAAAAACATGCTTTAAACTAATAAACAGGTTCCCATAACCGCAGCCCCTGAGGTGGTTGTAGCTTTAGAAAATCATTTTACGGCTTGCTCTGATGGATAAGTCATTTCCTGTTTAAACTATTGTTCCCTCCTCTGTTGAAGGTGTGGCTTGTTTCTAGGAAGTGCTGGTTTTTGCTGTGTTTGTATAGCTCACCTGACTACAAACAGGTAAGAAAAACAGGTCCCACAAGATTTACATGCTTGAGTTTGGATAACAGCAGAGCCGAGGCTGTTCAGGGTTCAGAAGGTGTGAGTTTACTCAGGGAGATTTGGGATTTCCAAGTGGGTAAAAAATGACCATAAAAACTTTCGCGATTGAATATGATTCCATCAACAGCAAGAACATCTTTACAAATGGAGATACTATCAATGGAAGAATCATCGTGGAGGTCTCTAAGGAAACTAAAATCCAGGCGCTTATTTTCATCGCAAAAGGAAAGGCCACCGTGTGCTGGAGTGAACATTATGGACAGTATCATCATCATGTGTACAGGTCCAGTGAGAAGTATTATGAAGTCACGCATCACATCCTAAGAGAGGCAAGACAAGATGGTAATGTATCAAATCAATATCTCTCTAATATTGATAATGGCTAATATTTTAAGTAATCAGCCTCTCAATTTAAAGACTTTCCAAACTTTTCCAGGCACTGAAATCATTGGAAAAGGAAGACACGTGTTTCCTTTTTCCTACACAATTCCTGACAGGTGCTTATTTTTTTTTCTATTTCATATTTATTTGGGTGTTTTTTTCTTTCTCTTATTTTAGTTGAATCATTTTTCTACAATTGCACTCAACAGGAAAATCCCATCAACATTCAAAGGCAGCATAGGAAAGATTGTTCACAAGTTGAAGGCAGAGCTGAAACAGTCGATGAAGCTGACTAAAAAAGCCAAAACCCACTTCACATTTGTGTCCAGAGCAGACATGGACACCCCTGGACTTATGGTTAGAAATCATTCATCTTTAAAAATGCAAACTTTATCTACTCACATGTCTTTTCAGGAGAAATACAGTAGACAGCTTTGACTCGTCTCCCCTTTTTCAGGAACCTCAGTATGGGTGCAAGGATAAATCTGTGGGAGTTTTTGGCTCTGGAAATGTTTCAATCGATGTTCACACCAAGCGGATGGGATACACGCAAGGTAATGTGGAGTTTAAGCAAATTCACCCTGCATGTGAATAGTTTTAACACACTGTTGCTCTCTGCGTGAGGATACAGCTCTCTTGAGGAATCAGGTATATCAGGTTTGACTTTAGATTGTTTAAAGAAAACATTTCACTTATGGAAAAATCAGGTTTGGTAACATTGCTGCTCCTAGAAAGTAAAGCAAGTCTTTGCTATTTGTCACACATTAGGAGACCAGCTGTACTGTTTTGAAATAAACTGCTCAGATGCAATCACAAATTCAGGCATGAGAAGTGTTTAACAACAGCCTCTATGCCTCTGTTTCACAGGTGAGGGTATCCAGGTCATCGCTGAAATCAGCAACCGCTCATCTCGTTCGGTGAAGCCCAAGTTCACGCTGTACGAAAAGAGGAGTTTCTTTGCACAGGGTCGCAGGAGAGTTCACACAAATGAGATCCTCAAGGACAAGCTCGAGCCGATTGAATCCTCCGACAAAAAGACTGTAACCAAGGTGATCACCATCCCCAGGGATCTACCTCCCTCCATCCTCAACTGCTCCATCATCAAGCTGGAGTACAGACTGAAGGTAAGGCTGCCAGTCAAAAGACAGTTTGTAAACTCTTTTTGATGTATTTTGAGTTTTTTATTTATTTTTTTAATGCCTCACTTTTGCTTTTAACTTTAAAGCAGTTGTGGTATTTTGAATAATCTCTTATGTGGAAAGACTCAGCACAATATGCTTTAACATTACATTAAAAGGTGTTTAAAAAGGCAGTGGAATTTTACGGACTGGATGTTGATGAAATGATTATCTGAAATAAATAATGATGCCTTCAAAAGCCTTAAAAATAAACTAATAGCGACCTCTAGTGGTCAAACTATTGAAGTGGAAATCATAATGAGCGTAAATCCGGAGACTTTGGTTTTATCACTCTTTCACTGTAGATATCAAAATAGATTTGTTATCCTTATGTTGACCTGTACTGTGTACTACAACACGATAAAAAAAAACTCCAACAGTAAAAAATAATCCCATGTTTTTACAGGTCTATCTCGATATCAAATGTGCCTCAGACCCAGAGATCAAACTTCCCATTGTCGTCCTCCCTGCCCTCGAGGCCCCCTCTCATAAACAACCTCCTCCTTCTGCTGGTTTTGGATTTGAACCTTTTGGGAACCCAAACCCAGCACCCTGGGGCATGACGCCACCACTACAAGTTGCACCCAGGCCGGTGGATCCACCACCTCCGTATGGAGCATGTGCAGCACCAGCGATGTATCCCCCCGTAAATCAATATGGCCAATACGAGAATAAATTCTGAATACGACACAGGTGTTATCACTGCACGAGGCTAACATGAATGTCACAGTTGTATAAACCCTCGACAGCTGTTTACAGCTGTGTTTCGATTCAGTGTTCTTGTCTCTTTTGTTTTTGTTACACTATTGTCTTTAAGTCTACCTGCAAAGACCGTACTGAATGTCTGTGAAGTGTACATAAATTAAGTGTCTGCTAATGCTTTACCTTTGTTTTTGTAAAATGTAATGACTTTACTCTGACATAAAATAGATAACCATAATTTGCAATTAATTATCAATACTCCCAGGTATGAATCAAGAGAATATAAACTTACAAACTGCAACAGTTTCAGATGTTATTAAATATTGTCAGCCCTATTCTTCTTATCCTTCCATCTAATTGTCCTAAAGTATTATTTGAGTGCATATTTAATTCATGATTAAAGACTTCTTTTAAAGTACCCTATTTCACACACTGTGCTACTTCACTTAAAAATGTCAACATTAAATTGTTGTTGTCTCTTTTCAGTACCTCTGTTCGCCGTAACTTGCCTTAACTTCTGCTCATTGTGAGACGTAAACCAAACCATCTCACTGTCGGAGCAGCTGTTTTGTTTTCAGCATATTCTGAAAACTTAATTGATATTGTCTTTTGTCACAGTGCAGCTATATCTCAGTGGAGTTGGTGTAATATAGCCTCTAAGGCTGTAGACTCAAGTTACCTGTGTGAAAATGACACCTGCGGCACATGATCACCTGACCACGTGTGACACAGATACAGGTACAGGTGGCTCTACACCTGAGAAGTCTACAGCAACAGTGCAGATGCCGGCCTTTTTCATCAACCAAGAGCCCCTCAGTTAATCTGTTGGATTTATTTTGCCTCTCAGATTATCATCCTCATGGTTACACTGCAGGACCCTTGTAAAGGTTATTTGATGCTCTCCCATCATGACTGTAAAACATCTCTCTGTGGATTATAACAAAGTAAACGAACGAGGCACCTTCTCTCCTGGGGACACCCTGTCCGGGAGGGCGACGGTGGTGACCAGCAAGGAAACCAAAGTGCAATGTTTTGTGGTCAAGGCCAAAGGAAAAGCTAAGGTTGCATGGTCTGAACAGAAAGGACAAGTCACAGAGGCTCACAGCAACAAGAAGGAGTACTTTTACTTTGAGCATATTATTCTGCAGGATAAAAACAAAGGAGATGGTGAGTATTGTCTGTCTTTAAAAATTGTGTCCAAAAAGACTTTTTATTGAACTCTTTTCTTCTTCTTAAGGTTCAGAAATCATCGCGCCTGGGAGAAATGTGTTTCCATTCACCTTTGAGATCCCAAATACGTGCGTGTATATGGACTAATATGAATTTACTGTATTCTTGTAACAGCTGATGAAATGCTTTTGATAAACCTCATTTACCCTCCCTGTGTCCTTGCAGAGATATGCCTTCATCCTACAAGGGGAAATGGGGCAAAATTACATATACCTTGAGGGCAAAGCTGACCCTGTCCATCTGGAGTGTCCACAAAACCAAGACTGAGTTTCCTTTTCTGACCAAGGCCGAGTTTCCCTTTGCCTCCAAATCAGAAATGATAATTATAGGACTTAAGGTGCAGGACTTGTTATCCTGAACCATGCATGGTTTCAGTATTCACTTCTAGTTAGCCCAGCTTTGTCAAAACTAGCAATATTGAAAACAGTCATGCAGATAATGGCAGTACTTATAATGTGTAATAACCATCTCTTTATCTCTATCAGGAGCAACAATCTGCAACCAGGATTTCATTTTATGGGTCCGAAAAAGTCACCATGAATGTTACCTCTGAGAAAATGGGAGTAAAACAAGGTAAACAGGAACATTTTGAATGTCATTTTTTTCTCTATAACCTCAACAGCAACATTAATACTGTTTTTTCTCTCTCCTCTATATAAAAAGGTGAGGCAATCGGGGTCTCCGTGGAAGTACTTAATGGATCAGTGCGCACCGTTACACCCAAACTCTACCTTTGTGAGAAGCAGACCTTTGCTGCTCAGTCAAAACGGACGGTACACACAAATGAGACCATGTTTGGAGCCGGAGACGTCGTTCCTGCTGGGACAAACTGCACTGTCACCAAAGTTCTCAGTATTCCTCCTCATCTCCCCCCAACTTTCTTCAACTGCAGCATGATGAACCTGGAATACAGACTCAAGGTACTACTGTAGTTCACAAGTTCAATGAAAACAGATTGAAGTGGTTCATTTATTTTTGACAAACAACACCTCTGCAAAAACAAAACCTTGGTTGGAGTATCAGGGCTTAAAAACGGGAATGCATGATGACCACAGTGCCACCCAGTGGTCATGGGAGAAATGAAGGATCTAGGGAGGAAAGGGGTAGGAGGGGTCAATGGGGACAACCGTTGTGGCTTGGAAATACGCAAATAAAGGTTTGGTTGGGGAAAGGTGTCCGAGTACAGTCTAACCTGTTCTGTTCTACTACTGGGTCAGAAAAGATGCCCAGATTTGAAACAAGAGTAGAGACAGACAATGCAGTCTTTATAACATGTCAAGATAAGCATATAGATAAAGTCAAAACCCCACATTGAAGTTTGACCTTATTTGATGTGCATACTCTCATAACTAATACTAAAAATCTTGCTTTGTAATTGCAGGTCACTCTTGATGTATTTCCTGCAAGAGCTTCAGAGATCAAACTCCCTCTGGTCATTCTGTTGGGTTCGCCAAAACCTCATCAGCAAAAAGCAAAAAGATCCATCTGGTTCAGAAAGCTCCCTGGTTAAAGTGGTGGATCAGATGCAGGGCAGGCACTGTGTGAAAAAACAGAATCAAAAACAGGACTGTTCTTTACAGCCTCTTTTTTTTTAAAAAAGGGAGGATGTTACTCGTGCTATCTTACAGGCATGAGACTTTACCCACTTTATGTTTTCTTATCCACTAGATGGAGTTGTGAGTCACTAAGCAGTGGACCAGGAGCTGTTCATTTAAATCCAAGCACTCCTATCCTTAATATATGACACCAGTAAAATACTAATGTGTTTGAAATCTTTATGAGGTCCAATGACAAAATGCAAAATCTAATGGTCCTTCACTACGTTAGAGTTTGAAATTTCGATTTACAAATTCACTCAGGGGTTTTCTGGTTGTTGGTTGATGTAGGACATGTTTTGATCGCTTATACAAGAGTGGTTCCCATCCCCTGACAATGTCTGCTTCAATTATCTGATTATTATATCTGGTTATTGGGTCATCGTTTCAAATATTTGAGAGTGGAGGTTACCTGTTATTCCTTTGTTTGACATGCTAACCATGAATAAGCATCTGAAATTTTAAAAAGAAGCCTAAAACGATATTAATTAAAGGTCAAAATGATTGAGTAACACAGCTATGATGTTAAAGTTCATTAAGTTTTCTGAAAAGTTACTGGTTGTGTGTAAAATGCAGTTGGCAGCACAATTTTCCCTTCCAAATTTTTGAGTATAGAGAAGTACAAATCGTTGTGGCTCAAATACCAACACTTATTGACAGAGTATGCCAATGCTCAGGCACAAAGCTGGGTTGCGATCTTGGAAATGCATGGAAAGTCTTTTTTTTTTCTTCTTTCAGATACTTCAGATTTTAATAGATAAGAACCATTAGCATTAAAATATTTATTCATCATCCTTCTCAGTCATGACTGCTGGGAATGCACATTCAAACACTGGCAGAGAGAAAAACAATGAATCAGTGAAAGCTGAGAATTAAATGTTTGGCAATTCTCACGCTCATCCCTGTCCACAGACTCATTTTGCAACAGAGGGAAGTATTGAACAAAGGCACATTCATGAATCTAACAGTACATGTGTTGCCCAACCAGTGGTTCTTAAGTGAAACCAGGCCCATGTTCTTGACAGAGAGTCAGAGTTTTCTCACTGCCCAGGAGGGATACATGTTGAGAGCAGAGCCGTTTATGGTTGGGTTCCATCCTGGAAACATTAAATCTGGCTATTGTGACACCAAAGACCACACCCACCTTCCCCAGGAAGAGAGAAAGGGAGAAGAGTTTGGATCTGATGCAAATTAAGGGCCTCAAGATTTCACATCCATCCCTGAAAACAAAAAAGAAATCCTCTATTTCTGCTGTGAATATTGATAAAATGAATTTATAAACACAAACGAACTCGGGCTCTAGATCCATTTGTTCTGCTGCACACGTCCTCTGCACTGCGTGGGAACTACAAAATCAAACTCATACTTTAGCTCACATCTGCTGCCATTGACTTGTCACCATGTGTCACTTGAGCCTGTTAGAAAATGTATTAAAATTTGAGTGGAAGCACATAAAATGTAATACTAATAATATGCTTGGAAACAGCTTCTTGCGTATCAATTACTGTAATCACTTTGATAGCATAATGACTATGTGGGTAAAGGAAGACTGACAGCTGTGACATAACTAAGCACATGTTGGAAATACAGGGTCTTATCGCTGTGGAGACCAGGATAGAGAAATGCAGAGTGGTTTCATGCGGCAGAGTACACAGTGCATATTTAGCTCATTCTGCCTCCTACACCTGCGTAAAGATATCTGCAAAGCTGCAGTGAGAACCATGTTCTTCACTAATCAGAGGAGAAACTTTCAGTGTGTTTTGGTGGGATCTAGGAAACAGTGTAACACATCCCTCTGATCCCTGAACCTTACACCTGCAAGAGGACACCTCCACAGCAGCAGCTCCGTGTAGATTTCTTCATTTTTGTCATCAGTGTTGGCTGTGCTGTTGCAAAGCCTGCCTGGTAACCAGCCTGGCTCCATGTACAGTGTGCAGGCTGTGAACCAGCCAGCACCCCCCCCTTTAACACGCACACACACACACACACACACACACACACACACACACATGCATATGCACACACGCACGCCACAGCCTTGCCAGGTTTTGGAGAAGGAAAAGGGAGGTGTGGCCTCTGGCACCTCCCACCTTCGTAGCCAGAGCGAGTACCATGACAACCATGCGGGCCTGCTGGCGACTCCCTGTCTTCATCGGCCACGGTTGCTATGGTAACTCCCCAAAGGGGCTCCCGCAGATCAGCGGGACGGCCGTCCAGTTGACTAACCCTCTCCCAGCTGGGGAACGGCTGAGGGAAAGCGAGAGCAGCGAGTGGAGGGGAAGGGAGGAGTGTGTGTAAACGTGTGTGTGCGTGTGTGTTAGAATGTGTAGGATGGCACAGCAGAGCCTGAAGAAGGAGAGAGAGAGATTGACAGCATGCTAAAGAAGGAGAGAGGAAAGAGAGAGACCTCAGGAGGAGACACAGGAGACTAGTAGTTTGACCTCCTGGAGCGGCCTATCTCTGCCTACATGCAGCTGCAAGCCTGCCAGTCTGAGAATAGAGCGGATAGTAAAGCTTTGAAGAAACACACATTATGTCTAAACTCACAACAGTTTCAAACTCACACTCCTCTGCTTTTAGGTTTTAAAGAGTTGTGCAAATACTGACTCACTTCAAATAACTGTGCTAACCCTGTACAAATAAGACTCTGAGATTCCACTCAAAGTGTGTTTGTGCCATCTTTCTTCTGTTTTCCAATCATGTCAGTAACAAGTACCACTTTTTGGGGTTTGGACTGAGTGTAATAGAGCCACAGATGGCTGTGGGTCTGTGGTGCGGTTGGAGAAAGAGATGGCATCACTAGGTCCGCTGGCTGCAGAGTACTGAGGGGCTTTTTCTGCTCTCTAATTACTCCAAGCTGTGTCCCCTTCAAGGCCCAGAGCAGCACAGATTTTCATGGATGTGAGGCAACAGGGGCATCCAAAGCTGAGCCTGTTTTTAAACCATGTTCACTCAATGTTCAGAATCCATTCTCATTGTTTTTTTTTTCCTTTTCATTTAATTAGAACTAACGGCCGTATATGCTTTCATACTACATAAAGATACAGGAGATTTTGTAAAGTACATGTACATCATATTGAAGATTTTATTTTGGAAAAAGGAGAGAGATAAACTTCCCATAGTAAACATTTTCAGATCTACTTTAAGTGCAGAAAAATTTTTGATTTCTTCTCTTTCATATAAAAGCCTTCTCATTATTTTAAATGTATAAAAAGTGACACAAGGCAATTCTGTCAGTGTTACAGTAGGCAAGATGCCGAAAACATTCTACACTAATTCAAATGATCTACAGTCTCTTGTTTATTTTCTCTAGTATACGTGCAATAATACTTCTATCCTAAAACTATCTCTACATAAAGTGAGTGACTATATTGTGCACTTGTAGTGGTAGCCTTTGGAATTACAAATAGTTTTACTGTTAAAAAATCCCTTGACACAAGTTGTTTGATTACACAAAGGGTATCTTTTAAAAAAAATGTTCATCTTCATTTATGAAACTCAGAGAAGCATCCTCCCCTGCATAGGTGGACGTTGCATATCTTGCAGCCAAAGACACTCTCATGCCTCAGTCCTTTGTTGGTGCAGTTTCTGCAGCGACGGGAGCGCTCGGACATGCGCTCCAGACGGTGTCCGTACTCTATGGGTGAATCTGCATGTCTTTTGCGTGCCGCCCGCTCCATGCCTCTCGCCCCTTGGTAGTCTCCTATCAATTGCTGTGCCAGGCGTACGCGGAAGTGGCGCTGGGTGAACTGCTTGCCGTTGAAGCCTGCTGGTGGTGTCCCCCCTCTGCTCTCCCTCTGGATGATGTAGGCGTTGACGATGCACAGGTTGACGTAAAACCACAGAAAGTAGCGCCACCACTTCTTACAGGGCCTGCCGACCTGGTAGCACTCCCTCAGCTGGTCGCACAGGTCGACGCCCCTCATGTTCTCCTGGTACAGCAGCAAGGGCAAAGGTCGAGGAACACCGAAAGACAAACCTGAGGCCTCCATGCTGTCGCTCTCACCTTCCCCGTCTGTCTCATGCTGCTGGTGGCCTGGACTGATACCCACAATCCCTGGAGCAGAGTTGGTGGAGAGGCAGCTAACCACTTTGGCATCCCTTGTCACTGTAGCAACCAAGTTTCCACGCTGGCACTGGTAAAACTCACCTTGGGACAGCTTTCCAACATTACAAGGGCGTAGGACCTCTGGGTAACCTTTCCGTGCTGGTTGGGTGGGCCCACAGGCGTAAAGCCCATCCCTTAGCAGCCGCTGCAGGAGGGGCACTGAAGTGAAGAAGCTGTCCATGAAGAGGTGATGGTACTGACCTTCCAGGCCACGCACCAGGGAGGCCACCACCCTGTAGCCCAGGGTGGCTGCTGCCTCATCCTCGCCTGGCTTGCCTACATAGATCTTGGTTCTGTGGCAGTAACCGGAGCGGGAGTCACACAGCATCCACACCGTCAGCCCCTTCCTGAGGGGCTTGGAGGGCATATACTGGGTAGGGGAAAAGCGCCCCTTCATCACTATGGCACATTTGTCTATGGTCAAACAGCGATTGGGCGAGTATGCATCCCACATAGTGTTCTCCACCACGTCCAGGAGAGGTCTGACTTTGAAGAGGGCGTCATACCCTCGCTCTCCCCGCACAGGCTCAGACTCACGGTCACACAGCTGCAGGTACTGAGTGAGTTTCTCAAACCGCCTGGCTGTCATAGTTTTTTTAAAGCCTGCATTCCCTATGAAAATGTCACTGGCCCAGTACATGCCAGCGTCTGGAAGCTGATTGATGCCCATAAGAACATTCAGACCTACATAAGCTCTCATCTCCCTCACATCAGTGGGGTGCCAGTGGGGGTCTGATTTCCCACTCCTCCTCTGCCGATAGAGGGCGTATTTGTTTGTTTGTTCCACCATGTGTTCAAAAAGAGAATCTGGGAAGAGTATCCGGAAATAGTCACGGGTGTCAGCATCGTCCCCCAGCGTGTGCTGAGGGCCACTGACAGCAGAGAAAGGCTCGATCGAGATTACCTGGTCAGGTTCGCCCCAGAAGTCCGGAGAAGTGCAGTCCTCGTCCAAGTCTTCTTCAAAGCTGAAAAAACTCCTGCGCTCCTCCTCCTCCAAATCGGAGAAATCAATATCCGAGTCGTTCGAGTTGCTATCGGAGCAGTTCGTGGAGGTAGAATAATAACAGTCCTCTGCGTACTCCTCCTCGTCGTGCTTGAGCCCATTACTCCCAGTCACCAGAATTATGTTGCAGCCTCCTCCTGCGATGAAGCTGGCCGCGTCTGCAGCCTCCTCCGCCGCCGCCGCGGCTGCTGCTGTGCTCGTGAATCCATTCTCCCCCTCGCCGTTCTCCTCCTCCTCCTCCTCTTCCCGCACTCCGTCTTCCTCGTCCGAGTCTGGCTTTCTGTACGGAATTTCAAACCACTTCACATCGGCCGAAAGATTAAGCGGAGTGTCTTGACTGTCGCACACCGTGGTACTTTCTGTGTCCGCGCTAGTTTCCAAAATAGTAAAAAGCTCTCTCCCTTTTCTTGCCGTCGCCATGTCGGGGTATTAAAGTGCCCCTGCATGAGTCTTTTTATGTATATTTCTCCAACGTGAGGGAGTAATCGCACAAACCGGTCATCCGAAATGAACTGATGTGCACTTAAAGGCAGCCTCCTCTCCAAAAACTTGCTGGTCGCGGACCTATGCGGCGTCTATAAGCCTGATTCTCATTGTTTCCGCTCCTGGGTTTTCTGGGCTTTGTAGCGCAGTGTGGCCGCAGACGTCAGAAGCTGCATGCATGTCCTGCTTTGTAGGGCGTTTTGCGACTGCAGCTGGTGGGGTTGCTAGTTCGCTAGGCTGGCAGATGGCCGCTTGCTGTTCTAATGCCCGCTGGCATTCTCCACTATCAATAAGCCGGATACCCATCTCTGAGGCCATGAAGATATAGAAACCACTGCGTAAAAATCCAAACATCAAAACCATAGGCTGTCAATCAACTGTCTCATCACACAGTGGGGGGTGAGGAAACTTTCATTGTCCACTGTGCACATCTCCCCAAACTGTTAATTAACTCCCTTCATCCTGACATCTGATTTCATGAAGTTTGTGAACACTTTAATTCAGACTTTGATAATAAAGAAAAGCCCAAAAGCACACACTGTGTGATTAAAAAGCACTGACAGATGCTCCACATCACACAGGACGCCTTATTTACCCACATCACTAAACATACTTCACACTGAACTCAGTCTTGTTCATTCATAAACATGCTTCTTCCTCCTGACAGGTTCCTACATGAATCTGAAGCCCTATAGGCTATTGTGGAATTAGGGACCTCCCTCTATTTTCTGAATGTGGGCTGATACTCTTGTTTTTTTCCTTTTTTTTCTATTCCAGGACCGAGGGTGAGGAGCTTGCCTTGATGAACTTGATTGATCCTCTGCTGGCTTTAGCTGCGCACTGCTAAAATGCAGCAGTTTATCTTTGCTACAGCTTGATTCAAGAATGCCTTTCCTGTTTACATATGCAAATACATACAGAAGTCATTACCACATAACGTAAAATGACCAACCTGTAACATTCACCTGCTGATAATCATTGAAAATCATGACCTTATTTTTAGATTCACCTGCAGTCATGTTGATTAATTTTTGCCAGATTAAATAAGAACATATTTAGTCTTTATATTTAGCAGGTTTTCCTCAGGCGTAACACTCCTGAGGAGATCTGCAGCTTCTGTGACATATGATGTCTTTATATACTCCATAAACTTGTATTTTTAACCCTAGAACACTATTGCTAAGTAACACCATCACTATCGCTGGGTGATTTTTACCTGAAATAATAAACCCAAGAAAAGTACTTGCCATCAAAATATATCAAAATAGGATAATACATGACAAATTAAAGTAGTTTTCTTTTATTTTTAACCGTGCAATGTCCAAAGGGAGGGGGAAAAAGTACAGGGACCATATAAAAATGTAACAAAATAACTGAAATTAGGCATTTATGAACAAAAAATTCATATATATATATATATATGAACTGTAAACTTCTTCCACCCATTCCTGGGGCATGTGAGTCTTCCCTGGTGAAGACTCAGGGTCCTTGGCACAATAACAGCTGCAGGAGAGACAACCAAAATATGTCATATTTTTAGTGAGTAATAATGACCAGCTGACTAACATATTTCTTATCACTGTATGAGATCCCTTGAAATTCACTTCTTTGTGATAGTTATTCATAACCACTGCTCTAAATTAAGATAGCATGCAAATTCCAGGACCACTCTTACTGACCTTATTCCCTACATGCAGCTATCAAATCCACAAAAACCTACTTTACCCTTTATCACTATTGACGGGTGAAAATCACCCTGTGAACACGTGTCTGTAGGGAAAAGCAGGTTTTGGATCAGGGAAACAAATATGCCTTCAAAGACGTCAAAGGAAATGCTGAAGCTACACAGGGACCCATGATACTCAGACAAATGCAACATAATGAAAATACCATAAACATGTTTGGCGATAGTGTTCTAGGGTTAAAAAGTATTCTCCACCATTGTGTTATTACATATTAAACACAGCTTATTGACTGACATCGTTTTATTAAGAGACTATTCAGTCACTTTCATCACAGCTAATGGAGTGAAACAACAGAAAGGATCTGAGTTTGACTCATAAACAACAGACCCTTGGTGGTTTCCTTGCTTGCTTGGGTGGAGACTAGTCAAGTCATGTCTTCTCATATGGGGGATGGGCTACAGGAAGGGTCCTTTCCAAATTCTTTTAGCTGTGGCCTGAGTCTACATGGCTGGCTGAGCACTGGTTCGCTGCCCCTGGGCCCTGCAGCCGAGGCACAATTTATGTGTCCTTCCTCACAAGCTTATTGCACAGATCCCTGTTGTCTCAGTGGTATCATATTGCATCTCTGAGCTTCAGGCCTTATTGCTGTTTGTATCTGCAGAGGCAGCAGTGGAGCTGTGTTAGCAGTGTACACTGGGAACCAGTTTGTTCAGAAAGCAGTGGAAAATAAGGGAGGCTGTGGACCTCCGATATCCAGCCCAAAAATAGAAGTAAGAGGGAAAAAAATGGCTCACTCCAGCGTTTCCAGGCCCCTGGAGCAGAGTGCTGCAGCAGACCCCTCCGAGACTCCCGCGGTGGGGTGGAGAGACGCCGACCAATGGGGGCTCAGGCGTTCAGTGTGTGTGTGTGTGTGTGTATGTGTGGGTGTGTGTCTGTGCGGCTAACTCAGCTCCTCTACAGCTCAGATCCTTTTCTCATGGATGAGCTCAGAGATGGCTTCTCTCTGGATGTATGTGTGTGTGTGTGTGTGTGTGTGTGTATGTGTGTGTGTAGCTGCCAGCATGTGAGCAAATGGTGCAACCGCTGCAGCCCATGCTAAAGACAGACCAACCCTTCTTTCTGTCAGTCCCGGAGACAGTGTATGCTGCATGTGTGTGTGTGAGAGAGAGAGTGTGTGTGTCAGTGTGTTGGTGTGTGTGTGTGTGTGTTGGTTAGAGCCTTATTAATAGTGATGTCTCCTTCCACTGCTGATAGCATCCTCAGTCTCAGTCTGATGGGATGAGAATTGAGAGAGCAAATCATGAGCAGCATGGTGGATTTATTACCTCGTCAGCTCTGTTTAAAGAAAAACTCCAACTTGATTTTTAGATAATTGATGAAACTGACTTCTGAGTGTCATTAAGTCGATGAATTTTGCCCTTTCAAGATTTTTTTTTTTTACACAAGCTGGTTTTGAACAGTGTCTGGTTGTACACAAAAAGAACCGTGTTACCTGAAAAATGTCATTATGATGTATCCTATATAAACTAACCTTGAGAAAACCTCACCTGGTTGCCCCCCTTACTGGAGGCAAAAGTAGCACACTGCCCTCTTGTGGTAGTTTTGGAGCAGTAACTACTAATTTACAATCTGACAATTGCTTGAGTTTCATTGTGAAGGATTTATTCCTAGTGCTCTCATTCAAGGCTGAGTCAATATGCGGGCGTTTCCTCAGTCCCTCAGGTCATGTTTTTTTAATCCGTTGTTTTCAATATTATCAGTTTTTTGTTATTTTATTAATTATTTTTACTTGTTGTGTCGCAAACTTTTCACAACTCAGGGTTTTGGGAGGTTTCAATGATTTTCTGCTAATATAAAGCACTTTGCGTTTCAAGCCATTGTTTGAAAAGCGCTTTATAAATAAGATCTAATTGATTCATTGATTATTTCATAACAAAAAAGACCAAGTCGAAGGTCTCTTATTCCTTAAAGCATAGGTGCTATGTTATTTTACACAACATTGCATCAAAAATAAGATTTAAAAAAAGGCCACAGTCTGCTCACTGGTGATCTTTTTGTTACTGGTTAATGTACATATCTTTATAAACTATTATTATAGTGACTTGGGTCCTCTTACCATTATATCATAATATATAGCTATAAAACAAATGAGCAAGCTGTGTGTAATCACTGTTTTCAAAAGGTAAAATCACTTTGCTGAAGGCAACAGGTTATGCTACAGTCTGCACAAAAACATGTCTGCATTTTACCACTAGATGGCGACAGATGCCAGAATACAACAAAATCACAGACTCCCACTGTGACTGATCCAAACCTCAAGATTCAGACTGTCTGTGTGCACAAAGTTGTTCTGACAAAGCAATGGACCAGAATGTTTAACAGGAAGGTTTTTTCAATGAAGCTGCGTTTTTTAGATTAACCGGAGGTTGGACTTGGCTTCTCGTTGTAACACCAGGTGTTTCTGATCACACTCTGGACCAGTTCTGGCAGACCAGGTCAGGAAGAGGCCCTAGTCTAATACAGGTTGAATAAATGATAAATAAATTTGTCACAGGACTTGTCCTCTCAAAATACTGAGTTCTGATGCCATCCTTATATGCTAGTGTAACTTTAGGAACCTGATCCCAGTTTGAAGCATAAACCTGCTGATATGAGGAAGAGAATTTGGGTTAATTACTGTAGAAAAAAAAAAGTAAGTGCACATATGGCAAAGCTACTTGCCAGAGAGTCTTTGAAGCTTGTGCAGAGTGAGTGTGTGTATTATGAAGTTTTCATGCAACGTGTAAAAAAACACATTGAGACATGTTTTAATGATTAAAAATTACCATGTAAATTGGTTTTTAGATTTTGAAAAATCAGTGCTAAACTCTGCTCTTGGTCACCATTCTCAGAAGCAACGCCCACTTGCCACTCTCATGTGTCAATCATCTCCACAGGAAGGCCTGAAAAATAGATGACGGACCACAGTGGGTTGATTCCCAGTCAATCCCAAGGAATAAAATCATAGTGTGTGTGTGGTAGTGGTGTACCAGATTTTAGCTATGGCTGTAGTTTCAAAGTACAAAAGTGGCTTTTAGTCAATCTTTTATTTTGTGTCAGTTTTATTAGGTGGGGGGAGGACATTTATTTTCCCTAGTTCAAATTTAAAGTTCAGTCATTTTATCTGCAGTGCAAATGTGACTTTGTGGAAGTAGGACAATTTGGAATGGTATCTCAGTGCACAAACACTGCTTCACAGCTTCACAAGCTCAGGGTGTTAGAGTTGAAGGGTCATTTAGCGGCACAGCAGTCCAGTTTCACCAGTACTAACACTGAGGGTAAGGATGGAGAAGTCAGGAAGCATTTATGGAGAACCAATGTGAGATCCACCAAGTAAGCAACATTTATTCCCCCTTTTCCAACTCAGAAAATGGCCTTCATAAGTAGGTCTCCTTTTTTACACTGCAATGCCCCTATAGGGTCACGCTGCTGTTGGAGGTGTGTCTTGTTGGTTTCTCTCTGCACACCAATCACAGTAATCATGTTCACCTGGGCCCTGGGTACTGGGGGTACTTAAGCTCCCTCAGTTAGTCACATCTGTTTGCTTTGGCTTTGTTTTACTTTGTTTGGTTTGGTTTCAGTTGGTTTAGTCGTAGTTTATATTTACTTTGTACAACACCCTCGCACACATACACCTAGCATCTTAACTCTTAAATATTCTTATTTGGTTTAATTTGATTTCTTTTGAGTCTTGTACATGGTGTGTGTCTCCCCTTTTCTTTGTTGTGACCACCTG